CCAGCAAGACTCGAGTTTCGAGTTCCTGAGGGGACCAAAAAAAAACCATACGATCGCCCCCCAAACGACAGCGCTGGTTTTTACCACCTTGTCTTTCCAAAAAATCCAAAAATGCATATGAGATATCTCCAAAATCGGTTTAATCAACCGTTACGACTTATCATCAGAAAGAAAAAAAAGGGTTCCTATGTAAAGAAATTCCACGGCATAAAAAAAAACATCCATCCGCCAAGAAGAATAGTTGAAAAGGTAAAAACGGTCCAAAAGGGTAGATGGCGTCGATACACCGTATCGAATCGAATCTATCCAACCTTCCGTATCATGCAGAAGCTAGCCGAAGCAAACCCCACATTCGGAGAGCTAGAGCTGGAAAACCCATCATCTGATATCCCAGCTAGCATAAACCCATTAAAAACAAAAGATATGAATAGCGATCTGGTAGAAAGGAAAAAAACACCATGAGCTCTGGAAAAAAATCTAGCTAAGAGCGCTACATCCCCGTCGAGCTCTATCCAAGCTTCGAAAGCTTGAAAACTGAACCATGGCACTTGCAATGGAACATTGACACTGGAAGCTCCATATCATGCATTAGAATCAAAATGCAAGAATTTCGTTCCGAAAACCCTTCAAACGGCTAGGGAAAGAAAGGAAGATCAAATTGCAAGGTAATTTTAGCCGTTTGTTCCAAGATCAAGTTCCGTAAAAGAAAGAACGATCAATATTAATATTCCAGCATTAAGCATGATACATACACACTTAGCGCCTTCACCGTCCGGCGTCCACAGAAAATTACACTACATCGTCAGACAGTAAAATCACACAGTACTTGCGGTGCAGTGTAGTGCAGTGCAGTGTAGGCGAAACGTGCCCATCTCTCTTTCATTTCAAAGAGGACCCTGGTTTCGTCCCTTGATCAGAATAATTAATAATACCTACCATACCATAGTACTCCGTAGATCTCCATGAAACGGAAAATCCCACCATCTTCTAACACAGTTAAACGGTGAGGTCAGAAAGTAATCATCGTTCTTTTTGCCTCCCAAAAAAGCCAATCTGACGTTTTCGTCGTCCACGGAATGCGAATATGTGCGGGAAGCTTCGATTCTCGTTTCAACCGTACCGTACACACTCGACCCATCAACCAAACATCATGGTAAGTTATATACACGGTACTTAAAGAAATCTCTGTGTAAAATGTATCACGGTGGCGGAAACCCACAGCCCATCATCATCATCATCATTATTAGCAGCAGCAGCAGCATTCGCTTGTGTCGCCCGTTTCTAATTCGAGTATACACGCACACACCTTTTTACCGCGTATACCGATAGCCTCGCTGCCTATCCTCACCTCACCTCACCTCACCTCACCTCACCTGGCCATCCACATAAAATATTAAGCTGGACGTGTGTGCATACATACAAACGCATAAGCCCCGGAGATTCGGATGTAAGAAAAATAGAGAGGAGAGGAGAGAGAGAGAGAGAGGAAACATGCCTCTTTCTTCCCCCCTATAATTTTCCCGACTGCGGTTCCCGTATACTGTTACAAAGATGATGGCATTATGGCACATGGCACGAATTCGCATGCAAACGGTTCCAAACCCCGACGTGCAATCGTAGACACATGGTAAAAAAAAAAAAAAAGAGAGAGAGAGAGAGGTACACAATAGGTAGGGAAACAGGGAAAAACTCGGGGATAGGTACAAAAAAGAACACCGTTATTCAAATCAAAGAAGGAACATCCCGCCCCCCCGCCACATGGGTTTATCCTTTTCCCCCATCGAACTGCTGCAAGGAAGAGCTGATATCGTGCACATTACACAGCATTTGTCCACGAGCTGCTGCTGCTGCTGCTGCTGCTACACAGGTAGAGATGTCACAAATGGAGCTGGAAAACTTCTCAAAACAGAAAGTTTCGCCGTGTGTCGTTCGGGTGGAAAAAAATGTAAGGCTGAATACCTATGATATGTCACCGAAAAGAGGGGGGGGAAGAGGAAAACGGTACAGACGCATCTTGAGAAAATTTAGAAAAAATGCCTCCCCCGAGGGAATATACTTCTACCCATACCTATTGATTCTCCGTACCTATCGGTACCATCGGCCAAAGCAGCAATCTATCAGGGGCGTGTTGATCATCCGCGATACACCTATCCCGGAAAAACAACCAAGCAAAACAGAATCTCCTCTTGTCTCCACAAGCACGGGTAACCAAATAACTGAATATTTCTGGGAAAGATTGCTTTCTTCACGGCACATATACAACATGCGTGAGGTCGAGCGTTGGTAGGATAAATCCCACTATCTCTTGGTATGAAAGATGGATGTATGAATACTAGTGTATGGCCGCTTCCGGCATATGGTTTTTTTGATGATTTTTATCTTCCCAAAATATGACTTCAGTTTGGTACCGGGTATCTCATGGTGAGAAAAAGAGGTCCTCTCTTGCTCAATTTGATTCCGGGATAATGTGTATTGATTTGGATTAAAGATCGTGGGCAATCAACACACCTCTGATAGGTCAGAAGCCTTCGCGGAGAAAGGAAAGGAAAAAAAGAAGACTAGAAAATCAGACAATCATAGCTTCTTCTGATAGGTTAGCTACTTTAAGAACGTTAGTAGTGATGACACGCATCCACATACGTATAGGCGTACGGTTGTGAAAGGATAGTTCGGTATGGTGGGGGGGGGAAGGAAGAGAGGGAAAAGAGGGATGCCGCCTGTGAGAAGATTTAAATGCCGGAAAGAGGGGAAGGCCAATTTATAATTATACCTGTCGGGCCAAGGTTGAGAGACTTTGGTATCAAGTATTCGTACCCATCGGAAACACAAGCCCGGACGAGCCGCGGTCCCATACGAAGTATACTTGCTTATACCAGGCGATCAATAGAACGCAGATTTCTGCTCATGAATGTCAAGCTTAAGCCGGGTAAATTGTGTGAAATGCGCGAGATTGAGATGCTTTTTGGGCAGTTGCTGATGGGGAATGTTGATGGACAGGAATCGGAGAAGTTCGAGGTTAAGAGGAAAGAAGAGAGGAGAAGAGTTCTTAGCTGGGGCGAAATATACCACACACCCAACGCACTTTTGTGGATCCTTTTATAGGATTCGAATGAGTCCTTTCTTGCCTCATATTGGCTTGTAATAGATATATAATATTGACTGTTCTCAGAATATTCACGAATTAAAACTAGAGAGAACACTCTTAATTCGATTTCGAGGCGACATGCAACTAACCAGCAATGGAGGCAATATTTGTTCCAGTAATAATGCAAGGGATATCGTGCCTCGATGTCGAAAAAAAACAGACGTCTTCAGCGCTGCCTGAAGATGACGCACATAAATCAAGGCTACGAAATAACCATATTTCTACTAAGGAAGAAAGTGACAAGCATGCGCATTCGTTATGAATTAGCTACAGGCGTCGGTCTCATCCCACTAGAAAAAAATTAGGTCCGTATGTACCTATTCCCTCGGAGTTAACTACTTATCGGCTAGCTTTAGCATCTGGGGACAGGTATGTATTTCTGTCTTTAGTAAGTATCAAACCATAAGCTGCCTTACTTCATTTCCCCTCAAACACGAGCAATTAGGGTCGGTTATTAGGGACAGCGATGTCGGAGGCCTGGTGTGATGTTCATGTTTCCCTCCAGTCGATCCTGAAACATATCCCGTCAAATATCGTGGCGTCCTAAGCGATCTAGGAACATAATAGTCTCGTAACCACAAAGTTATATCTATCCTACAGATACGACATGGAGATTCACTCAGTGCAATGATCGAAACTTCTGGTGTCACAATTGATAGATTGAGCGGCAGACCGGAGAATGTGGTTTGAAGTGTACGATGGGGGACCAGGGTGGATGATTGAAGGCAGAACTAGTTTATAATTATAGAGGTCTGTCACTTATTGGAGCATATGATAGGTATAGATATAAGCATTATTTTGAAGGGTTCATTAATATTACAGTTATTTTATACTTAATCAAAGTCGTCTCTATAGATCTATTCCATTCCAGGCTTTGCAAGTAGTAAGTCCCGAAACCATTGTGGCTGCCGGCTGTTATGATGATCATGATGCAGAAAATTAGTTATATGTAGATACGTTGAGGTAGAAGGCAAAGAGAACGATGAATCTGAAGCTCGATATACTATGAAGAAGTATGCGAAAAAAAAAAAAACGAGAACTAGAAGTAGTCGTTGGATGCACATACGTCCGTACTCTGATGCTAGATAGGGTAGAGCCGACCTAGTATATTAGAGCCATGGGACGCTGCGTGTAGGTATACGGTGGATGTTCATGATCCCAGCACCAGAAAATTACTTAACTAAATACCTAACGCCAGTACACCACATCTTAATTAAATTAACATCTCCTCTTTATATAATCGCGATATGATGTATACACACACGACTGAGTACGGTGACCACGAAAGTCGCTCGGCAGAAAAAAAAAGAACAAAATGAGGATATGGATAACCGAGCGGAGAATTTGGGTGGCGGGCAGCGAATGATAGGTTGAAGCACCGCCGGCCGTCATGTGGAAACGTCACGCCCAGCCACCTGAACACTGCAGAGTTGAGTCCGGCCTTCCCTTTTCCATCAACCATCTCTAACTAAGTAACTATCACCAACCCGGCATCATCTCTGCTCTGAATTTTCTTATTTTAATTTCATTTCATTTCATTTCATCTCGCTCCATTCTTCAAGATTCCAGATCGCATCTAGTCTGATATGTGATGTAAAGATACTAATTAATCACTATCACCGGCTGCCTTCCGAACAAGCAAATTCACCCGGCGCCGTCCTTTGACAACAACAAACACAACGACCGCGCCCTGTTGGACCGTACTGGCTGTGCATGTACCTTACAGGCTCGACCAGCACTTAGCCGCGCATAAACATCAATCAATCAATCACAATCAACCAACAACCCCTACCCTGTTACACTTGTCTACTTTCCTACCATCGACAATCACGACTCCAAATTCTCGAAATTCACAATGGCCCGAGGCCGAAGAGACCCCTCGCGAGCCCGCTGGCTCTTGCCCGCTGCTCTAACCCTTACCGCTGCCGTCGCTACAGCTGGAGTCTATTTCTGGCGAGAAATGGAAGATCATGAAGCTGCGACCGGCTTTCGCTCCGAAGACGAGGAGACCGCTGATGAGAAGCGGAAAACGCGCGGGATGACCGGCAGGAGCTTTGGCAATAACTCTGCCTCTGCAACTGGACCGGGGATCACAGGGCGAGTCAGCGAGATATGGAAGGAGTTCTTCCAGGGCAGCAGCGACGAATCCGACGGAGGTCGTAAAAGTCGAGCCGGCCCGTCCATGAGCGGTCCTCCTCGTCCCTCTTCGTCCGGAGCCTCGAGTAGCAGTCTCGGGAGGAACAGTCTGCCCCGATCCGTCATACCGGATCCAGTAGCCAGCGTACCCATCCTTGGAAACTCCCAAGAGATAGACTGGGAAAAGAAGAGAATCATTGCCCTTGTTATATCTGGCAACGAAGAACTCGACGAGGTACTTACATCCATTTCCCCGAAGTGTTTATATTTACATACAAACACTTAGGATATATACACATATAAAGATAACAAGTTGCTAACAATATGGATATCATCTGTAGTCCCTCCTCCTCTCCCTCCCCACCCCTGTAGACATCTCCCGCTGGATCCTCTTAATCTTCGTGTACGCTCCTCCACCACCTCCATCCCCTTCACTCGTCAATCTTTCCCCACGGCCAATGCACCGTTCCCCTTCTCCGGCCTTGTCCATGAAATCATATACTTCCTCAAAATCCTTTGCTAGAACCCAACCTTCCCCCCCTGAACACTCTCCCGAAACTTCCCCATCTCTAGTCCCCATCCTTCGTACTCCCCTAACCTCAGGCCGTACCTCGCGCGCCGGAGACGGCGTCTTCATTGATGATGATGACTTGGCAGATCATCTCACCTCCACTGCATCGCTAACTTCCAGCCGACTACGCCTGAGCTCGTTCTCTAGGAAATCCAGATCCAATAGCTATAACCACGGATACTCATCAATGTCCGAACTCGATGCTCCAACGCCCTCGGCATCATCTACCTTTGCAAAGCGACTTAGTGGTTCATTCCGCCGTGGTCGCCGAGGCGGTACAGACGATTCCTCTGATCTATCCGAAGAAACATCAGTAGATAACTCCGTCACAATGCCCGGATTGATCCTAAAAACCTTTGGAAGAGATTTCCCTCATCAACAGGTTATGCATTACTCTACTCCCAAGGGTGTGGTTCATATGCTCCGTCACCTTGGTGTCTCGATCGTTTTCCTTTCCGAATCGTGCGCTTCAATCCCTTCTGCAGAAAATAACACTACCTCTTCATCAGATGAAGCCCCATCTAGCATGCCCGGCTCTCTTGCCGTTTCTCCACCGCCAGGAACGGCCGCTTCCGTAGGCGGTGGTGAAATTGTAGGACTGCTAAAAGACTGGGTTGGAGAAATTGTGCTCGTCTTGGACGAAGAAGAAGATGACAGCGCACCGGTCCTACCTAGTGCCGTTAGTGGCGGTGAGGATGACTACGGTGAGAGAAGAAGAAGGATGAAGGGGAAGGATAAATACGCAGGAGCCGTCAACGAATCCACCGGACGAAAGAGACGTTGGTTGAAGGATAAGAATGTTGCTAGGAGTATAACCATCTGCGATAGGCAGGGACTAAAGGGTATCTGGAGGGCGAAGGTGGAGGGAGTTAGGCCGTAAAAATCGCCCCATGAACTTCTGGAACATATAGGTAGCAGTTCGGGTCTCATTGGCAGTTGGGATTTTGTTCATTTTTCTTTGGCTTTTCGTTTCTTCGGAGGGAGTAATTTCCGGCTTTACTTTTTTTTTTCTTAACCTTCTGCACCGTTGCATTCATTCACTCATCTTTCACTTGCTTTGTTAATAAGCGTTGATCGTGTATAATACAATTCTCTGCCTTCATTGAGCCAGCCAGCCAGCCAGCCAGCACGTCAGACAGCCCATTTCTATTGGGACTATTTTTCCTTTTTCTTCTTTTTTTACCTACATATTCTAGTGCTGTTAATTTAGATATCACGGAGAGAAAGATATACTTTTGTCATGTAGCATACGATTTATTACCAAATGTTTATACGATAGAAAAAAATGCATGTTTTTCACGAAGGGTTTCTTCCATTCTCTTCTTTGTTTCGAAAAATATTAATATTTTCTTGCCCGCCGTTCATCCTCTTCTATTCCGAAAGCCACCATAAAATTTCGACCTTGATCTAATAGCGAAGTAATTCTTTTTTGAGAATTGGTAAAAAGAAAAGGGGGGAAAGAAAGGAACGGTATAAAACCTCAAGATGACACAGCGTGAAAACAAGGAGAAAAAGAGAAACAGGAAACAGGAAAAAGAACAGCAAGTTGAAAGACCAACAATAGAAGAACGCACAGAACGCCGGTTGATCTGGTATTTTGTGAATATACAGTCTTTTTTTTAATAAAAACAACCCTTCCATTTCAATGCTCATTAGTAGTAGTGGATAATAAAAGATGTCATCTGAGTCTTGCTAACATCCATTGATCAGGTTGATCAAGAAAAAAACATGGAGAAGAAAGGCGAGGATGACAAAGAAACTAGAAAGGTTACATGTAGCCCTTCAATTGAGAGAGGGGTGGAGGATTAAAGGGTAATGTGGTTATGGATATGAAATATAGCGGGTAATTTTTGGATACTTCATCGAGGTGGTCAGCCCGAATAAGATATGTATCTTCCTAGATGGTAAGGGGGTGAGAAGAAGGTTTAGAAAAGATAAAGAAATGGATATATCTGCGGGAGTGAAAGGGCTGGCGGAAGGTTAAAGAAGTTCACTTGAGTTTCAGGTACGCCTTTTGTAGAGTTTTAGTTTCCCTACCATCCTGCTCAAGAGCCTGAATCCAGTCTCTTATCTGGATACCCTTCCCTCTGTCGCCTTGTTCGCTCCACTCGCCCATCCTTTTGCCCCAGTACATAGTTGGGACATTAGTTGTGACCGTCGCAGCAGTCGCAGCAGGTGTCCCACCAGCTGCATTGGAGTTTCCCGGCAATCTGTTTGGTGTGCTAGCTCCGCTACCACCGCCACCGCCACCACCTGCCGACATCCATGAGTACTTCTTTTTTCGACCTCCTCCTAACATGAGACTAGCAGTCTCGTTGGCAGCTTTATGGGATTGAATCTCATCGAGTCTTGAGTTCTGCGCCTTTTTAGCTTCTTTTGCAGTCATACGTTTCTCCGGTTCTGGAGCAACGCTTCCTGGGAGAGGATTCGTAGTCTCGCCTGTTCCTCCATCTGCAGCTGGTGTTCCAGTTTTTGTGCCGTTCAGTCGTGTTAAGCGTGCTGCGGCACGGGCTTCTTCGATCATTCGCTCGTCCATCGCTAGAGCTCGGATTGACTTAGCAGTTTCGGAGAGCAGGGACGGGGTTCGCGGTAATATTGATGAAGAGTTAGCTTGGGCAAATGATCCTGTGTATCCAAGTCAGTCAAAAAAGGCCCTTCCCAACCCCACAGCTACCCACATAGGATACATACGTTTTCTCGAAACGCTGCCAGAAGGAGAATCAATGTTCTCTCCCTCAGAAAGTTCTGTTTTCAAACGCCCATCACGACCCTCACTCTCCCCAAACGCTATATCAGCCCAATCTCCCATACCCTTGACGGTATTGCCCCTTCTCCGATACTGGGCATACTGGGTTGCAGTTGTGAGCAGTTCCCTGATATGTTCCTGAGCAGCAATACTTAGGAGTTCGGCTAGCGCGGTATGATCAGCATTGGAGCTAATCCTCTCCTTTACTAACTTCTGGTGTGTCTGGCCCAGCAGCTTCTCCCTATGAAGAAATGGATCCTGTCCGTGTCGAAGTTTCCCTGAGGCCTCAGCTTCCTGTCTGTTAAGCGCTCTTTCCTCGGCAGAAACACCGCCAGAGAGTGATGAATGAAGGCCAGCGAAAGATGCAGCAGGTGTATCGTTATAGAGGTATTGTTCTTCGGCTTGCAGGTCGACACCGGTTGAAAACAGGACGTCGGTCAAGTCCTTCGTATCGACGGGCTTCTGAATCGGCGAAGTAGAGGACGGCGGCGGCATCGACATTGAGGCAGCGAAAGCAGCAGAGGGATGAGGGATAGGTGTACCGGGACCTGGCGAGTTTGTTCCAGACACAGGTTCCAACCTGGCGCGCTTTGTCGGTGGCATCTGTGGGTTTAGAATGGGAGGAGATACGGCTGGAGCCAGTATCGGATACTGGTGGCTCGTTTGTTTACTCATGATGGCGATTATGATGATAGGTTTCTAGGAGTAGATTTCTATGGGATGATGTCTGTGAGTGGTCGAATGGTTGGTGATGGTGATGGTTAGAATCTAGGATGAAGCTGTTTGCATGTGCATATGCATGGCGAGACCAAGTGCAGGGCAGGGAAGAGCACAACAGGACAGGACAGAGGGAGATTGGATAGCGGTACACGCGGGTGCCCGCGTCGCGAGAGATTGTGGTGAAGCCCTCCAGGCGGGTGGTGGTGATGCTGGTGATGGAGCAGACCAGCAATTGGTGGATGAAGCCGATGAGAGATGTCGGAGATGTCGGAGATGTTTTGTTGAAACGAATGTTGGTGGACGTTAGCAGTGATGGCCTGGCAGAAGACTGAGAAGCCGGCCGCCACGAGAACCTGGCAACCTACCCAACCGCGGGCGCAACACACAAATCAGGCTTAGCTTACTCCGTACAAAACACCATGAATCAAACTCCGTGGGCATGCCGACCAGCTGGTACCAGCTAGACGTCGACACTACTTCGATAAAATATAATATAGATGACGATAATGGCATTAATCTATTCTATAAGAGCAAGAGCAGAGATAATCCGAGATATGACGCTCCAAACGACCCAGCAAAGTTGAAGAAAGAAAAAAAACTCCCCGGCCCAGAATCAATCCAGCAGCAAATTAACATGAACAAAAAATATATATACAAACGAATTGAATACGAACCGGCCCTCAATCTGACATATTATGTCATATCACGCCGTGCCGTGCCATGTTATATCATGTCACATGTATGCATGCATATCAATGGAATCACTGGCTAAACCCTTCCCTCTCGGCTTGCTTTCTCCTCCTTTCCTCCTCTCTGACTGCTCCTCCGCTGGCCTTCCACCAGATATCCCCTCCATACCTGATTCCTAGCTCGAATAGCGCCCTTGGCCGATCAATAGCTGGCCGGACATCCAGGTAGAAAATGGACTCCCCTGTGGGCCCGGTTTCTCCAGCATAGTAATCAATTACATATCTAACCTCCTCTTTGTTCCCATCCGTTCCTTCAGATTCTGATGTAGATCTCTGAACATACCAATCATGTCTGTCAAATGGCATATTCCTATCCATAATCATTAGCATATATTATACCACAATAAATAAAGGATTTGAAAGAATGCTCACCCAAATTGTGGAAATACCATTCCCAAATAGTGGTACATCCTCGCCTTGGGACTCAAATCCCCAGGGCGTCCTTGGAACCTCAATAGCCTCGGCCTAGCCTGTACTTCCACTTCCCGACTCACATTATTTTCAAACACCCCACCCTCCTCTTCCTTATCTGCCGTACCTAAACCCCCTTTCCCGGCAATCTTTACGCCCCTCCAGATACTTCCCGCGAACTGTTTCTCCCACCCCACAATCTCCTGCCAAGCACCTTCATTCAAGAAATTATGAACATCAACCATATCCTCCACCGCATCTTCGGGTGTATCATCGTATCCTTTCCTTAACATTGCATTATACATCTGCTGGGGGGATGGATACTCCCAGTTCCCCTCCGAAGGGTGGGTTCCCTTTGGTATTGACGATATGATACGAGAGGTAGGCAGTGAGCTCTTTTGTTGCGGTGCAGGAGTATTGGAGAGTTTAGGCATCATGTTTAGAGGGTTTAAGTAGGACGACCAAGGACGGGAAGCTGTTGGTTCGGCATGCTGTTCTACTGGCTGAAGTTCAGATATAGCGTCTGATGAGTGCGTTTGGAAGGATGTGGAGAGTATGTTATTCGTTGGTGGAGGTGGTGGTGGGGCAGTGGCAGCGGGGTCTTTAGGTCGGTGCATTGGACATTCTGGCTGGATATCGCACATTCCGTAAGTATATTATCAGGACAAGCGATATAAGTGGGAGATAACTTACAGGAATATCCATGTTTCCTGCCATTTTATGCGGGTGATGAGGTGGTTTGGCTGTCTGCGACGCTGAAGTCGAAGCTGAAGCCGATGACGTCGGCGCATCTGCCCAAAACCAACCCATTTCTGATAGCTATGATGTCGACGGGAGAAGATAGAGTGGGGTGGTATAATTTGCGAGTAAAGATACTAATTTTTGCAGCAGCCTGGAAGATAGATTGTGGCTTGTCGGTAATATAATAATAGAGCTGAGCAAAATTCAAGAAAGAAAGGAAGGGAGAAAGATGAAAAAAAAAAGGAAGGAAAGAAAGATTTCAGATCGGTAAAAAATTTGGCGCTAAATGGCAAAGAAAACTCGGGAAGCCGCCACCCTTGCACAATGCCGAAGTCCTTCCGTCCACATGCCCGAACCCGACTCTTCACCTGACAGGGGTGCTTTTAACGCCCTCTAATTGGGCCAGCACCATTGACAATTATTAATACAGAGAAAATTATTAGAAAGTAATGTGCGATATAAGTACCAATCGCAAGGTAATTGGTTTAGTTCGTCAAGTCGTTACTGCTAGTATACAAATGCACAAACGGTAGGCAATAATAAGTATTGTTAACACCTCCTCCATAAACGCCAGTCAGTTGCAGTCAGTCAGTTACAATAATCAGGCAAATTCTCCTCCCGGAAAGCACGTCGCAGTACGTCGCAGTACGTATGGTTTGGTAGTAAGAATGCTCACTCGAAGAAAGAAAAGGAAAAAAACGCCATGAAAACGCCGTATTAAAGCATATTTGCGATGCTCGAACAAAATAACACACCCATATTGTATGACGGCTTGGAAAGAGAACGAAGGGGGGAAGAGAAGAAGAAGGACAAGGACAAGGACAAGGACAAGAAGAAGAAGAAGAAGAAGAAGAAGAAGAAGAAACAGAAAACCCTTCCCTTGGCGTCGCCTGTAAGCCTGTATCTGTAAATGAAGAAAATAATCAAAAAGTAGGAGGATGGGCATAATGTCCTGGTACTCTATTCCTGCACTTCTCGCAGTCGGCCCTGTACCCCATCGTAAATCGTCCCTTCGAGGTAGCAATTCCCGAGTCCCCGGCTTCGTCTTGTTGATGTCGCTTTTGTTGCATGGTTTCCCCGACCGCTGTCATTCCCATCCATCCACGGCTCTGGATCTCACTAGACGGACTAACCTCCAACCTTGTCATGTCCCTCATGATGATCCCTGGAGTATGTGGCCGTTGAATATGGTTATCCTGATCCTCGGCGTCAAGCATGCTAATAATACTAAGGTTCGACTCCTGCTGAACAAAAGAAGGGATATGGGGATCCACGTATGAGTCCCAATCATTCTGGCTAGCCGGTTGGGAATCTGCCATATCCAAGTCTTCCATCGCAACGTCCGAAACCTGACGTCGAGGCATCGGGGTAGGGGTGACGGGAGGGGAGATAAACGCATTCATGGCAACATTCGGGTGGGATGGAAGGAACGACGATGTTTGGTTTGTGTCTATGGAGGATGTACGTGGTTTCTATATTCAAGGATAGCGAGGTTAGTAATTTGAAGTGTAAGTAAGGCATGTATATTAGGAAATGCCCATGAGCTGGAATATGAGTAGTAGCGATAATACCTTGCACCCGAGAGCCATCAATCCATCATCTTCTTCCTCTTGGTCGCTATCAGCATAGCGAGCGGACCGTTTACGGGTTCCTTGACCAAACTGGCCTACGCCAAAAGCATTAGGCCAGTCAGGAGTGTCATAGGTAGAGTGGGCTGTACCAAACATCTTTGGTCCCTTCCTTTTCTTTCCCTAGACCCTACTTCAATCTATTGTCTTATGAAAAGTGGGTTGTGAAGGTACGGTGGTTTCTGTAGGAAAGAGGTGGTATGATATGGTATGATATGGTATGATGTGACTGTAGCGGTGTACTGTCGACTGGGGTTGAGAGCGACACAATATAATATTGAATACGAATTGAATTAATAATCGGAATAAGGTCCAAAACGCGTTCGAGCTGACGAAGTTAACAGATCGGCAGAATTTTGGTACTCGCGTGGAAGTCCGAGAACGTGGTAGAAAATCTATGGTGCCAGGTGATGAGGGCGATTCTATTGACGGTACTGGTAGATAGGTCGATTAAGTCGGGATTGAGATATGTAGCGGTCCGCCTGTCTATGTGATATTATGACATCTACTCCCTTCGACGAAATGGTCAAAAATGGTGATGGTGATGGGAGGATACAAAGTCGGCTGGCTGAAAGGACCATGAGCTGATTGTAAAATCCTCCCCTCAATTGCGGGTTTTAGAGAGTTGATGCCATCACGATGAGGGTGAAGGGAGAAAGAAGAAGGAAGGAAAAGGATCCTAGGATTCTGGCTGGCTGGCTTTGGGCTGTTTGGGCTGGAACTCAGGCTGGTCGGGTCAGGGTTGGTCTTGCGGTGGTTGCCCAAGCTAAGAGCCAAAATGGTCTCACTCGGAAACAGACAAGGAAGTCTAACAAACAAGGGTCGCTGCCATTAATACATTACATACTTAGTAAGTAAGTACTTCTCATATAGAAAAACGCTCATTGTCATCGTCATCATTGCATTGGTATAAATTTCGTTTCTATGATTGCGAGTATTGATATCTAATACTCGTGAGTGTAATATTACAGGTGAGATATTCCGCTCGCTGGATAACCAGCTGAGTGGGATCGATGGTTCAATAAAATAGTGGTATCATGATAAACATTCGAAGAAGATGAAGAAGAGGAGGGGGAAAAAAGAAAGGGAAAAAAGGACATTCATTCCGGAGATTAGAGGAAAGAAGAAAGACAGAATATGCAAAGAGAAGCAGCGAAGCCTAGACTAAGGAATCAGACTCAGAATCGACAAGGAAAAGACCGCGTTAGCTAGCGAATTCATGCCATGCCATGTACCCAAGAACGCCCGTTTCGATAACGACAACAGTGATAAGAAGAACAAGCCAGAGCAAGAAGAGAAAAGGCAGTATGTAATGGCTCCTGCTAGCCACACATGTGGGCATCAAGCAACATTGAGAGACCTAAATCGTAAAGATAATCAATACGGCTTCTAGCGTGTTGACCCTTGATTTCGTCCTCTGGTCTGCCTCCTTGACCCGGAGGCAACCATCGCATCGCTATATAGGCCGGACCCCGCATTTCGGGGTGCCGAGAATCCATATTTCCCATCTATGACAACATGGGAGGCACCGCCCTTAGGGCCGGTGGGAATATGTTGGACGACCGGTTGCGCCTGTGTCTGGAGGTTGCCGCGGGGCTTGGTTGGAATGGGCAGTTGTGGCGTGTCCTTTAGCATGAAATGGAGGAGCCGATCTGTAACGTTCAAATTTAGAACCCATGAAACCTGTTGGGTAGATGGATTGTACTTACTATCTCCTAGCTTGTTGTTGAACATCTCTACACACCTCTCGGCTTCCTCACGGGTTTCGAAGAGGAATTCCGCAATAACTGTGGGACTCGCGCTGAGGATCCCACAGTTAATTGGGGAAAGTCCAAACTTCTCCAGAATCGAGCGAATGTCTGAAGCTGTAGTGCCAGGAGCGAAGTTGGACCCCTGGACGGCGAAAGGGCCAGCGCTGCCCTTGATGGTGATTCCACCATTAATATTTTTGGGTTTGGCAGCACCACGGATGTTGACACCAAGGTCGCTAGCCGTTGGCTTCCCAGCATCACCTGCACCGTGTAAAGCCTCGAAGAGGCGGTTGCTAGCCAGCTTTTTGGCAACCTTCTGGCTGATCACAACGGGTGCCTTAGCTCCATTCGTGGCATCGGTTGACTTGGAGATTTTGGTGGGTCTGGGCTCTCGAGTGTTTGAAACGGAGGCATGAAGATCGTGAGTCCATTTTCCGTTCAGAGAGGCAGGTGGTTGTGAGACGTTCTTCCTCTGAAGAAGGAGTGAGTTCAGTAAGAAAGTGTCCAGCAATGAGAAGAGGCAAGTGAAATCAAGGGATATTTCGAGGCACAGTCGTTCCCGCCGAAGAGATCCGGAGAAGTGAAGGATATCGAACGGAAGAATGGGGGAAACGAAGAGTCCAACAAGAATATAGAAGTGATAGAAGACGAAAGTTGCCCGAGATTCCAAGTAACAATTCGTGACTAGAGGACCGGAGAATGAATCTGTACCTTCTGAATACCAGCTCGAGGTCCCGTCGGGATAGCGACGACACCTTTGCCATTGGCGCCTTTTCCGGATTGATTGGCACGTTTTTTGCGATCTAGAAATGGAGGTTAGTTAAGAGATAACCCTTTTGATAAGGTTGGTGAATACTCAGCAACGGACCTGCCTGGAGCATCTTATCAAGATCCTTTTCTTTCGTCTTCGCCATGATGTTAGATTATAATAGATGTGAGTGCGAGTGTAAGTGTATGAGAGAGGGAATGAATAGCGAAATGTGAGTGAGCGAGATCTCGTGGTTCTGAGGGATTGTTGATGAAGTTTGGGAGGTTGTTCGTGGAGGATTGAAGGGAAGGTCAAGTCGCAGATGGAAAGGCTGATGAAGTTGGAGGAAGGAATGGCGGCGGGTCAACGCGTGAAGAATGTTTGCCGCACAACACGCAGCCACAATGCACAGCCACAACACGAAACTGTTGCACAACACCACAACACCACAACACATTCAAGACAACATCCCAATCAAGATCCAATTACACGCTGGCTAGCAGGCGCAGGTGCAATAAATTGAACATGGACCCCGCCACACGTGCAGTACTTGTACTTATACTTTGACCTTTCACTTGCATTCGATACCTTACATCGATATACTATCATACGTATACCCCTAAAGCTCACAGTTGAGGACTCTGGCGACGAGACAAGTTAACTATAGCCCTACATTGAATTGCATTGCATTACCAAACAGCCAAAATGCAAACTCCTAGCCCCTGGCTTGAGGAATACCCAGCGCTTTCAGACGAGGTATATCCCGATACCAAGTTTTTCGTGACCTGAATAATAGCGGCGTAGTTTAGTAGTGGGCTAATATTAGAACTAGATCGTTCGTGAGCCTTGCGATTACGTCAAGGGGTTACCGTCTAAGAAGACATTGAGCCTTCTTATTGATGGACTCAATATCTGGTACAATGCCCCTTCACCACAAGTCGACATTATCAAGTCAATATGCGAAATGTTGCATAGGGTATCTTTGGTGTACGTTATCAATCTCATTAACTTCGCCGATCGATCCAATCCAGATATTTAGCCTGTTGGGTTATCATATATATGGGGAGAAAGAAGCTTGCATCGATACAGATCATGGCTAATATGATACCTTAGAATCGATGATATGCAAGACAATTCCGATTTACGCCGTGGAGAGCCAGCTGCCCACATGGTGTTCGGCGTACCACAAACAATGAACTCGGCAACCTACTTGCTGATAAAATGTGTCGAGGAAGCCGCTAGGCTTTCCCCATCTGCGATCACAGTTATTACCCGTATGTCTATTGAACTAATTTTAAAGTGTTCCATTTGTTGATAAAGTATCCATGATTCCTCTAGAGGGTGTCAGTAAGATTCACATAGGGCAAGGATACGATCTCCATTGGACTTTCCATGGAGAGATCCCATCCGAGAGGGAATATATTAGAATGATCGATGGGAGTCAGTTTACACCTTTAGCCAATATCATTTTGCGACATCTTAGTACCTAACGAACATGCACAGAAACCGGAGGATTTTTTCCAATTGCTGCTCGCCTGCTAAGGGATGAGGCTACTCAGAACAAGTATACACCCTTTCAATCATCCCCGACCTCCTAGGCTCGCTCGGTTCTATGCATAGTTGTATGTTCAATATCGGCTAATCGAACTTATAATATAGAGACCTTTACGTCGAGGATCTTCTCCTAATCATCGGGCGATTCTACCAAATCCGCGATGATTACATGAACCTCACTTCCCAAGAGGTATATATACATATCCCGCCATGTATTATACGATATGCATGACCTAATAGAAACTAGTACACAAACTCAAAAGGGCACCTTTCCGATCTCGATGAAGGAAAATATTCTTTAATGCTCATACACGCATTAAACAATACTACGGAAGGAACAAAACTGAAAAGCCTCCTTACTATTCGATCTCGGCAAGGCAATCTATCAGCAGAACAGAAGAATATTGTGATGAAGACTTTGGTGCAGACAAAAAGTATGGAATATGCCTTCAGTGTTCTAGAACAACTACAAAAAGAAATGAAAAGTCGACTGGTCAGCATTGAAAATCAAGTTGGAGAGAGCAAGATATTTCAAGCTATTTTGGAGAAATTACGAGTGGTGTAGGTGGAACACACACCCGTTTTACCTCGATGTATCCATTTCCTCGACCAAAGAACCTTTCCGCACAAACTTCAGACTCATCGCGAACCGGAATAACCCACCGTATGATACATTGTTTGATTAAATGGCTTCAGCTCAGTGGCACAGCTTTTTATTAAACAGCGGTCTGATCTCCCGCAGGGTCATCTGCACATCTCGTGTCTATGCGCGGATCCGTGAAGTCATGTACCTATTTACAACTTAAAAGGGACCAAATATAGCAAGACATAGTATAACGGCAATCTGAATCTCGACCTCGAATTTTTGATTTTACGTACTAGAAGCGATCCAACCAATACGGCATATGTCCGTTTCCGTCGAGGGTCTGAGCAAGAATCATGAAAAACAATCAAGTTACGTCCTCCCGCTTAAACTCTATTCCCATCTCGGATGCCGCAACATCATATGCCCATCGATCGCGAGGTTGGTAAAGACGACCTCCGATTTCATCTTTCTACCTGATCCTATTTTTTTCTATCTCGAACCCTTTTTTTTCCTAATCTAGAACCTCCAAGAAAACCGAAAGCACGCTAGCCCGCCTTCCACCCCCCTCCAAATTCCAACACTATACAACACCACGCCGCATCCAGCAAAGGAATTTTCACATTCTATGCTTTTAGTAATATTAATAACCTTCACATGCCTATTTCGCCTCAAAAGCCATGGTTCCGCCTAAGGAACGCCGGCCTAGATGGCGAGATACTCACACGGGCATCGTCATCCTTGTCATGTTCTTAATCTGTGCGCCAACCTTGCAACGATTATTATCGTATCTGTCAGGTGTGGTAACGTACGTTTCAATTTCTCCCCCTACCACGTTTGAGATATATAACCACGGTTTTATTTTCCCCTTTCTTCGATTCTCAGCCTCATGGAATCCTTCTATGGCTTCCTTCTTATATCTTATACCCACTTTTATAATACTGATCGAAGTATAGGTACGTTTTAATACCGATCGCTATTTTATTTAAGATCCTGGACATATATCTCCTCAATACCCGTCCTCTAAATCGCATCGTCGCTCGAATGCTGGAAATTGACAATATCGAGTCAGTAAAAATCTACCTGACGGTCGAAAGGTATCATCACTGTCTCACCTCATTCCCATGCTTCAAATATTCAAATTCCCTAGAGAGTTAGAATTCAGTCGAAATTTATCCAAAAGCTTGCTGACGTAGACATATACAAAATATTTCCCCAGCGACGATATTACTCCAGAAATAATTGACGATCCCGGCCCCTTCGAACTCCCAAATAACACCATTACCACCATTACCACCACTTCCAAAGGAACTGATACAATGTCCTCCTCACCAGTTCACATTCCGTCTCGCAGTCCTTCTCCTTCAGATACCGACAGCTACGACCGCCTCTCCGATATAAGTCCACATTCCTCGCCCACGATGGCGCATTCCGCGAAGTGGAGCGGTGGGAGCATCGTAAGCGATGATCACTTCACAACAACCAATTCCATTCCAGTAGTGGAAAGTCCTGTATATAAAACGGAAACAGGATCAGGAACAAGATCAATAAAGCCTGATATCAAAATCGAGCCACCGCCGCGGTTTCCTGTGCTACCGACGGAAGTAATGATCGAACCGAATTCCGCGACGGCACCACAACCCGTCGAAATGATGTCTTGGAACAGAAACTCATTTTCGAATCCCGCGATCCAAGATAAGCTGAGGCAACAATCTGTTCTATATCACCAAATACATGATCTGCTGGCAGAGCGTACGAGAAACAGGAGTGTCGTCGAAGGTAAGATCATCGCAGCCACGAAATGCAATAGAATAACGACTGACAGAGAAGCAGGCAACAACCTAAAACTCGCTGGAAATTTAAACCAAATAAGGGCGCCTCTAAGCCCTATCCCAGAACCAACATATAAAGTTGAAGGCGTTGACCACGCTAAAATCCAGGCGCTGAAAAACAAGTACCCGAATAAGCAGGCACTTCACAAGCACTTGGATTCCTTCTCTGCCATTATGAGTAGATTCATGGCGCTAAGTGCGCCCGATGTCTCGATCTTGGATCTTAAGGATCCGGTTTTCGATGAAAAGAAGCAGACGGCGGGAAGAGAGACGGATAAAGCTCGTAGGAGCCCGCGGTCTTCCCCAAGGATGGATAGACCTATAATAGTCTCAGATAGCCCAACACTACCGCCGCTTACGAGGCCGAGCTGGCATTTGGCGGATATACCAGAAGAAAAGTTGGTTGATGGGGTATAAATCTTGGATCAAGTTCTGTTATTGGCGTTTTTGAAGGGGAAACCTCGCGAGAGTACCAACTGGGTTGGGTCGTTTTTTTAAAAAATTGGAGTACTAGTAATTTTTGTAACTTACGAATACCACGGGACGGAGTCTATTCAATGAAATCGATGAAGTCGATGAAGTCGATGAAGTCAACAATACCGCTAATATGGTTAGCTTTGTAGCTCGGTAGAGTGTTTCAGGTATTTCGCAAAGTTCCATAGTCCAGGGTTTTGTATGATATCGCGGGTCCAAAAACACGTCGAGGGGTACGGAGCACTAATCACGGCAAGTTATCGATACCATGATAATTACCTATTATATAAATGACAGGGTACATGACACAGGATAATATACGGCAATAAGCTTTAGTATATCCTCAGGTCAAAAACTTCGGGCAAATCCCTTAAAAAGAAGATTCTGATGCAAGCTCTCTGGTGCCAGTATACTACATTGCTGGAGAGTACGAGAACGATCAATACACACCTACACAACCATTGCATTATGCAAATCTTTATATTTAGAAAGACAAATTCATTCAAAAAAAAATAAAAAAAATTAGAGCTACAAATAGCAAAAAGATATTTTGATCTACAGCATCCGAAATTCCCGGACCGTCACCGATTCCAGTACTACTCTGACAGTAAGAGGCTTAAGTAAGGCAGAGCGGACGGGATACCCTGTGCTCCTCTTCCTATGGCTGTAGATATCAATTCTACTCACTCAGTATTATTTATCCTCGACTTTTTTGCAAATTTTGTAGCGTGGGTGTTAACGTGCCATATCCTATTTGGGAACTTCAAGGTAAATAGGGTTTGTTGGCTTGGCAGGCGTTGGAGATTCTGTGTTGTTTCTACGCGATTCTTTGTATGTCGTCGAGTTTTAAAGATGAAAGTGATCAGGTGATGAGGATTTCTGGCGGAGGTCCACACCTTTCCTTGTATTTTCTAAGGCCCCATAATAATCATGTAGCTTATGCTGCTGCTGGGAAGTTTGACTCGAGACTACTTGAGGCTTCTACAAATATAAAGTCCCTCTTTTGAGGGTGTTTCTGCATTTTTAGGTCAAAATTGTCATGTGATTGGAAGGTAACATGGCGAGTGGGAGAACCCTCAAACGTTGACTCTCATATATTTGAAGCCCAAAGTCATCATGTGACCAAGAGTGTCAAAGCTCTTAATGGTGGTAGGGACTACTAAGTTGCTTAACCCTAACCTAAGGGATACGAGACTAACCTAAGGGGAGAGAATGGGAAGCGTATCTTTGCCTGGAGGAGAATATTGCTATTAAGTGCTACTTTACAAGTGAAGAGAAAAAAAACAGAGACTCAAACTCCTGCCAAATGCAATGAAACTCGTTAAAGCGTAGAAACAAAAAAGCAATGGTATCATAAAACATAGGCAACCAGTCCTCTTCAAGGCCCTGGTCCCTTCCTCTTCCTTTCTTCCTTTCTTTCTTTATTTCTATTTTATTACAGGTTTCCTCGCTCCGCCTGTTCTCTTTCAATAGCCTCAAACAACGATCTAAAGTTGCCTGCTCCGAATCCACCAAAGTTATTCCTCTGGATAATCTCAATGAAAACGGTGGGTCTATCCATCAATGGCTTCGTGAACAGTTGCAAAAGATATCCACCCTCGTCGAAGTCAATCAAAATATTCAACCTCCTAAGGGTCTCAAAGTCTTCCTCAAGCTTCATTCCCTGCTTGGCAAGTCTCTCTTTCATAGCAGCGTAGTATGTCTCTGGAACGGAGATGAACTCAATACCACGGTTTTTCATAGCCGTGACGGTATCGATCACGCTCTTAGTACGGAGGGCGATATGTTGAATACCAGGACCGTTGTAGAAGTCTACGTATTCTTCGATCTGAGACTTCTTCTTTCCAGGAGCGGGTTCATTGACTGGCATTTTGACGAGCTCGTTGGGGGAAGCCATGACGACGGATCGAAGGGCTGAGTAATCGGTGCAGATATCCTTGTCATCGACGGACCAGAAGCGGTGGAAGCCGAGACACTTCTCGTAGCTATAAAGAGTCTGTTAGATATCGGCTCAATAATGCCAAAGCATAAAAGAAAAATAACTTACTATTCGCAGACTTTGTTCATCTGATCCCAATCTTGGTTGCCGACACAATGATCGATAGCTTCCAATTCAATGCCGGGAAGGAGACCGGATAGTGGATCCTCCACAGTCGAGGCTCGATATCCGGGCATGAAGCTTCCAGTATAGCTGCTTCGATCGATTAAAGTATGTGTAGTCTCGCCGTATGTCTGGATAGTAGCAGTGACAACGCTTCCGAACTCGGTATCCTCTGTTCTCTTTGGTGGTGTGACGGGGATGGCACCGTTCTTAACGGCCTGGTTGTAAACGGCGTAGACATCATCGACTTCGAACGAGACATCCTTGACGGCATCACCGTGCTTCTCAAGGTGATCATGCATCTCCTTTAGTAATTTCTTGTCCTCATCGGTTGCATTTCTGATTTCCCTTGGTCGGAGTGGGGAAACCAAGACGAATTTCACGCCCCCGTTGGAGACGACGTGGGAAGCAAAGACTCGAGAACCGGTTTCGAGGCCGCTGTAGGCGAGGTGCTTGAAGCCCATACGGGTAACGTAGAAAGATGCTGCTTGTTTGGCATTGCCGACCCACCAGAGGATGTGGTCGTAACCACGATAACCATAACCACCGGTGGAGGATTGGCCGGTGGAGCTGAGGACCTCACCGGTTTCTGTGAGGATTGCAGGCTGTGAAGGAGCGGAAACGACGGGCTGAGCGGATGGAGCCATTGTGATCGATGGTTTCTATTTTATCGAATTCCAATACTGTATGGTGAGTGGATACCGAGATGTTGAGAACTCGAGGCGTAGGTAAGCTACTCAGTATGTTAAGTTAATTTATCCTTATGGCATTAATGGAAGAAAGACTAAAGCAAGAACGGGACCAAGCAAGAACTTTATAAGATGTCCTTACGTCTTGTAACTGTCTGAGATTTTTTTTTTAGTTTTATGAACTATGAACTTAAGAGCATCCCGTTTGCAGGTCTCCATCCAACGGCAATGCAAATGCACGTATGTAACAGGTAATACTGACCCCAGTTACCTACAGAAATGAGGGTGCATCCAATGTTGTCCAGGCAAATGCAGCTTACAACCTGACTTTGGTTCCGACAAGCCTAGCAACAGGGCTGCCGGGTTCCAAGACACGCTTCCATGCACACGGCCATCGCGCTTTGTCCGGATCGGGTAATCTGTCTTCTTTAGGAATCCAGGATGACCGTTGATAGCCGGTGGTTACCGTCCATCCGCCAACAAAGGCAACGCATTAGTGGAACTCTCTCCTCGGATGGCCCTCGAAGAGGTTAGAGCCCGCTTCATCCGCCCGGCTATCCAAGGTCGAGTTAGAGGCCGCTGGCTGCAGTCGGCAAGAGCTTTGGGTTTGGGGTCCAGAACTTGCCGGTGAGAATGTCCGATGAGATGAGATGACATACGAATGGCAGGGGTCGGTGTCGAAGACAGTCTGGGGAAGCTGGTTTTCTGGTAGGGCTGGTTTATACTACTAACTATTTTACCTATTATATAGGCTATTCTTTGATCCTTTTTCTACTCTATTCTATTTAACAACTATCTTGACATCAAATACACCCCCTTCCTTACATTACTTTTGAGCAAAACATTACAATTGAAAAGGCTTCAAAGCTACGGTACTTAAGAAGTATATTGGTTATTGCAACTGTCAAAATGGCACCAGCTCACCTTCTCTCCTCCAACGACGCCACTGTCCTTGAGCAAATCTTCGACCCAGAATCTGCTCCAACCCCTTCTCCAGTCACAATCGACCGTTCTCTACCCACATTCCCTCACATCAAAGTCTACAGCACTCTTACATCCCTCCGTTCAACTGAAATCCTTGCCATCCGTGCTGCAGAATCAGGTGATATAAACAAAGCCCTTCAGCTACTCACCTCAGCCATCGATTCCACTCCGACATACTGCTCAGCATACAATAATAGAGCACAAGTTCATCGTATGACTGTGTCTCTTCAAGATGAAGTAGAAATGGATAATTTGTTCTCTCAGAACGAAGAGATCAGAGAGAAAGTTCTAAAGGCATACAAGGACCTTACTACTGCTATTTCGCTTGCTACTCCAAGGACAGCAACTGAACCTATCTCTCCACAAACCGCAAAAATGTTAGCAAATGCTCACACCCAGCGTGCTACTATCCTACATACCACATCAAAGCATTTTGCCGAACGGCCTAAGAACTTAGAAATCCCCAGGGAATTAGAATACCTCGGAAATGACCTTGGAGCCTGGGAGGAGGCTGCGTCGAGAGATTTTTTCTGGGGCGGGAGATATGGCAATGAACTTGCAAAGGCAATGGCCGTACACACAAACCCTTATGCTAAGCTTTGTGGGAGCATTGTTAAGGAGGCTATGAAGAAGGAAATCGGAGAGGCCTTCTAAAGTTTCTTTTTTTTTTGTGTTCAATCTTTCGCTTTGAAGGCGTTCCGGGGGGGTCATGATGCTATGAATTTGCAGTTATTACAGCGACTGTCTTTTTCCTCTAACTTTTTTCCCTGTATGATACCAGAACGAATACAAGTCGCTCTATATAATCAAATAATATATCATATTTAAAGAAATGTGTCATTTAAATTATATACATTGGACGCATCGTAGTTTGGTTACAAGACTGGGTTGAATCAATCTCGCAGTCTAGAAGATGGGCCCCAAGCTTGATACTACGCTAGTAGACAGTAATTTATATGTTCGAACCCGGTGTTAAATATTATAATCAATCAAGTATACATAGTAGCCGAGAAACATGGAGCGCCTGCATCTAGATGATATTATCTGCCTAGGTCTTTTACCAAACTTAAACTCTTTGTGATCGATCGTAGCTATAGATTATTGTATTCCCTATCGCTCTTATAATACATATGTCAAGGCCTCAAATAAACAAATCAACGCTTCACTGCCCCCTCTACTCCACTCGCAACCCCAATTTTCGGCAAACCGTGACTTCTAAAGTACGGCTCAAAGTCCTGCCAAACAGCATTGTAGTCCTCCTGCACTTTCCCACTCTCCTTAATCGCCCAAGTCGTAGTCGCAAGCTGTAAACTAGTCTCAAACATGATCGCCAAACTTCCATCTCCGACTTTCATCGGTTTCAAGTCCGCATTGCTAGCCTTCTCAAAGCTTTCCTTGTCTGGTCCGTGAGCGGTGTTGCAATTGTGTAAACTTGCACCACCGGGGAGGAATCCACCGGCTTTGGCGTCGTATTCACCGGTTACGTTGACCATAAATTCTGCCATAACATTGCGGTGGAACCATGGTGGGCGGAAAGTGTTTTCAGCGACGAGCCAGCGTGGTGGGAAGAGAACGAAGTCGGCAAGGGCGGTGCCGGGGGTAGCGTGGTTCTTCATAGTAAGAACGGTGACTATAGTTTCGTTAGCTGTGAATATTATGCAGCAAATAGCTTTCGTAAAACCTACAAATAGAAGGATCTGGGTGATCGAAGCCAATCGATCCAACCGGGCTAAACATGTGTAGCGAGTATTTATACGGTAGATAGTTTCCGTGGTACGCAACCACATCATAAGGGCAATGATTCTACAGATGTCAGATAGTGCTTCAAAATAATCGATAATAGATATCACACATACCTGCTTTGCCGAAAACAGCCCACCCATAAACTTATTCACGACTTCCCACTCCTCATCTTCATCTACGTATCTTGCAACAGGGTACTTAAAATCCCTATGATTTGCCAACCCATTCGCACCAATTGGGCCCAGATCTGGAAGCTCCCAATGTCCCGCACAATAGGTTTCAAGAATATATCCTCTACAACCCTTCTCCTTGCCGTCCGGAAGTTCGGGGATAGAAAATTTCATGCCCCTTGAAATCACACATATTTCACCGGGTGCGACAAGAAGGTTTCCGAATTCGGTGTGGATTGAGAGACGTCCAAGTTGTGGGAGGATGAGGTAGTCGCCATCTGAGTTATAGAACGATTTTCGAACCATAGGTTTGTTGAAGCCGTAGACATGAATTGCCTATTCCTTTCATTAGCCTTCCGAGTCCTAGCATATCGAACGAAATATATAGACGTACCAATCCATCCTTCGTCTGGGGCTGCCCGCTCCCCGACACAGATCTCAAAGAGTCGATGAAATCCTGTGATCCTGCAGAGGTATCGTGAGCATTACCATCCGCCTTGCCAACGGCTTCTACATTCCTACCAGTTGACTTATCGGTTATGCTATGCGACGAGGGTACATCGAACGGATTCCATCGTAACTGCGTGGGAGTAACATGGACATCTTGTGTATTCGACGGCGAGTAGTCACTGATAAGATATGGATGAGAGAGTTTGGTGAAACGGTCATGTTCTACCGATGGACTATAATTTTATACCCAAGTTAAAAATTATTATTTTTACTGATATCCCACAGACCCTTCAATGCAAAGGATGGGAAATTCATACCGAATACGATATAGCCATGTCCGCTGGTTATGTGGTCGGTCGACGGTAAAAGCGGTACCACTAAGTTGTTCGGCGTATAATCCGTATGCGCACTTTTGAGGATTGTTCCCAAGCTTTGGGAGAGCTCCTGGAACGGCTTCAGAGCAGAAGTGGTTCCCGAACCCCTCTAGATTATCGTTAGCTCCGGAGCATGCATTATATTACCATGATGACTCGGAAGACCTACCATGATAGAGGTTTGGATCCGCATTTTCAGGATCTCTCCAAACCATTGTGAAGATACGTATTATACTAGTACTGGATGGGTTTTGAAAAGGTTTAGAAGCTAGGCTCTCAGGCTCAGAAAATCAAGTTGAAAAGTTAAATCGCCGATATCGATAGTTGAAGTAAAGTCGTCTAAGAACAAACCAATAATATATAATATATGTCAATGAGGATGTGAAGCTTAAGAATGCAGCCTGTGGTTGAATTCGGCCTTAATCCGGCAAACCCCCCTGCGAAGCTAAGTCGGGGTCGCACGAGGAAGCGAGTTGTGAGAATGGATGATCCAGGGTTTCCAGTCGCGGTTCGGCTGCCGTCGGCATTTGAAATATACTCCGAACGTTACTGTTAGGTCAATGTTTCATAACATAGAATATCACGTCACCTCGATGTTTTGTACAGAGCTCCATCGCCGATGTCAAAGTCGTCGTCGGATATTCCCATTTAGGTAAGTACTTATGTAAGTTATTGCGAAAATATTCCACACGGTTGATACTTTGTTAAGTTATTGCCAAGTGCGGTGATATCCATACGTGCTGAATTGGCAGTGAAGCCATCAGTGGTTATCACGCGCGGTATCGTTTGTTACCTTGAAAATTTCTTCATTGATTCTACCTCCTGCTCAGTACTTGGAGTCTGTCAAAGTCGTTAATTCAAATGTACATATGTTGACGGCCTAATGTGGTCGTTTCTTCGGGTGTTCCGCCAATATCTGAACTCTAGCTCAGCTGATCACGAAGGCTAGTATCGATCTAGACTAACATCGGTGAGCTTGATGGGATATCTCGTCAAGATTAACGAGCAGAAAATTCAAAGGTCCCAATCGACCAATTGATCAAGATGAATAGTAGTCGAGTTGTTCAAGTCTTAGCTATCAAATGCGAGACTTAATATAAACCAGTCAGGATGTAAAAGACATCTGGGTAGTATGTACGGAGTATGTATGTACATGCAGATCAGAGCAGTGCAGTGCACTCTTTGTGGCTTGCAAGGTGGTTTAAGTATCAAGAAGTATCAAATGCTAAATACAATATAAGAATAGAAGAATATGTAGGCCCTCACTGGTGATTATATTGTGCCCACGCAGTCGTTCTTGAGATCTCATAGCTAGTGGAGACTTAAGCTTGTCGACTTACATTTACTATGTTCGAACATTCGTGTTGCCTGCCTGGTTGCATATTGTATACATGTATCTTATCTATTCCCTGCAATTGACTAGACTGCTGGGTATTGTATGTACCGATGCATGCATAAGAATATCAATTCGAGATATGGTTTCGAATTGAAAGAGGACCGGTGGACCTCATAAACATAAAATGAGCCGCGGCTCCAAGAGTTTTCATGCATTGGGCATCGAATCGAGTATATGCTCTCATATGCATCCAAAATATTAACGGCTTTCAATTCGATGAAGCCCGCCACATTATAAAGCATTTATTCTGCGACAGTCTACTTCTTCCGGAGCAGAAGAGTACCCTCTCTTGCTCAAAACCTACAACGCATCAGTCAACTTAGCTTGGTCTCGTTCCCAGACGTCACAAAGGGCAGCTGTTTAAAGATGGTCGCTATATATCAACGATGTGTGTATCACCAACACTAGGCAGTTCCGGGATTCAGGTATGGTATTGATCGAGACTTGTCGGTTGTATCAGAAGGCTGGTGCTGTGAATTCTCAAGCCAAGACTCGATTTATGATGTGGGGTCAGATTTCTTGTAAACGCGCTTGGAAACAAGTAGCTTAGACTTCTCCGCATCCAGCTTAGACTTCCCCGCATCCTACTATAGACTTAACACACAAAATCTTCCTCGACGAGTAGTTCTCCACATCCCCAGGCCCATCCTGAAAAATGAGCAGGGCTGTGGCAGGTTCGCAGGTACTCCTTCTGAACCTTTGCTATCAACCGTTCCTCGACGCAGCGTATAAATCGTTGTTCGACGGCCTTTCGGCAAAGGCTGATTTAAAAAGAGCGAATGGAAGGGCTGAAGCGTTGCGATATATGGAACTGAGCCGACCAGTCGCTATCATTGCAACTGACGAAGGCTTGACAAAGTCGGAGAATGGGCAAGTTGTGGAAGCGGTATTGCAATATGTTCGAAATGGAGGAATCTTAATTCTCGGTCTTGACTTTCCAAGCTCAATCCCAATGGATGAATTTGACAAATTCTTTCAACGCAAGTTGGGCCTCCCTTGGGCTAGTGGACACTATCATCGTGAGGATTTTGAAATCAATGCGGAGGGAGCTTTCCCGCCCTCTGGTGGGTCGCATGGGCATTTCCCTCAAAATTATAATATGAAGGCGCTTCATATTAAAAACGCATTGCCGGAGCAAAAGCTCTATATAGCGTCCGGTTGCGACCAGGCTGGGATTGTTGGCACCAGTTATGGTGAAGGGTACCTCACCTACATTGGCGATTGTAACGGCGAAGCAGAGATGAATGATTTCATCATGGGCTTGATAGGCCTGACGTAGCACGTGGCTATGGAAAGGTAACCAACCCTTGCCCACTGATGATAGTGGCTCGGATCCTCGTCAATTGGTTCGAAGAAACATCTGTCTTCTCCTTAATTTTGCCATGGTAGCATAATGTTCTTCGAGAGTTGAATTCGTGAAATTTAAGTTGCGAAGGATAGTGGAATCTCGCTCGGTTCTTCAGGGTCCCTTCAATTCAACCAAATCCAAACCCCTCGGTCAATTCTCCCAACAACGATCCCCCGATCCAAAGTCAGTTCTCTTCCCCTGTATTCACTGTTACTCTTTTTATTTCTTGAATCGCTTTTGGTAAACCGGGTACAAATACCCTGATTGTTCTGGATTTAACATCAGTACTAAGAATTATATATAGTATATAATACAAATTGTATTTAATTTATAAAATACAAGCAGTATAATATTAAATGTTATCTTGTTTCTCTCCTCTTTATTAGCCTTGTTGATAATAGATTTGGCCTTTCACAGATCAACCAGAGAAATTTCCAGGCTGAATACTTGGGTAGTACTAGGTACCTAGTAAGTAAGTACTTAATTAACCCGTAGATAAGCGAGGTTGTATGTACAGATTGGGAGATATTTATACTCTTTCGATTCCGCCGTTGCGACCTGGCCTGGTCAATTGTCAGAGTATTATATTACTGATGTCACTTCGTGAAGGCTAAGATATATTTATACTTACGACACTCTCCCTTTGCTATCATCGGGTTTAATATTTATATCACGACGACATGTCTTCCCAACCAAAGATAACACTGCATACGTACTTCCGCTCATCATGCAGCGCCCGAGTCCGTATGGCCCTCCATCTGAAGGGTCTCACATTCACACCAGTCTACATCCATCTTCTCAAAGATGATCAATTCTCCCAATCCTACGTCGCTCTGAACCCTTCCAAAGCGGTCCCTACGATCACATTTTCGCCAAATGAAAACGACACAGAATCAGAACCCGTCGCCTTCGTTTTGACCCAATCGGTGGCAATCTTGGAGTATTTAGACGAGAGGTTCCCAGCACCGGAGTATCCTGCACTTCTCCCCAAGAATCTCGAAGACAGAGCTCGGGTACGACAGTTGTCTCACATTGTCGCCTGTGACATACAACCCCTGACGAATCTAAAGATGTTGAAAGAAATCAAGAAGTTCGCCGGAGAGGCCGGGAAGAATCCTGACACTGCGGGTCCGGAATGGCAGAGGAGGAATCTGGCGGAAGGTTTGAGGGCATTCGAAGCCGTGGCTAGTAAGACGGCAGGGAAATACTGTGTGGGGGATACTGTCACTATGGCGGACTTTTGTTTGATACCGACGATTGATTCGGCCGTGAGGTTTGGAGTTGACATGGGTGAATTCGAGACCATTGGGAGAATATGGCGGGCTCTGGAGGAGGTGGAGGCGGTTCAGAAGGGGGGGTGGAGAACCCAAGGGGACACACCTGAAGAGTTCAGATGCTAGTTGATATCGATTATAATTTATGATATGAATCGATCCGTATATAAATGATATCGATATCAACATTCGAATCGAATTATCAATATTCTTTCATGAGAGGGGACAAGTACAGACATTATATTATGATGAGCGCATGTATAGACTAGCGCTTGAAGAGTGCGTATCTAATCATCTTAGCGTTTCCCGCAATGATTTCCCACAATACCAAACGATGATACCACCGATCAGCTATCTCCACCTCCCTCTTATTAGCACACCTGCCATATCGGTGCCGTTCCTTATTCTGCGCCAGATAGACCCCTCGACTGTGGATCCAACAAAAATCCCCTTCAACCTTCAGCTCTCGATACTGTTTCTCCTCTTCAGCCGTGACATTTGTCATTTCGGTGCATGATTCCATTATTTCTTCAGTCGATATATCCCCAAACTGTTCGACTATATGATTCGACATTGTGATTTTATATCTCCACGGCCCGAGCGTCAACGGCCAAATAGTCTCAAGAATTTCAAGATACATAGTTGGAGTCCTAAGTTCCCACTCTTCATTCAGAATCGGATCCACAGGTATAGCCGTAATCTCCACCTCTAACCCCTCACCGGCCGGCCCCAATAACTCCCTGAGCCGGTAACTGAAAGGCAAGAGTATCCTTCTTATCCGATCGTCGTTCGTTTGTAGTGTACCTCCCCTATGGAGGAACCTAGACCTTGCGATACGGATGTCAAACAAATCGATCCTTACGTGGCGGATAAGCTGTCGGTATGTCGGTGCCAGAAACGGGAAGTTACCATTCTTGGACTTTGGAACAGATCTCGCGCATCTATAGCAGACACAATCCCAGGTAGAAGGCCGAGGGCCATAGTAGTTATCAATACGGCCTCTCAAATTGCCGCACCGGTAATGTCGAGCATCACAATACTTCCCGATCGGTCTTTCGATGATAACCTTTTTACCTCTATAAGTATCTTTAGTCAGCATAATGCCTAAATACCTACTTAGATACCTACGTACTTACATACGTACCTCATGGATTTAACTAGGATAAGGGATATTGACTTACTTCCTCTTCGTCTTCACGTTAGGGCAGGTATACCCTACAATCTCCCATGGTGAACTAAGAATCGCATTATAAGTATCCACCTTCGGCCGCCTTATTCGACGATCGCCCGTACTACAATCCGTAGTAATCTGTATCAAGAATGTATTCCGACCATACAAAACCAGAGCCCCTTCATCGTGTATTTGTTTATTTACTTGAAGAAAATGAGGGTAGATTTCATACTCAGGCAAGTCGGCATTGTGGCTCTTATTAGCCCGTATACGTAGACGGCGGGATATGGTACCTGTTGGTGCTGGGACGGGAGGCGGAGGGAAGTAGAGGAGGCATGTATAGATCTGGTCTCGGAGCTCTCGAGGGAGACGGAGGAAGGGGAATATTCTGCTTGTGTCCATTCTTCCCCCCCTCTATATAAGTACTTACTAGGCGTATATACCTAGGTATATACTATGTATAGGTAGGTACTTATAAAAAAGGATCGCGGACTATAAGTATATATGATGATATGATGAAGGAACTGGGACTTCGAATTAATTGCATACGACCCAGTTACCCCTAGGCCTGCTAATCGGTCGGAATTTTTACGTTTCTTATACTCGGACTCTATATATTTCCTCAAATCACCGAATGTTATGCAAGAAACCAGTGCATTCCCGCATATCCTTTATTTTTATTTTTTTAATACTCCCTCACTTTAAAATCTATAATTCTTAAAATCTTAATTGGAGAGGATATGCGCAAGCAGACGAATGTGTTAATTGGTCCATGCACGTGCGCGGTGATACCTTATCTTCGATTTTCTCGATAGATAGATATATCGATATCGATAACACGAATCAGGTGGATTCCACGTGGGATTTTGGGTACCGCCGCCATTCTGAATTCTTTCTCAATGCATGTTCACGTTTTAGATTTAATATATATAAAGTGTGCAATGTAACATCGATATCGGCCTGGCGGAAGAAGTTTCAGATTATAACGGTTACCATGGATTAGAGTCGCAAGGTTGCAAGATTAGTCAACTTGACTTCGGTTAAATGATTAATGTGATATCTGTATACCTATACAGCTGAGATACCCATCCAGCCATGGAGGATAGGTGAGTTCGCTGGATACTTGCTGTAATATAAAAAAAAGAAAGAAAAGGACTGTACATGTAAAAATAGAAAGGCGGCTTTGATCGAATATCAGCAGAAGCAAGAATGAATAATGTCGTAGTCCGCACCGATTATCATTCCGAGAGCCCCGCGTGGGTCCGAATACATCCTCGACGCCCGCTCTAGCCTTATCGATTGTCAATGCAATGCAAGTTTGAAGCCTCATGACGGGTGTGTGACGACAACGTCGCACTGCAGTACATGTACATGTACATGTGTATAGCGTAGTGTAACTAGAAGTAGAGAGAAAGAGGAAGAAAGAAACATGAAAAAAAAAAAAAGAACCCGACCCGCAACCTCGATGTAAGGGATCCAATGCCACATCTCCACCGCCATGGCGCCAGTACGTAATGCCGCATCCATACGATATCGTAATAAACCCTCCTCAAAAACGCCAATATTCTCCGTAGAACGCACCCGAAAAGAAATCCCCACAGTCGACATGTAAAATCCGTCGTAACCATTGATTATCAAAGCGAAACGAAAGAGCAAAAAAAGGGTCAAAGTTGAAGCCCCTTTCAAATCCCATTGCCAAACACCTGAACCTTCTGCCCCGGCGAGATCCTAGGACTCATAAACCCCTGCTCCACTCCCGACGATATCTCGTATCCAGGTTTAAAGAGTGTTTCTCTCGCTTCGCCTATTATCCCTCCTTCGTTAGCTTAAATCCTGGTGACAATTCGAATTCCCTTTTTTTTTCTCTTAAGGCAATGTTGGAACTTCGTTTAGGGAGAGGAAAAAAAAAAAAACGTACCAACGACAGTACCCCTCGTGACCCTTTTTTTACCCCTCAAACTTCCCTCTGCCATCGCCGCCTCGAGCGCGGAAGCTTGTTCGATCGTTAATGTCATCTGCATGGTCTGCTGCTGTTGCTGTGAATGTTCGGTGTCTGATAATATGGCCATCGTTTGGTTCCTCCTGCTTGTTTAAATTTTCTTTCTTGTCCGGACCTGCTGATCCCAAAACTTTGGAGAAAGGGTGTTTGACGGTTGTTTAAGTAGAGTTTTTTTTTTACACTTTTCTCAAAATCTGTTTAAGACAAAGCAAAGATTAGTCCGAGGGAAGTCTATTTAGCCTTCTTAGCTAGCGAAATGGGGGGTCGGTAGACACTCTAGAACCCCGGGGAATGTTAAAGGGGAGAAAAGAAGTTTTGCTTACGTGAAAGTGGTTTAGACCGGCGGGGTGGTTGGTTGGTTGGTTGATTATAAGGTGCTGAGCGAGTCGAGTCAGGAGTGTGGCTGGAATGCTGTCGGTCTTATATGTGATAAAATATAATATATCTGAGGCAACTGGCCGGCGGGATATCTCCAACCACACTACAGTACTAGTCGGACTTGACTTTTTATTGGTTTTAACAAAGTTAACTTCGCAATTGGCCTCGTTCGGACTCAAAATATGCCCGGTACTTTGGAACTTCTAGAAGCTTTTCTTCCAGAGGGAAAAGGGAGGGCCTTTTAATACTTTTTATTTTGGTTGGCGACTCTGCTATTTGGGCGGCGGGATTACTGGCTGAAGCGCTCGAGCTTCAGTTGTATCATTGGTGCCAGCTTAACTAGTGCATGTCTCAGATATCAATCCTCAGCTGTGACTCGACTCGAACTATTGAAAATACCACACCCCCATCATTTTTTAGATTCATTTCATTATCGTACACTGTTATTATTATTCTTTTTCTTCTCAGATTTAGCGTATCGAATCATAAGGATCAAGAATAAACAGGTCCGTTCATTCGTTAGTCTGGATTCATTGAATTCACTCTTTTTTCATTCCAGTGACTTTACTCCACCTCCCCCACTCCGCCGGCAGAATCACACCGGAACACTCTCCAAACCCAACTCTGCCTTCTCCGCTGCCCGCATGCCCTCTCAAGATAACCTCATCTCCATCTTCTAACCATTTCCTCTTCACGCCGTTGATATCAATGTCTTCCTTACCGCCTTGTGTGGCTTCGAGGTAGCTTCCGACCGACGTTTTATCGGTGCCGGAGATGGTTCCCGACCCCAGTAAATCACCGGTACGCATGGCGCAACCAGTAATAGTGTGATGCGCAAGCATCTGCGAGAATGAGAAGAGTAGGTTCTTCGAGTTTGAAGTGAATACTCTTGAGAACTCCTGTTGTCCGGCCGCTATTTTACCAACGAAAAAGTCAATGGCCGTTTTAAAATAGTAAAGGTCAACAATCATAAATGCATAAGTAGAGATCACTCACGCTTGACGAGTACTTCAAGCTCGACATCGAACACCCCCTTTCCACTTCTCTTCTCGTCCTTCAAATACGGCAAAACCTCTCCACCCTCCAACTGTGCAGTCCTAAACCCCTCCAAAGCCTCATCGGTAACAATCCAGGCTCCAACGGTAGTCCCGAAGTTCTTGGCATTGAAAGGTCCAAGTGGGACATATTCCCAAGCCTGTATATCTCTAGCACTCCAATCGTTCATAAGACTGTATCCAAAGATGTGGTCTTCGGCATTGGCAATATCGACCGGACTGCCCATCTCATTTGGTCGGGAAACGTAACAAGCCATTTCGAGTTCGATGTCAAGTCTATTACATTGGTCGAAATTTGGGGTGGAGTTTGTAGGAGGGCAGGTTTGTCCAAGCGGGCGTCTGAGGGGTGTGCCGGAGACTACGACCGTGGAGGCTCGACCGTGATAACCGACTGGAAGGTGGGTATAGTTTGGCTGGAGGGCATTTGCTGGACCACGGAAGAGAACACCAACCTGTGATACCATCCTTATCAGTATTCGATGTATTTTCTATTTAAAATTAGGAGAGGGACAGCGGTACGTTGAAAGCATGGTTCTTCCCAGCATAGAAGTCAGTGTAATCTCCAATCTCCATTGGAAGATGCATCTTAGCATCTGCCATCTTAACCAATGCGCTTTCAACCTCAGACTGCCATTGCGAACCAGTCTTTACGGCTTCAATAATAGCATTTCGAACAGCAATTCGGGCGGTCCGTCCTAACGCTGCGAATGCGTTGAGCGTTGTTTTCTGAAGAGCACTACAGATTTCAGATGCATCTGAAGATAGGACCTTTGGTAGGATGGTAGATGATAGAGCGGAAAGGTCGAGAACATGATTTCCGATAGCTGTGCACGGACGAGGGGTGGAATTTGTGGAGGTGGAGAAGACGCCGAAGGGGATATTGGCGAGTGTGAAGTCGCTGTCTTGTGGGATTGTGATGAACGACATTGTGAATCGAGTAGAGGTCGCTTCAATTGATATCTTAGGACACAGGGTTTTCTTAAAAAATGATATTCAGTCCGACCGTGATTCTTGAATCTCAAGTGTACTTTGAAGTTATGATATCAACTCTGCTGATGAGAAGGCCAAGGTAACCCGGGGTAGACAGACAGACGGCTTTTTAAGAGTGTTGGAATTGATGATGCATGCCGAGGGTAGCCGCGCGATGAGCTCAAGCTGCCACCCGCGCAGGGTTCAGCCAGCTACCCATGGCCGTGGGGCCGGTTCCGTAATGTTGGTAATGCATCATGGCAGCTAGCAGCCGGCAGCGCGCTGGACTGGATAATTCTAAGTTGCTTAGCCTCGGTGATATTAATGATTCGTACCGTGTATGTAAGGACTTATGTAAGGACTTATGTATAGACAGACAGACAAATACACATTATCATGCAAAATGTATGATTACCCGCTCAATAACTCCTGTGAGGTATACTAAAGTATGATTCCAAACCCAGCATCCAAATTCCCGCAGTGCAGTGGTAGACTTTAAAGCGGAAAGGTAAAACAAAAATATAAATAGGGAAAAAATGGAAATGGAAATGAAAATGGAAATGAAAATGAAAGCGAGCAGTAAAAACAGCTTCTCATAACAGTCGTCACATCAGTCTCGTAAACCAGCTGCCATATTCATAGGAAAATTCCAGGCAAATTATCGCTAGTATCGGTATCTCTCTTCCAATTCTGCTTGGACGGACACTTTTTCGAATCTATGAAGCGTTCCGCGTCCATGGGTAACATCATTTTGATTTCGGGACAATACTCCCACATATTTTTCCGGAGTTCAGGTTTGCCCCAGACCCCGCCGTGGAGCCATTCTCCTCCATTCCCTGTGTGGAAGCTGTATCATCGTATTAGCCACCAGTAGCAATTATCAATGTGAGGTCAAAGGAAATGGATATAAATACTCACCCCATCGGCTTCTCACTAAATATCATCTCAGCCGAGAACTTCTGCTGCTCCGTTCCGTTCGCCAAATGCGCGCCGGGTAGTAGTCCCAACCTCGATGTCAACCACACATCTTCCGGCTCGGTATGCGGAATTCTGATCTGATTCTCTAAAATCCTTATAATCCTCGATACCCGTCGAATACTGAGGCCTCCGTTTCCTCCAAACCTGTCGCCGGTATTCCAACTAGCACCGACCCAATCGTACTCTAACCAATCATCTAGATTCTGCTTCGAGTTGGCACAAATCATAGCGTCGGTTTGGAAGACCAGTAGAAATTCGGCAGGATAGAGAACGTCGCGGTAGAATGTGAGGTTTGTGAACGTCTGAGAAGTTGCCTCCTGGCCATTCAGCGACAGGCCTTCGGGGAGTTGGGCAATGTCGAGTTTTCCATCGTTGATGTGGGCACGAACGACATGAGAACGGTTGAGCCGTTGGATGGCTTCTTCCGTACCAAAGAATTTAAATCTCCCTAGTATAATTATAAAAGAGTTTTAAATTAGCTTAGCTATATTTTCCCTTGCTATAGACCAAAGGACCCACAGAGGTCGTATTTATGAGAAAAGCAAACGAGAAAAAGAGGCGAGGGGAATTTCAACCTACAATCCGGTGGCACGACACTCATATAATGAAGTAGCAAGGGAGTGAGATGCGGCAAAGCTCTGCCTTCAATCAACAACGCAACCTTGGTCTCGTTGAAGGGCGACCGCGGCGTATGAGGGAACTCGAAGTTGACACGAGGTACTCGGGAGATCACTTCCCTGGAGGCATTGGGGAAGAGAACGAAGCACCAGGTGAAGAGCAGCAGAGCTATCGGGAGCAGCGCCCTCTTCGTGAATTTCGTGGACAGTTCCATATCGTAGATAGCGTGGTAATAGAATCTAGACTATTCTCGGTAAGATCAATATCTGCCCAGCGACTATTAATCGACTATCTTGACCCCAGGACGAGCAAAACAGATGATGATATGGTGATAATGATCGTGGCTCTCCGATAATAAGAGGGAGTAAGTTAAGCAGGCGAAGGGTAGGTAAGTAGCAGGTAAGAGGGAGGTAATAGGCAGATTAAGAGAAGGTTTATCAAAGTCCCCCGGTTCGAGAGCGTTTATGCAGAGCACGTTGTCTATCTATCGGCATGCATGATTGTATTCCCACAGAGCGCGCGATATCCTAGGATCTAGTCGGGAATCGAGGAATCGAGGAGGTGGAGTGAAGTGAAATGAAGTGTAAGATTCTTACACGACGGACTATGATCTAGTAGAAGTAAGTGATCAATTAATAGTAAGTGCACGCTTCCATTATAATTAATCATTCAACGCATGCGCATGCAGGGATTGATGGAACCTTAATGCAAGCCTATTGACGGTACCAGTTCATTGCGGTTAGCTTGCAATGCCTCCATACAGTACTTCTTATTTACTTGTAGGGGGTCAGGGATGGGCATATAATCGCATCTTCGAGATTCGAAATGATTCAAACCAGAATCAAAAGCGTTTCTGTCTGTATTTCCGAATGCATCGGTCGACTATCTCGAGAACGTCGAGGGTAGAGTTATTACCCGAACAGGGGATACGTACGCCCAGTTCAACATGAAACATCGCCGTACCCGAAGAAGTTCTATTCAGGAACCGAGAAGCTAAAGCTTATTGGGTACAAGCTACTGGCAAGGGAAAAAAAAAAAAAAGAAAGCTGGTCACTCGGACAAGGATTAGAATCGTTGTGTGCTCTGTACTCTGTAAGTACGGAGTACTAATCATGCATGAAGTTGGAACGGAAGGGAATGTTATCCGATAGATGTAAGTACTTACTTGAGTACCTAAACTAGACTACTCCGTAACTACTTAGGTGGATATCCACAAGTATGTTGGTTATATTGCTGGCGATTCGATATCGATACCGTAGAAATTAAACCTCAAATGTCAGTTAGCCCGGTTGGCAACGTTGGTGGCAAATTAATATCCGCAGACATACAGGTGGTACTGGGACTACTATATTACGGCACATTCCGACGAGAAGCTAATCATAACGAGCCAGAGAATTAATGTTCTACCGATATTCGCTCGTCCTTGTTTTCCGGGTATATCATGCATACTAGTAGGTATCTTGAGTTAACGATTGCGTCTTGACCCTTGCATTTGTCATGACTATAGCCTTATTTGATATCAGTTGATTGCTTGTCGTATGCGAAGCTTTCAGCCACACGGGAAATAACACGATAACATCATCTTGGTATTAATTTAAAGGCATCACCAGGAAGTTTCCATGCATTTCATACTCCAGAATTCGTGTCTCATAGCTAATCATAACGAGAATAAAAAGTAAACAGATATATCGGCAGGTAACAGGCTTGAAGAGAAGTAAAGGAAGAAATGAAGCTTCGAAGGGAGAACTAGGCCGACCGGTCATAACAGCGTTACAATCATAAGTGCATCAACATAATATACAATGGAAGTGAACGTAGAACTCGTGACATAAAAATCCACATCTCCAAGGGCTCAAGGTTAGATCCGGATTAACAGAGGCAGGAGGGCAGCGAAACTAAAGAGACCCTAAACCATATTCTGCTGCCAAACGTTCGGATTCTTCAACGTCGGCTCCGGTCTTGAAACAACCTCATGCACGCCCCCACTTGTACCTGCCGCCTCTTCATCATCTTCCTGAGCAGCCGGTCGGATTCTCTGCCTCCAACCCATAGCCGTACGTTCATTAAAACCTGGAGCAAAAAAGAATCCACATTAGCATCCCTGTCGTTCAAAAAGATGGGATGAAGCCGCTCTGTAGGAAGTGAGAGAAAAAGGCTTACCATAAACATGTGCATCGACGAAGCCATTAAACACCAAAAGCATCTAAAAATTGACAAGGGGCACCCGTAGTATTAGCCACAATATATTCTCGGAGCCAACCGTACCGAACATGCAAGGGAATCCAAAAGCAAAAAGGAAAGAGTAAAGGAAATACCTTAGCTAACCCCTCCACATGAATACTAACCCCCTCACCACCCCTCGCAACCTGAATAATCATAACAATCGTAGGAATAGCCCAAAGCACTGCGTAGGCTAATGGGTAAGAAATCATCTGAATGGCAATTTTTCTAACTTGCTTTTGCTGCTCGGCTTCCTCTTGTGCCCTTTCGGCTGCAGTTTGTATCTGCCCGGCAACAGCGGGATCATGGACAGTTTGTGTAAACCCAGTGGAAGAACCGGACCGTGACGTATCGAGGCTTGAAGAACCGTTCCCACTGGAAATTTCGTCGGGATTAACCTTTTCGGATTCGGGGTTTGTGGCTGGAGCCGTAGTGGTGACAGGCTGAGGAGGGGCCCTGTCGGATGCACGCCCGCGATAGGTCTTTTGGATATTTGCACGACGACGGGCATGGAGAATTAGACGATAGACGGCGATGTAAATAACCAGACAGACGAGTATGATGATCCAGCGGGGGATATAGTTGAAATACAACCGAATGTTACGGGATCCTAACCAACAAACTGTATAACTCGTTAGTATGCTCTTGTCCGCTCGATACTAGATCTAGATCTATAGAACGAAGCGTATATAGACACTTACATCCACCAACGTTCGCATAATCCCAAAACCCAAAGGCGAAGAAAGCGGCAATAAGGGAAACGAGCCATGGGAACAACCAAACAGCCCAAACGTTCTCTCGAATCCATTTTAAGACCATCGATGGCCCAGACAGCATAAGGAGCGTAATAAGGGCGATGCTAATTTGCCATACATCGACTATCCACCAATCCAGTTAGCTGTGGTCCTCAAACTTAAATATATATCTTTTTGAAAAAAATGAAAAAAAGCATATGCATACTTTGAGCGAAGAAAAGTTGCATAAGAAACCCATTGGCAGAGCAAAATCCTTCATTCCATGGTGATGAAATTTCCCGCCCTGTTACCATCGACAAGCTAGGAATAAAAAAGTTGAGGGCGAGTAGAAGGTCGCTGACTGCCAGGCCAAGAATCAATTTATGCCTGAAGGAGCGGCATTCTCGTAAAAACTAGTATATTCGCACCAGTAACCTTCGTAAGCTATGTGTTATAAAGAATATGTGTAAAAGAAGGGAACTTACGAAGAACCCTAGAATCATGTATAAAGACCCAACAATCGATAGCACCGATCCCGCAAGCACAACACCAGCTAGGTGGCGCTGACTCCATGCATCACCGAATGGCTGCATTGCGGCTTTTAAGTATAATTGAAGCGAATAGAAATATTATTGGGGAAAAACGGGGGGGAGGAGTTTAACTAGCTCCAGAGTATTTGGTTTGAGTAGCTAAACCTCTTGAAATACAAATAATAGTAAAAAGGTTGTCGAGATAGCGAGTAAGAAAAGTTTCCAAGTATAAATATTTTTCGAACAAGGGATAAGGATAAGAAGGATAGATATCGATAGCACGATATTATTTATGTGCGTATGTATGTATATAAGTATATGCAAAGTAGATCTATGCACCGACTAAACCGATTCGAGACTCTTAATTATAACAGGGAATGGAAGGGAAAGGGATCTTGATATCAAAGCTGGATAAGAAGGAAGTCTGAAAGAGGAGAGATGATCTCTTGCTAGAACGATGAGAGGAGACATGATAAAAAGATGAGGATCTATACCGGGAACTATATACCCGCAGAGAAGTGTTCTGGATGTCAATGAGGGGCGAGCAGAGCAATGGCCCTGCGCTTGGAGGCGTGAGTGCTACCGGGGTGCACGAGGGCTGGCATATGCTGCGGGTACATGTGTATCAGCCAGAACTGAAGCGAACCGTTGTGTACCGAGCAGTTAGTGTGCCACGGCGAGAATACCCTTTTTAATTTTGAAGAAGCAATTGCCTGATGCAGGGACCTTCGTTTCTTCTTTTCTTCTTTTCAAAATTTTGCAGTTTTGGAGACAAAGATCATGCCGAAGTGGGTTTGACAAATTGAACAGAATAAGAACAATGTATGAGGTAAGTGATATCTCAAAAAAGGAAAGAAGAAAATCTGCGTGAACTTCCACCTCCTTTGCCCCCAATAGATTTCGTACATGTCTAACAGATTGAACGAATCACAACCTTTCGCAGTTGAGGAGAGGTGCAGCTCTTCATATCGAAGCCAGGGGAGGCCGAGGTGTTAAACCAGCCACACGATGTGCTCTGTCGGCCCCGCACAGCGTGCCATGGCATGCATACCCAAGATTTGAACGCGGGAGGGAATCTGATACGAAAAAACCAGAAACGGGCTACGGAGGACAGTTACCAATCTATTATTCGTCGGACTTGGTTTAGTCTATTAATTTCAGAATAGGAAATTGGTGATATATGGAGAGAGGTAATCGATAGGGATGCTAGAAGTTAAAGGGGGTTACCTGCTATCCGAGTGAGAGTTAACGGCGTGATATTAGGCCACGGATACGCGCTACGTCGGAAGAAGAGATCCTTATCCGTCGATTGGCTTGAGAATAGATGAGGCGTTCGAATTAAGATCGCCATAATGGCGATGCTCTAAGTTAGTAGTAACCTTGTTTCGACGGATGTGAGTGAAGCTGCTTGCATTAGACAGAGCACTAGCAAGTTGGTGAGTACCTAAGTTCAGTGTGTAATAATGTCAGTAGCTTCTGTAGCTAAGCTAAGCTAAGCTAAGTCCAGTCCAACCCGGCCTAGCCCATGTATAAAATGGTAATATGAAGCATGAGATCGAAGTGGAAGAGAAAGAATAGGCGACGCGGATGCCCGTTGGTGCATGGTGAAGTGCTGTGTACATGTGTGCATAGTTACTTACTTACCTAGTGTACTACCTAGGTAGTTACCGTTAACGTTAACAGGACCGTCAACGTTGAGGAATTCGAACCCAGAAGAGAAGCGTCCGTGCCGATCTCCCAGTCGCTGCATTGCACTAGGCAAAATGTGTTGTGTGTCGTTGCCGATCCAGACCCGTCTGCAACACATTGCGACTCCACTCTCGATTTCCATGGCAGGAAAAAGACCCGCCCAAAACAGGCGAGCGGACCACACTCCGTCGCCATACCATGTGCTACCCTGCCCGCCCTGCCCACTTCCTTCACCAGCCGCCAGCTCCTGTACAAAGTACATGTACACCACATACCTCTGGGTGATATACTTAGCAACTAAGCTTGCTCGGTAGGCACTTGAGCATCGACCCAATCTCCAATCCGGACTAGTCCAACACGGTTACAGAGTATCTGGCCCTGTTTCTTCCATCTCAGCCAAGTCCGCGATCTGGCGGCTGCTTAAGCTGACTCGTCTGTCCGCTCTGTCTCTGTCGCCAATTTCATCATCGCCATTACATTAACAGAACACTACTCTTCCACATCCAACAGCTCCATCAGCGGCAGCTTCCCTAGCTCTAGCTTCCCCCCCACCACCACCACCACCACCACCACCACCACTATCATCATCACCGCTATTACTACCACCACTACACCCCAGCACACACTTGCGCCGTATCTCCCATATATAGCTATTACCAAGATATTCCAACGATCTAGACCTTCGAAACCCACTCGCACATACGCACGCACACAAGCCACCCCTTACTTCACATTGCATTGAACGTATATCCATAATAAAAAGCAATATGTCCCGAATACCCACCCTCCTGCTTCACCTCTTCCTGGGCTTTAGTTTCTTTCTCATCCTTTCCGCCGCTGCCGACCCCCTCTCTTATTGCAAATGCACTTGCGGTGCCTCCTCTATAATCATCCCTCTGGACCATGACGACCCGAAAGCTCTAACCTGCCTTGACTGCAACAGGAGCTTTTGCCGAAGTTCCAACATTAACATCTGTGATGGCAAGAAGGAGGATGAAATCTCCACCAGCTGTTTCCGTAAGCCGTTATTTTTCTTCCCACATAGATCTATTTTTTTCCGCGCTAGGTACTCCGGTGTTTTAAGATTTAGATATTATAACACCGGTAGTAGACATATAACCGCTCAGCTGTGGAAAAACGGCTGCCAACATCATTTTATTTTCGATATGAGGATATGAATCAGGAGAGGCTGACCCGTTTAATTCTTGTTGGAAATAGAGCGTGATTCCGTTAAAGACCAAGCCGTCGTATTGATCTTTATTACGGCTACCGGAATGTTACTTCTTTACGCAGCTATCAGGCCGTGGATATCAAAGTGGTTTGTATGTGATATCACAACTTTTCTCTCTCTCTTTCGCTGTAGGTGATAGCCCACTAATTTGAATTATACAGAACCCTCAAACTCGGTACGAACAGCTGCCAGGTCGGTGAAGGGCCCAAGTATACTACTAGTACGGTAGAAACTCCCATTTTTATTATTATTTTGAAACACAAGCACCACATACATCTATGCATGAACTACTTTTCTTCTTTCTCTATACCACCATAAAACGAGGAAGGGTTTGCCGGGAACTCTTTTTCATTTTCGGAACTTTTACAGATCAATTTTCGCTTACTGTGATTTGGGGGCTACTTTCTGGCATCTTGGCGTACATGTTCTGTATTTATCAAAAGGTGCCGAAGGGGGGATCTGTAGGTCGGCGGGGACCAAGATGAGGAACAGATAGCTAAGGAGGAGCATTACTTTGGATCCATCTTGCATACAACATGGGCGTTAAACCTCTTTTGGAGGAATCTACTAGGGAACAAGATCTTAGCTATAGTATCAAGTTATAGCATGCCTATTAAAGGTCTTAGATCGATCGAGAAAAACAAGATTGCGAGATTCATCCGCTTTAATATGGTCTATTCTACCACGAGCTATTGGTTCATGCCTCTTTAAACTTATCACCTATCGAGGGGTATCGATACATCCGGGGTTTCGCCATCCAGTCATGCATATAAGTTGAACACCTCCCCACTTGAGATCCCTCCACTGCTGAATCCTGCACGATGCAAAAATAATGCATAACAACTTAGGCAAGAATTAACTTGCCTAAACGGTTTGATTGCTTGGTGGTTTTTTTTTGTTTGGTAAAAAAAAATCTCTAATGCACCTTCAACGAAAAGCCGCCGCCAACCTCTTCTTCGTCTAGCCCAGCAAATAGTCCACTTCGACCTGCCAAGCCGACCTCTCCGAATAATTGCGGAGCATCACCCCTCATGGGCGCCGAAGGGCTGTTGAGCCGTCTTCGTTTCTCTTGCCCAGCCTTCGAGGGAAAGGTGGGGAACATAGCTTCGGATTTCGGTTTGGGGTCGTCTCGGAAGTAGGGATGTTTGAGGGCTTCTTCCGCCGTAATCCGTTTTGAAGGGTCGAGGGATAGCAGGGAAGATAGTAGGGAGACGCCGTTAGTGGTTAGAAGTGGGAATTTGGAGCGAAGTAAATGACCAGTGCTATAGAATGAAGAAGAGCTCATGGTGTCATCGTTAGTGTACACCCTTGAAATGTATTTCTCGCGCTTTTGTGTAGACTCTAGGGGAATGGAGGGAAAGAACCTACGTTTGTTTTGTCCTTGGAAATCTCAAGCTCTTCGAATTCGGTAGCCGTCTCCATCCAGGCCACTCTTCGTCCGTCGGTACACCCATCAACTCGAATATCTTGGACAATTGATCAATCTCGCTTTTGCCCTGGAATAAGGGCTCCTTGAGGATCAATTCTGCGAAAATACACCCAATACTCCAGATATCAATCGCAGTTCCATATTTCTGCGCCCCCAGTAACAGCTCAGGACTTCTGTACCACAGCGTAACAACTAGCTGAGTTAATGGCAAGCATGGGTCGCCAAAGTACCGTGCTAGCCCGAAGTCTGCAACTTTGATTTGTCCCCGATTGTTCATCAACAAGTTCGACGTCTTGAGATCGCGGTGCATGATCCAATTCGTGTGCATGGTGGCGGTGGCGGATAGTAGCTGTAACATGAGCGTTTTTACTTCAGATTGCAAGAATGGCTCGGGCATATCGTCGAGGAGGGTCTTGAGGTCGTGTTCGATGAAGTCCATGACTATGTATACCCTGACTAGTATTAGTGACCATCCCATACAGACTTCTCACCTTGTCTCTGACAACTTCTCGTCATCATGACAAAAAAACGGTGCAAAAAAAAAACCTGCATGAAAAAAATGCAATAGGATGACACGCACTGGTTCAGCTGTTCGCCCACGACTACCTCTCGTAAATTCACAACATTGGCATGCCGTGCTGCCATTAATGTCTGAATCTCCCGTAGACTTGTAATAGGGAATCCATCCGTCTCCCCTTCCAACTTTAACTTTTTCAATGCCACCACTTCTCCACTAGCAATGTGCCGTGCCCGAGATACGATGCCATATGAACCCTCTTCGATACGGTTCAATGGTTCGTAATCGTCTACCGAGTTACATGGCTTGATCTCTGGCGCAGGAAATCGTAGTAACCGCGCTTCGCCCGTATCCCTGTCTCCGTTCGTAGTACCGGAAGCATGTTTCTTCCTCTTCGGCGAGGTAGCTGCATCGTCATCTGGTTCCGCTGAGACTTTCCGTCGTTTGGAAGGCGGTTCGTCTGATACGCCTAGCGACTGTTGCGCGTACCGTTCCCCATCCTCGTGTCGCCTACGTGCAGCCGCAGCTTCTTCTTCGGCCTTTCGGGCCTTCTCGAGTTTTAACGCTTTCTTGGCTTCCTTCTCAGCTTTTCGGCGGGCGGCTTCAGCGGCATCCTCGGCAGTTTCGGTGTCCCAGCGGGATTTGAGCTTCGATGACATGATTGGGATTGGTGTACTGATCGTGGTTTAAAGTTGGGGCACGACCACCAGTTGGGACTCTCCTGGCTATGCTGGCTGGTACGATGCCGGGCTAGTGGGCCTAACTAAGCGAAACAGGCCCGAACAACACGGAAAAAATTCCAACCCGTTTGAACAAAACCTTCGACGTCTTCGATATACAGCGATATCTCCAACCCAGTTCAAGAATTCAAAGCAATCGCCAGGGAGGGGCCAATGCCTTTTGAATCGTTCTCCGACATATAATCCGGTACCTTTCTCTTATAAACCCGTCACAATGAAACCGATGACCCGCCTCTCCCGCGTCCTCCTCACCGACCTTCCCCATGCTACAATTGCAAAGCCCCACCATCTAACCCTCACCCGACGTGCCATCCATACTACCCAACCAACCTATAAGGACGACAGCAAACTCACGAACCCTCAGCAATGGCGTAAAGCAATTTGGGGTGAAGCAGGTCCTGCTGATCCTTACAAAGAACTTACTTCAGAAGAACGTGAAAAACGGGAGATAGAACGTATCGAAGCACAGGAATACGAACAGATAAAGAAACAGGATGCGAAGACAGAGGCTGAAAAAGAGAAGCTGAGGGCGGAAAAGGAGGCGACGTATGCACCAGATGTAGATGCCAGGGATATGATTGTGGCTGGAACACGGGGGGCATTCATGAAGAAGAAATGGGATCCAAAGAATCGGATTTGGAGGTATCTGTTACATTGCATTTTGACCGACGATGGTCAATTGGGCCATGACAACTGGTAGCTAATGGTATCGATGACATACAGATTCCTTCTAACACGGCTCGAAAATCCGGAGGAAGTCGCTGCTGCCGTCCGCCGTGCCGTTGTGGAAACGTACTCACTCGCAATCGCAAAATCGAAACCTACACAAGCATGCGTAACCTATAAGGGCCCGGAATACCTCACCGAGAAAGTAAAAATCACAAAAACCGAAGATGGGAAGGACTACAAGTTTGACTTCAGATCTCCAGACGTAGCAAGACGTATCAAGGAATATGCGATATCACAAAAACAGCCATTGAAGTCGGATTTAGAGCTTGTAGAGGGAATTGAAAAAGCCGAAGGAGATGATTGGAAAAGTATGACGCTAGGTGGGGCTAGTTTGAAGTTTGCGGTAAGTTCTACATAAACAAACTTGGTTGGATCGCAAAGTCGATGCTGAATTAGTGGGGATATAGGTCTTGAAACGAAGCATGCTATTGACCGGAATACCTCTAACCGACCCAGTCATGCATGCCATTTCCACACCAGGTCAGCTGATAAAGCAATTCCACCGCATCCTCGCCCAGGGAACTTCTACAAGGCTTGCTCCAGCCCTCGCAGAGAACGAGGCTATCTCGGAAACTCCCAACGTTGCAATCCATCAACACCAGATCAAGTTCACAGATAAGGAACGGGCCATCGGCCGAATGGAGACCATCCCCATCATGATGGCGGGCAGGGCTAAACAAGAAGGAGAAATTGTTGGAAGGGGCAAAACGACAAAGACGGGTAGGAGGTTGGTATCAAAGAGCATGCTCAAGCTGAGAGTGAGGAAGCTTAAGGGATGGGGTGTTAATGGTATTGATAAGGCGTCGAGGATAAGTAAAGTTGAGACGGCACCTGCCGTAGCCGAGCTACAATAGGGGGTGTTATATGGGAGCTGGGTCGCTTTGTATATGTACATATGTATTCTTGTAGATATTATAGAGCTTTTTGTGTATAATGTCAACTTTCACATTTCCAAGGAAGAATGGACATTTTCTCAAGCCTGTGAGGCTGAAATTCTATTTTTTTCTTTCATTCATTTTTTTCTATCAATATTAGAGCATCTCCTAGGATGATGATAACTATGATAAATGGCTTCCTCTCTCGGGATTGTGGATGCAATCAGATAGTCTAAAGCTATTAGAGAGGAGATGCTGAAGTAAGTATTAAAAATGATAAATAAAGGAGATAAAAATGCTCTGTCGGCTGCTACACCCGACAGCGAATCAAACCATCAAATCCTAACGATACTCTTATTCATCGCTATCGCCATCCTTGTTGTCTCCGGAAGGACGCTTCTCTCTCCTTTCCCTGATCGCAGCGGCTAAGTTTTCAAGAATTTCAACGGTTTCCTCCCATCCAACACAGGCATCAGTGATACTAACACCCTTCTTGAGAGCACTTGGACCCTCGGCTGGAACAGATTGTTTTCCTTCATTGATATTCGACTCAATCATAACACCAACAATGCCCTCCTCGCCAGCTCTGATCTGGTTTGCAATGTCCTCAGAGACGGGGCGCTGGTTCTTGTGATTCTTCAACGAGTTTCCGTGCGAGCAGTCAATCATCATGATCTCCTTCTGACCTGCCTTCTTCAAGGCGGCTTTGACCTTTGCGACGTGCTCGGCTGAGTAATTCGGTCCGTCCCTTCCTCCACGGAGGATAACGAAGCAGTCTGGGTTACCGGTGGTCCTGGTGATAGCCGCCAGGCCCTGTTTCGTGACACCCATGAAGTGATGAGGATGAGCAGCAGCGCCAATGGCGTCAATTGCCACAGACAAACCACCATCCGTTCCGTTTTTGAATCCGACGGGGAAAGAAACACCCGAAGCGAGCTCACGATGAAGCTGCGATTCAGTGGTTCTAGCACCGATGGCCGCGACGGAAAGTAAATCAGCCAGATATTGTGGGGAGACGGTATCTAACATTTCGCTGGCAATTGGAACACCTAGGGCGGTAAGATCGCAGAAGAGTTTACGGCTGACTCTGAGACCCTTGTTGATTTGGAAGGTCTCATCAATATCGGGGTCGTTGATTAGACCCTTCCATCCGACAGTGGTACGGGGTTTCTCGAGGTAAGCTCGCATGACGATAGCAAGATCATCGGACAGCTTTTCGGCGAGAGCCTTCAGACGACCAGCGTACTCGAGGGCGGTCTCAGGGTCATGAATGGAACAAGGTCCGACAATGACCAGTAGCTTATCGGCGGAGCCATTCAGGGCGTTGATGGCATCTCTACGGCCTTGGATAACGGTCTTTTTGCTTTCTGCAGGCTGTCTCCCAAAGAAAAGTGAGCGTTAGTCATGTGTTGCAGGGACTGTGGGGTGGATGTACGATGTTGGAGGGGTAAGTGGAGGCCTTACAGCGGGGACTTCATGTTGGAGAAGTTGTGGCGGAATGAGAGGATCATAACCAACAACTGCGAATCCGAAACCGTTAGCAAAAGTCATGACAACAGAAGCTAGATAATGATCGTAGTAATAACGGGTGACTGATGTTGATGATACATGGGCAGATAGAGAGACCGACAGACCGACAGACAGGAATACAGGAATACGGGAGATGAAACAGAAGGAATTGGGAATTAGGATCATACCTCTGACATCTTCAGACTCCTCGAGCCCTGAATTCCACAAAGAAGGCATCTTGGTCGATTTGTTGGTGTTTCGAAATTTAATGGGGCCAACAGTTGCTAGTTGGTGATTAACAGGAGGAAGAACCTTGTGATCTTGAATGATACGAGAACGACAGATGAAGAGGAGGAATCAAGAGATAGAAAGAATGGATACGATGTTAGAATCCGGCGGTGGCTACTTATATACCCGGACTAACGAGGCGGAGAGGTCAGTGTAATGGTAGTGGCAATGACAGTGGTGGTGGAGTGGAGTGAAGTGAAGTGGAGATGGAAAGGTTGTGGTTAATTGACAATTGAATTTGGGTGTTCGTCGACGATTAATGAATTTGCGCTGCACCGCAGGGTTTTAAATAAAGAAAAAAAAACCAATTGGCCAATGGCACCGCTTCGAAATCAATACAATTAGAATCTAGTAACACTACCCGTACAACGTATACAACAAATACTCGGTATATTTGTGTCCATGTAAGGACTTATGTACATGTACATGTACTCCGTATTACCTCAATTGTGTGAAGGATTGGGGTTATACGTTAAGTAGACCAGTAGACGATGACTCCCTCCCACGTGGGGACGAGCCCTTGCCAAACAATTAATTTAATTCGGGTTCTATTCTGTTTCTCTTTTTCTCTGAGCGAAAAAGGGAAATACATAAGCTAGGACTTCGGTGTTATACTATTAGCTATTATATGGAGGACTTAGAAGTAATAGTACGTCCGATGTAGGCGTTTCAGAACAGTGTTTTTCTGTCGGAGCTATCGAGCCGTCTCCGAAGCCCGTTTTAGGCCTGAGCAGGGTTCCCTTTTAGGCAATTGAGACCGTTCTAACCCGATTCGGCCGCATGTGGTATTTTGATCTGTAAATGTGTTGTTTTCAATATAACATACCCTAAATATTAATTAACAGTTCTAACGTTATATTGAGAGCAGTCTAAAGTTTATATTATGTTCTTTGGTTGAGCTTTATCTGAGAAAAGCTTTTGGAGACAGACAGAAGCTAAGAGCCCTACAGAAGGTTCCAGTCAGTACAGTATATAGTATAGTTTGCTCATGTACATGGAATGCATCTTGATAATACTCCTATTGTCCCTGGTGGGCTCAGCTTCAGTCTCAAGATGACTATATATAATAGCTTTGAATCGCATCATTCTCATCTCCATCCTAAATTTTTTCTTCTTCCCTTAAATTTCCTACTGCAAAATCCTGCTTTCCATATATACCTGCTTGACACAAACCTGTCGAATAGCACGATTACTCCACGAGATAGCTCCTCCTCCTCTGGAAGGTCTATATATATTGATCATGTCCGGTAATGAGAGTAGCATACGTTACATCATTGCGAGCTGCGGTTCTAGTCTCTCTGGTTCCCCCCCTCCTACCTCCATCCCATCTAGTCTCCCTTCCCGACCAGCAAAGGCTACTGCTACTACCTCTATTTCCAATACAAACAGGAAGCTACGTATACCTGTGATGGCGGTCTCTGGACCTCCTTCCACTAACGCAGCCTTGAATGCAACTCTCCTCACCACCAACCCAGCCATTTTCATCAAGGACGCCTTCACAGCGCTTGTTGAAACCTGGAGCTCCTACAAGAGAACATGGATAATTCCCGAGGCACTCCAGTGCCCCGTTCTCAAATTCGCTCTCAGAGAGGGGAAAGTTGTCGTTTTTACCTCCGGACGCATCAACAAGGTGGCCATGGCCGACAAGGGAGCGACCTCCAAGGTTCCATCTTACGCTCTCGTTTGGCCTGCACGTTCCATCGCATCTTGGACATGCGACACCCACCGGGCGCGACCTACCGGAGGGTATCTGGATGTCTCATTTGCAATGAAATTTCTCGATGTCCCGCAGTTAATTGCGTTTGGAGGGGGGAATACCTCACCTGTTATCCTTCAACCCCAGCAGCTCTCGGCTAGATTTGACTATCTCCGCCGGTTGGCCAGCCGTGTGCAAACAGAACTCAAGGGAAGCTCAACTGCCTGCCTGCGGTTTGTCAGCACCCGCCCAGTTCACCCCGCCTCCTTGACTCTAGCCGAGAGGGATAGTATCCCGAGGAGACTGTCCCTCAGCACAGATATCTTTGCTACTGGTAATTCATCACCTCGCCCCTTCTATTTCTAGGTTACGAGAAAGCTGACCACATTATCCAAAAGCTGGTTCTCCGTATCCGACCCCAGTCGCGGCACCCGGTATCGCTGCCATTGCTCAGAAGTACGATAGCAAGGTCCGTGGAAATGCTGGTGGTGATGGCGCTAATGATACTCCCATCGGCCCCGGCGCTTCTGTGGCTCAGTATCAACAGGATGGCGCCATTCTCATTGACCTGCTAGAGCCTATATCCGAGTACGCTTCCAAGCCGGCACCGCTATCCTGTACTGCCCCGCTCGCCCCGTCTACGCTCGCCGACTTATTCAATGTTCAACTAGGGCCACCTTCCCTACCTCCATTACCACCTTCGCCCTCTTTGGATTCCTACACCGAAGGTTTGACCGACGAACCGATGGCTATTGCTACCCTGAATGAGGCGGTAATCAGTTCTGTCGCAATACATGCCCAGGCATATCGCGAAGCTCTTGAAAGGAAACAGGGGTACCTGGAGAAGCTCTGGCTCAAGTGCACCGAAGAAATTGAGGGAGTTACATTGCCCTAAAGATGTGCCACCGTCTCGGATTCTATGTGATGTCTAGTATTTTTGCGTAAACTTGTCAGATTTGTAGTACCCTGTTGCATTTTAACAGCTACTGCGTTGTATTTAGCCCAAGATTATATGCACTTCGTGATCGATCGTAGTTTAGTTATTCTTGAAGAAACGTCGTCTAGGATCTAAATGGTTCCGTAATCCCAAGTTTGTACTCCATAAGATGGTTTCTTCTTACTGTTCGCTTTGTTCAGTGTTTTACCAATTAGCATTGCCCATTTATGATACCTACCATACCTTCGCTAGTATATATTATACCAACATAGGTATATATCACACATATGGATGTACGTATAGGCAAGTACCAGACATATGCCAACTTGATGCGAATTATCAGCATGAAGGTGTTAACAAACCTTTGTATTTACTTCTAAAGGTGATTATGTTGCTCGATAGGATAGAAATCACGACGAGGAACAGTGTGCGAGACCGAAGAGTTCGAATAAATATGGGCCTCGGCCCCTTGAATTCTGATAGTAATGATAATAAAAAAGTCCCGAAGGACACCAAATAAAGAAGCTCAGACGGCTGACCGATCGAAGGGGGAAACACCACCGCCAGCCAAAGTTACCCACCAAAGGTGAGAAAACCTTGACTGACGGCGAGGAATCCACCCCTCGATGGCCGAGCCATCTAGCATTTCGCCCAAAATGGGGTACCCGGGACCACCCCCTCAAACCCTGGAGGGGCACGCACATTCCCAGAGGCATACTCTGGGACGACGGAGCTCTCCTGTCGCGGCTCCGGAATGGAGTCCGCGACCAGCTCCGCCAACGTCCCGTACTCCTTGGCCGAAGCCTGGCTGCGGCGGCGAAATCGTGGCGGTGTGGGGAACCGTTGGCTGCGGACCCGGACGAGTGGCGTCATCGGAGTCTCAACCCCACTGATTGGGGTCTTTGGGTCCCTCTTTGGGCACGGAGTCTCTGGGTCGTGAAACCGACCCCCGCGACTGTACCAAACCTGTACTGGGGAGTGCAGGTTGTACCTTGGTACAGTCACGAGGGCGGTTTCCCCAGGCGAAGACTCCGAGCTGGCAATGGGCGAGTCCGGGACACCAGAAGACCCCGACTCCTCAGCCCCGTCCGAGTCTGAAGGGTCCACACCATAAGACCCCGTCCCGAGGCCGCTAGAGCCATCGGAATTTAAATCCGATGACTCTTCGCTGCCGGGGACCATGTGGTCGATCGTGGTATCTGGGCTTGGGGGCACCGACATGGTTGGGTTACCAGTGTGGGCTGGCTCAGTGATCCGGACCGCGAGGTCCTGGATCCACTGGCCTAGCCCTCTCGTTGACACTTGGTCCAGAAAGTCCTGTAGACCGGGATGGCCCTCTATCCACTGGGTGAAAATGCTAATTCGTGAAATTTTAGCAACTCATCTAGGAGGAAACTTGAAAGAACAAAGGAAGAGGAGCTTACCCATGGAAATGGCCTCCAAGAATCGTGAGAACCTTCCCCACAAAGAAAATCGTGGCACTGATAAGGGCCATATATGTCTCAGGATACTTGAAGTACATGTGTGTGACGATCAACGGAGGGAAAAACATGAGCAGTGCTCCGCTGATTAGATACCGGCGGACCATTAGCTAGGTTTTTCGACGAAGGACATTTTAGGGGATCACTTACGAGGCCAGACGCGCCATGCTCAGGGCTAGAACGAAAATGTGGCCAATAGCTGAAGCCACCTGTGGGGAAACCGCTGTAAAGTATCCTAGGATGATAAGGAGAAGGAAAAAGAACTGCCCATTCTTGAGGTATGGTACCAGCTCAGAAGCTTGCTCGAGGAAAGAAAGAGCTCGAGAGTAAGACATATTTTCAGAAATATTAAAGGTTGAGTTGATGATATAGACTGATGTCTGGAAAATCGATGGGTTATAAGCGGATGGAGTAACTTCTGTCGGCTCGTCGGTAGAGCGAGTCTCGAAAGAGAAGAGAACACTGATGAGGAGGACGACACTGAATGGGATGTGAGAAATAGGTTGTGCAAGTGGAAGAGAAGATTTAGCATCAACTACCTCTGTCGTGCACGCGTGATGTGAGATTCAATAATCCGAAGTACGGGAAGCCGAAGTTAGGAGAAGTTGATGCGAAAACAAAAAGGCTTAAAGCGAGGATAGCAAGCTTGGAGCTGGAGAATCGAGTAGATATCACCAATCCAAAGGATAGCTGCTGGTTCTGCTGCTGCCACGATGAGCTGAGACTTGAATAAGAGAGCAAAGATGAGCAAAGATGAAACCAATTGCAAAGGAGGAAGGAAGGACGAGGGGTTTGATTTCTCGGAGAGATGGATATCGATTCTGAAGGCAAGAACGGATGAACAGATAGAGAGGATGTGATGAGAGAGTAAAAGATTCGAAGAGGAGGATTTTGGTGATCTAGATCATGCGCCTTGAAAGAGGAGGGGGGGAAGAAGAGAAGTTGCTGTCAGAGGTCCTGGTGTATAAGAGCTACCTATGTACTTAAATCTACAACGACCCGTCTGCAGTTGGGGGTACACAATACCACACTTCGCTGTGTTGCTGACTATCCTTTATTGCTAACTTCAGCTTGCATCTATAAATTTATCAAAATCGATCATTCAACTAGCGGATCTATAGAGCGATTTCATATCGGTTCATGAGAGACAAATTGGTTAGATTGTATAACGCTGTTCGTGCTTAATTTGAATTCAGAATCTGCACTGTCCCGAGATACATAATACTAAATTGATTCCGTCAAAGCCACAACATAAAAGGCGGCTGCTTGATGTGAAAATTAGAGATCGGATCTATAAATTCGACATTTAACCCAATCTTTGATCGAGAGTTCATATACGCTCCGATGTTGGTGTTAACTCATTAATATTAGTAACCGTGGTCCCGGATCCCTCTAAACAGTTCATCGAATCGGAGGGTTGTTTGATTAAACTAGGGCCAAATCAAGCCAGTGGGAAATACCTATTTACGGAACGTTGACAGAATCATGCATAAAATACGAAGAAAGATACCCGAGATATAGGGTTTTTTTTTATTAAAAAAAAGGTGGACTATCCATGAATGCATTAATTCAACCTCGGAATGTGATTGAGCTTACCGCATTGGTTTCTCAGTATACGTATACGTAGTAGAAAATATCTATTTTATACGCAGGTATATACGAGACGATTCATTGGCGCAGCGTTTGAGGGTATGTATTTTGATATCGCCAGCAAAATTAAAACTGAAATTGATCATGCAACATGAGAATCCCATATACATAGATGCCCACTCATAATCGGTCTGAGTATATACTGATAGTCGATGGCCTATTATCAAAGGGTGAATCGATACAAAGCTTAAGCTGAGAAGGAACAGAAAATAAATTGGTCTTTATATATATAGTGAATTCGAAGGGTATAATAGGGTATCATTTTATATAACAATAAAAGGAAACAAAGCCCAACGAGATGGTATCTGGGCAAATTGGAAGCTAGTGCAAATTGAACTTGGCCAATATTAACTTATTAATCGAACTCTTGCGAGCCTGATTGCAAGCTAGCGGTTATATAAGGCTGAATGTCATAGGGTCTGTTTTGGTCTGAGTTTCTCTACCAGCCAAGTCGGCTGCCTCGGGCCTTGGTGTTCTTACGCTGCAACTTGACGATGAAGGCTCCACGTTCAATGGAGTTGACGAGGACATAACCACTTGGAAGCATGGCATAAGAAGACCAGCTGCCAACGAACTCGAGGACACCACCGTCTTCCTTGCCATCATCTTCTGGGTAGATGTCAAAGAAGGCGACTTCATGAACGCCAGCACCGGATGGGTCCTTGGGAATCGAAGTAATGTCAACAACATGGAGACCGCTTCCGTAATTGCTCTGGTAAACGTATCCGTCGACAATGTATTGGTTGTGGTCGATGGCACGAACTTTACCCTTGTAGTAACCGGTCTGCTTGGGGTTGTGGAGATCTTTGATATCCCAGATATAGGTAATTGGTCGGCCGTCCTTCGCTGGACCACGACCGTTGTATTCATCATACTCGTCATCCATGATTAAGTAATCTTGCCAGCTCTTGTCAAGAACCCAGCCTTGGTGGGTGTAGGAAGCACCCTCGTAGGAAGTGCGGGAGATGATAGTGGCGTTAGTGCGGTCGGTGACATCGTAGATGGTGAGAGTATCTTCGTTGTATCCATAACAGATGGTGCGACCCTTGTACCTCTTATCAGGTCCCTTGTATGGCAGGCATTGAGCGTCATGGACGTATCCGTCTTCGCTAGCACATCCAGGGCTAGTTGGGTTGTAGATGTCGGTAAGATCAATGAAGATCAACCCGGCCTTGCATTTGTCAGAACGAGGAGCAGCGCCGACAGCGACAGCGTACTTGTTCTTCTCGTCGACAACGACATTGTGGGTTCGGCCAATCGGCAAGTCCTTGTACCGGCTGGCAAGGTCTTTGTTGGTGTCGAAAACGACTGGGTTCTTTGGGTCAATGCTTTGGAGCTATATCAATTATGCATGTTAGAGGCCATTGATCTAAAGTGGATGCTTAAGCTGCTACGCGGGAGCACTCACCTTGCGCATGTCGAAGATCTGAATACCATGCCTCTCGGCTTCGCTACCGATCAGAATATAGTGCCTGTAGGCGCGGAGTTCACGCCAGATGCTGGGCTGGGCCTCGTGGTGCTGAGGAAGGCGACCGAGATAGATCATCTTTCCCTCCTTGGTGATCTCAACGAAGGCGGCCCCATCGGCTTGCGCGATGGCGACGAATTCACGACCGCTTGGGGCGACCCATCCCCATGAAGAGGAGCCTTGCCCGGTCTTGCTTCCAAGAGCGGTGTGGGAAAGGAAGTGATGAAGATCAAGCTACAGAAATTCAAATTTCATTAGTATCCAAAATATCACCATACGTGAGACGTAGTGACTAAAGACGTACATTGTCGCATCGGAAAGTATTGCTCTTATCGCCGGGGATGGCCGCAGCAACGCCGGCTACGCACTTGGTGTACCCCAGCTCTGGATATGGAGCTGTGAAAAGACCTTCGGCTTCCTGACGGGCCCAGATAGCCTATGATACATCCCTGTTAGAAAATAGCTCAACTGCATCATATCTAGGACGAATGTAGATTATAAAATGCTCAACTTACATGCTTCTTGGCCATAATCTCCATATGTCGTTGGCCATTAGCGAAGATTCGGCGGTGGCGCTCGAGATCCTGGGGGATCTCCTTTGCGACTGTAGCGCCAACTAGCAAGCTAGCGACGCCGGCGTATTGTGTGAACTTCATGATTGCAAGTTGGGATTGAAGTTGTATTGTGGCTCTAGATGCAATGCTGCTACTTGACTACCGTCTGGAGAACCTTTCTCCTGTCGATCCGGCGTCTTCAGCTGCCATTTATACATTTTCCCCTGCGATCCTTTTGTCGTTAGTTACGCCGTATTGTGCCATTCTGTTTTTGCGTATATCCCTCTTGTTTCTTTGCTCCAGTGTAGCATATACTCTTTTTGCTATCGTACCGCATGCTTGTTTTGCCCACGGACAAGCTACAAGCCTTTCCGAGCGCTACAGTTAGACAGTACGATAGCTATAGGACCTTCCCCTGTTCCTAAACTAGGGAATACAGACATGATCTGCAACTTGGGTCCTTCTTGAAAACAGATACTAAAGCGCCAATGTTTTGCTAGCATGCTGTGGAGTAATGTTTATTTTTCTTATCGCTGTGAGTTATGTGGAAGAATAGCCAATTAGTTAGGACGAATAGCTATTGCGAATCTATCAGGGTTAGTAAAACAATGATACGTTGAACACTCGTCATCATGGGTTAAACTTCGATAGGAAGTTTCGATGTTGTAGGTGCTGCCCTTTAGGGAAGGTGGCCGGCATCCGTACGTTTTCCTGACTGATCGTCTTACGGGATATGCTGCCTACCGAAGAGCAGGGATCAGGGGGCTATTGTAGATAATGCTGCAAACTCAAGTTGTTATGTTCGTTGAAACAAAAGAACATCATGAATTACTTTTCTATTTAGTATTCTCGGAGAAATAGAACGCATACGACTTAGGATTCCCCATACGAGCTTGGGTTGGGGGTGGTTGTATGTTGCAGAAGCCTGCTCGCTTGGCGCCATACCCGCCCCCACATGGCCACATCTCCAACCTTAAGCTGGTCCGCACGAGACATAAACCTAATCCCAAACCCATGCGGGGGCGAGAATCGACCATCCTGATATTGACGTTAGTTTCTCCTTGTTTCTGTGGCCCGCATGCCTAGACATAGCTTCCAAACTAGGCTTCCCTCCCTATGGTAGACCGAGGCGACCTTGGAGTCTTGGTCTCATGGCTTGGGCCTCTGACTGATAGCGGCTGGGTTGCAGGATGCAGGCGTTGAATGGCGACATCAAACTCCATAAACGCTATGTGACTCCGCTTACAAATTCGGAGATCCAGATTCCTTCGTTCGGAATAGTCATTCCGGCACCTGGGAGTGTAAAAACGAATATTCAAATCCAGTCCTTTCGACAAAAAAATGTCAAACCTTGGTACTCCTCCAACAGAATTACTATACGATTGCTTGGATGCATTGCTGTCGTGCCTGTGGCCAGCGAGATTAATCCTTACTCGGAAGGTTCGATTGCTTTGTTGAGCGATCCTTGAAATGTTTAGCGAAGACATTGGTTGGGAGTCTCATCGTGCGGTCTTGTGATCATTGAATCGAACGTAAACGCATGGTTTTCGAAGGGCGAATTTGAGTTTTTGAAGATACCCGGGAGCCAAAATCGGTCTGTATGAGGCATTAATATGCTCCGAAGTGCGAGATAGACACCACGATCTGGACTCCTGTTTAGGATATGTTTAGGACCATGCGATGTGTTGTATGCTGTTGGATTCCCAAATGGGGCTAGACGCATGGCTTGCTGCCAAGACACGGCGTTTTAGGAATAGTTCCGAATCTTCGATGTCTTTTTCGCTATTATTTTTTTTAAACGTCGCGAATCCCAGAACCGCAGAATATTCAGACGTCGACGCTGGAATACCCAACTGAACTTTCTAGGCACCTACCCCAAGAAAAGAAGCCTTAAAAATGGTCAAGCGAAAGAGAACAGCTTTGGAGAAGCAGACGAATTTGTAATATCCCCTGTACGATGTTGCATACCAGCGAGGAAACTAATGCGACGAAACCGTACCCGCAGGCCGAGTTTGCAGAATCAGATCAGACGGGATCCACCGTAAGTTAAGGTCTTGCTCCAACGTCGGATTCCAAGATCGCCGAACTAGACTCAACTAACCAATTGGTTTGTGGCCTTTAGATCCTACCGGGACGATTTTCTGATCCAGTTCCGACACTACGAGTCGCAGAGAGACATCTTTCTTGCGCAGCCCGAAGGATATGATAGCGAGCCGTTCATTGAGCAATTAGGGTTCATTACTCATGTCGCTGATTGTTACCCCGATGTTACCAAACGATTCCCGCAGGATTTGGCGGACTTGCTCCTTCATCATCATAATACCCTCGAGCCTGACTTGCGAGAGAAGTTGGTTCAGTGTCTCGTACAGTTAAGAAATAAAGATGTGATTCCTTCAACAGCGTATGTATTCCACCTTGATGCTTATAGGTAGTAGAAAGCCTGGCTAATAGGTTAGATAGTCTCCTTCAAACCCTTTTCCCAATCCTGACTACCACAAACTCGAAACATCTCCGTTCTCAGCTCTACCATTCGATCGTCTCGGACATCCGGAATGCAAACGCCAAAACTAAGAACCATCGGTTAAACAAAACTGTTCAAGGTGTGCTCTTCAGTGTTGTGGAAGCAGGGAAGGGCTCCCCGGACGCTATTGTCGGTCTGTGGGCTGTAAAGGTTACCCGTGAGCTATGGAGACGAAATATTTGGGATGATGCCCGAACCGTCGAAATCATCAAAGAAGCGAGCTTAAGCGCCAATGCGAAGGTCATGAGCGGTGGTGTTAGGTTTTTCCTTGGCGTAGACAAGGAAAGGGAAGAAATGGACGAGAGCAGCGATGATGAAGACTATAACGAGTCGTTGAGCAAGCTGAAACACCAGGCTGGTGTCAGCGGGAAGACGAAGAAGAAACAATCTCAGATGGAGAGGGCGGTTGACAAACTAAAAAAGGTGATTAAGTTGTCTATTTGTTTCAATCGCACTGCTAACGGCTACATAGAAAGAGCGAAACAAGCACAAAGCCTCGCCGTTAAATTTCTCCGCTCTACATTTGCTACATGACCCTCAAGGCTTTGCCGAGAATCTGTACTCTATGCACCTTGCTAAGAGTAATAACAAACTCTCGATGGAGCAGAGGCTATTGGTTTTGCAATTGGTATCCCGTTTGATCGGTTTGCACAAACTTACCGTCATCGGGATATACTCTTATCTACTAAAGTAAGATATCTAACTGGATGCCTTAATTCCGCCCTTACTAATAGTTTAGGTATTTAACGCCCCGCCAGCGTGAAGTTACCCGGTTCTTAGTCGCAGCGGCTCAGGCTACACATGACCAGGTCCCACCAGATCTCCTTGAACCAATTATTCGGAAGATCGCAGACGAATTTGTTTCTGAGGGAGTTGCTGGGGAAGTTGCCACAGCTGGTCTCAACAGTATCCGAGAAATTTGCGCTCGTCAGCCTTTGGCTATGGACGAATCCTTGCTACAGGACCTTACTACATACAAAGGATCAAAGGACAAGGGTGTTGTGATGGCTGCAAGAAGTTTGATCGGGTTGTACCGTGAGGTTGCACCTGATATGCTGAAACGAAAGGATCGCGGTAAGACTGCAACCATGGAGATGAAAACCAAGGAGAAGTTGAGGTTTGGTGAGGAAGCAACAGGTACTATCGAAGGTCTCGATTTACTTGAGAAGTGGTATGAGGAGCAAAAACAAAAGAAAATCGAAGAAGGTGGAGAGGAGGCAGCCGACAAGGAAGAGGAAGATCAAGGATGGGAAGGTTGGGATGTCGAAAGTGACAGTGATGACTCTGGAAGTTGGATCGGTGTTTCCGACGACGAGAAAGATATTGAAATCAGCGATTCAGAGGACGAGAAGCCATCGGCAAAGGCTAAGAAAACTAAGCCGCAAGAAAATAAGGAAGATGGTATGGATATTGATGCTGAGGATCAGGGGGGCTCTGCACAGTCAACAAATAGCCCAAGCAACTTTCTGAGTCTAGCTACTACAAGGGTGAGAATCGTACCTCCTACCAAGAAGCGAGCCACATCAACTAAATTTTAAACTAGATTCTGACGCCGGCCGACCTGGCGACCATTGCCAAGATGCGAGCAGCTGCTGACCTGCAAAAGGCATCCTCCAAGACCATCACAGCCCTGTACGCCTCCCTACACCTTGCATTCATAAATTCTGAGGCCCTTACTAATCTATTAACAGGAGAAATGAGGACGAAGTCGACGAATCTTTAATCGAGGGACCTAAGACAAGAGGTAAATCTGATAAGGAGGCTCGACTCGCAGCAGTTCAAGAAGGCCGTGAAGGCAGAGAGAAGTACAGCTCCAAGAGAGGAAAGACATTAGCGGAGAAGCCACACAGCACAACAAACAAAGAAAAGGCGCGCAAGAAGAATTTCTTGATGACCCTTGGCCAGGCAAAAAAGAAACAAAAGAGGAGTTTGATAGAGCATCGAAGGATATTGAAGGCACACGTCGAAAAACAAAAGAAGGGCAAATAGGCATGTTAGGCCTCGTGTACTTTATCTCCGGATCCTTGGGGTTCTTAATACTTTGAGACTACAAGTTTGATCCAACGCCTACGCTCAGTTAATTTCCCTCGCAGTTTAATTGCTCAGATATGCACATGGGAGTTGGATCATCAGCATAAACCCTCTTTAAGCCACAAATCTTCCAAAATCATCTTGTGTAACGATGTTAGCTGTCGACGACACAACAACACATTTACTCAAATAACTCAAATAATACAACACAGTTGAGTAGTGTAGGCATTGAATCAACAGGGACGTGATCTCAGCATAAGCATAAATTAGAACGAAGGGTTTAAACTTCATGCGTTAGCGAAATTTTGGATACATTTATCATACTCGAATTTTTGATTATAGACTATATTGGTTAAATACAGGCACATATATTAGATATGTATTCTCTGATATACTTCCATCTCCCAATTATCTTACTAAAGTCCTGGGTATTCCAAACCTCGAGGCATATTTCCCATCTGTTCAATTCCTAAAGCAAAACAAAATTCCCCAAGATCGTAAATGAGCGTAAGTGGGAAGCCATGACATCGTAAAAAAAAAAAACATAAGAGCCATTAAGACGATATTAGCATCATATACTAGTAGAATAAAGGAAAATACGCCGCGATATGCAAGTGATCCCTTGTGTTTTTATGTAATTCTTTTCTTTAGGGAAGGGGAGGGGGGAAAGGGGGGTAAACACATTAACAAAGCATGCAACCTAAAGCATACGTTGACTAGGGAAAGATATTAAAGAAGAAGGACAGCTCCAGCGGCCATTGCAGCTACAACGCCAACTGCTGGGCGGAGTGCCACTGCGGCGCCTGTGTATGATGGTGGTGGAGGAGCAGTGGTAATTCTAGAAATAATTAGCGGTTGATCTTCATAGTCTAGAAGGGTTGGGAGGAAACTTACGGAGCTGGTGTGGTACTAGTAGCCAATGTATGTGGTGGTGGAGGTGGGACGTAGGAGCTTGGGGGTGGAGCGTGTGTACTGGAAGGAGGTGGTGGTGGAACATATGTGCTGGAAGGTGGGGGTGGGGGTGAGTATGTTGGTGGAGGAGGAACATAAGTGCTAGAAGGTGGGGGGGGTGGAACGTAGGTTGAGCTAGTTGTACATGGTGTGCTGGAGGGGGGTGGAGGTGGCGAATATGTTGGTGGTGGAGGCACATATGTGCTTGAAGGCGGAGGAATGATAGAAGTTGTGCTTGTAGTAGATTCACAGGGAGTAGTTTCCACCGGGGTGGTCTCAACTGGAGTGGTCTCGCAAGGTGTGGTCTCAACTGGCGTAGTTTCCACTGGTGTAGTCTCGCAGGGTGTAGTCTCCACTGGTGTGGTCTCGCAGGGTGTGGTCTCAACTGGAGTGGTCTCAACTGGAGTGGTCTCGCAGGGCGTGGTCTCAACCGGAGTGGTCTCAACCGGTGTGGTCTCTACCGGTGTAGTCTCAACTGGCGTGGTCTCAACCGGTGTGGTCTCGCAGGGCGTGGTCTCAACTGGCGTGGTCTCAACCGGTGTGGTCTCACACGGTGTGGTCTCTACCGGTGTAGTCTCAACTGGCGTGGTCTCGCAGGGTGTGGTCTCCACTGGTGTAGTTTCCACTGGTGTGGTCTCACAAGGTGTGGTCTCCACTGGTGTAGTTTCCACTGGTGTGGTCTCGCAAGGTGTGGTCTCCACAGATGTCGAGGAAGTTTCACAAGGAGTAGTCTCTACTGGAGTAGAGGTAGTCTCGCAGGGAGTAGTCTCCACGGGAGTGGTTTCCACAGGTGTAGAGGTAGTCTCACAAGGTGTCGTCTCAACAGGTGTCGTTTCCACAGAAGTCGAGGTGGTTTCACATGGAGTGGTCTCCACGGGCGTGGCTTCCACCGATGTCGAGGTAGTCTCGCAGGGAGTAGTCTCCACAGGTGTCGTTTCCACAGGTGTAGAGGTAGTCTCACAGGGAGTAGTTTCCACGGGAGTGGTTTCCACAGGTGTAGAGGTAGTCTCACAAGGTGTCGTCTCCACGGGCGTTGTTTCCACAGAAGTCGAGGTGGTTTCACATGGGGTAGTCTCCACAGGTGTCGTTTCCACAGGTGTAGAAGTAGTTTCGCAGGGAGTAGTCTCCACAGGTGTCGTTTCCACAGGCGTAGAAGTAGTTTCACATGGGGTAGTCTCCACAGGTGTTGTTTCCACAGAAGTAGAGGTAGTTTCGCATGGAGTTGTAGTCTCCACAGTAGATGTAGTCTCACATGGAGTCGTCTCTACAGTAGTAGGTGTAGTCTCGTATGGGGTGGTTGTAGTTTCCACTTCTGTTGAGGTCGTCTCGCACGGAGTTGTGGTTTCAACATAAGTAGGAGTTGTCTCTACGGCCGTAGAAGTAGTATCACACGGAGTCGTCGTAGTTTCTACAGATGTAGAAGTAGTCTCACATGGAGTTGTCTCCACAGTAGTCGACGTGGTCTCGCATGGAGTAGTCGTTTCAATTGAGGTTGGAGGGACAGTCGTATTAGCGGGAGGGTAGAGAGTATTACACTCCGGATGAAGGCTCCTTTCTTCCTCTGTGCCGCACCATCTTCTGTGAAGATCGATTGGTGAAGCAGCTACATATGTAGCTGCCAGCCCGAGCAATATGATGTTGTTGAACTGGACCATTTTGTTTCGAAACGAACGTACTGTCTTGTCAAGTATATGTTGTCGACACCAAGATGCAGATGTGTATTATAATTATACTTATATATATATGTTATTAGTAGGTAGTTTGCATAGATATTGTGTGTGCCTGGATATAAACGAAGGTATCCTAGGTGGTGAACGAGTGGTTATAGTTGACTTTGTTTAATAACGAAGGGTTGGTGATGATGGTGATGGTGGTGGTTAAAGATCGATATGAGCCTGGGAGGGATGCTATAGACAATATATATACCTGCTAGTTACCAAGTACCTCCTTAGTACCCACCAGAGAACTACCTATAACTATGCCTCTTACATGAATATTATCCATCCTCTTAATTACAACCAACCCCCTCTCTCTTCAGATGCATATTCGATTCGATTCACGGAAAGCCACAAGGATTAAACTAAACTCCAGCCTTCTGCCTGGCCTTTGTTTCCGGACTAGAGAAGATTAACGATCACCATGAGCGAGGTAACTAAAGTAACCCCATGTCTTCTTCTTTTCCCCTCTCTCAATCGGATTCGTGCGAAGACTGAATCCGGTGCTGGCAGAAGCTCACAGCACCAAAGTATTCCCACAGTCAGGCTGTGTTGTTAGCCCGGATGGTGGTCTAACCTCTCCCGCCAGTAAACCCTGCAGGGGACCCCGGTCCATACCGTCATTGAAGTAAAAAACCTTCCGAACATTTCTTTTCTGATTTGCTACCTGCGGGTGGTTCATGCACGCTTCCAGACGTAACCTTCCACTCGCCATGATATCGTGTTTCTTTCCTTCTTTAGGGCACTATAGCTATCGGTGGGCCGTGGCCCATGCGGTCGCCCCCATTGCATTGCTTGTGGATTCGATATCTGGCATTGCATGCATTCCCACATGCCGTTTGTACCGATACCGAGTTATTTATCCAACCGGCATGCGGCACCCTCTCGGGTTTCTCGTATATCCTCAGATATATCTATATAGGTCACAAATGCGAATTTAGAATGAAAAAGTTGCTTCCAGTGGCTCGACGGTGACTAGTTCTCGGTCTTCTTGGTTGCTACAGAAATTTATCATTCTGGCTTCCGGAATCGACCATTCATGAATTCATTCCGCGGCCTTCGAGTTCTAACGAAAATTAAAACCGGGTCACCCGAGCGAGATTTATTTTTGTCCGGCGAAACTATGTGGAATTTCTGAAAGGGAGTATGTTCGCTAAATTTCAATGTAACGACACTGCGTCAGGGGGTCAAAAATAGCTTCACGGGCAAAGAATACTAGTAACAAAATAGGTACCGAGACCTTAACCTTGGCCGGAATAAAAACTGACAACAGGATATTTCGGAACCGCAAAAGGAACGCCACTGATGATATGCCTCTAGGCTGAGCTCCCCGAATATGTGCCCTGTGTATAGTCATCAGGGGCAATATATATGACCACCGTTTTCGCCAAAGGCCGACGGCCGTTGGAACTAACAGTACTATGCATAGTATGTGACTACTTATATACTCCATAGCTGCAAACAAAGACACATTTACAAGCTGGTACCTATCCGTACTCCACTAATGGTACTGTTAATCTCAAAGGTTCTGGCGATCATTAAATTTATGAAATGCAACCCTCCGAGCAATGTAGTAGAAATGGTAGCAGCGATGGCAGTTAGTTTCTACATTTCATTTATTTCGGTTTTTTTTTTTGGCTCTTCGGACCCAATTAATCGTAGAAATCATCAGAATCGCTATCCCATCCCTCTTCATAAGCCTCATACAACTCTCCCAATCCATTAGTTATCGTCTCGCGTTCATCCATAGGAATTATACGATTCGCTAGTGACTGTGATGCTTTTAAGTGCTCAACAACTGACGACGATGTTCTCAATGCGGTCCCCAAACCTAACCCTTTATCAGGATTGTTCTGTTCCTCAAATATATCGGGGAAACTCGATAGCGTTGGAAATCGTAAATCCGAGTAACATTGACTAGTTCAGTTAATATGATACCAGGTGATGTTTTTGCTTTTCTTTTTCTTTTTTGATGGAAAAATATCTTACCTTTCTCTTGAGTCTTTTATGGTTTCATCAGGATTCTGGAGACTGTCGTGGCTCTTCTCTATTCCTCGGAGGACTTCAAGCCCTGCGAAGATATGCTTTTCCGTCCCTCCCCAGGAAAGGTCGACCGGGTCGGTGAAAAATTTTATAGGATCTGCAGTCTTGCTTTTTGCAGGATTTTCGCTCAGAGCGTTGAGACGGAGAGTTGATATCTGCTGGTTCCCATTCGCATTAAGCAGCGTTGAAACTTCTGCTAGGGTTCTCCGTGAACCTGCAGCCTTTAGTCTGCTGGGCAGAATGCTTGTTTCCAACGCTGCAGCTATCAACGCCGAAGTCCTCCACGAGGATGTCGGTTCATACCCCTTTACATAACCAGGCAGTTTCAGCGAAGGCCGTGGGATGTTGATTGGGATGTATGTTGTGCAAGAGGGTAACATCCCGATTAACGACTGAATAGAAGCAGCAGTCCTCGACAACACACGGTCCTGGTTCCTTATCAGCAGGTTGGAGCGTGCTAAATTTGGACTTGTCATCAACCCACCCTGGTTGAATTTTTTGACCGTTCCAAAGCCCATGTCCAAATAGTGGTCTTTGGATACTCGTCTCGAAGGTTGTTCAAGTAACTTGTTGCAAATCCACCCCATGCATCGTCAACCGTTGTCAAGACTTGTAATCCTTGCATCAGGTCGCATTCTTCGGCAAAGACTCGAAATTGTCTATCGAGGATATCCTCCTCCTACAAACCGTTAGATTTCCATTAGTCTTTTTTTTTATTTTTTAATTTTTAATTTTTAATTTTTTTTGAAGCCATCCACCAGCAGAAGGAAAATTTCAGAAGTGACGTCAAACCTTGTCGGAAGACTCGAATAGCTGGGAGCCTAGATCGAAAGAATCGAAGGGGGTTAACGGGTTCGCATGTTCGTATTCATTATACTGAATCGACGATCGAGGATGGTAAAATAGTCGGTTGAAGTCACTCCAATACCGGACTGTCTCATCCGTTAAGTGATCTGGGTCGGTTCCCTAAAGTTACCCCTGTCTTAGATACTTATAAAATTTCCAGCGGGTAACTTTCTGATGTAGAACTGACCTCATCCAAAGCTTGCTGGAATTTGTTCTTCTCCACTCTCGATGTCTCCCTTGTTTCATTCTTCCCGCTCCTACAGTATATCAACTACCGTTCTGCAAGTCACCGGTAACTTGAATACTTACCATAGAGCATTCAGATCGAGATTCTTGATCTTGAGAAGGTCGGCTTCGTCCTGGTACAACTGGTTGATTTTTCGTAGTGACCCAAAGCCACCTCGTCACTGATAAGGATGTCGATCTATCTCGGGATGCAGAGCCGGGAGTATACCTTTTAAATCATAAATGAGGGCTCTCGGCATGAAGGTTTCAACATTTCCAACTCCGAGGCCGGCTCGGAAATGAATATTGTGATCTACCGGCGACGGTTCTTCGCTTTCGCCATATGTAAAATATGATTCCTAGGTAATCCGGTGTCAATTTGCCGTTCAACTTTGGTTCTCGCTTCCTCCATCCACGGACCTGTGTATTCCAAAAATGAGTCCCAACAAAGTTTGCGTAGTGACCCAGCTGGATCGTTATTATTTCATGCATCTTCAAAACGGATTATATTATGACCAGCTCGAGACCGCGACCGTGATGTTACCAAGCAGGTTGTTTGAAAATTTGAGTTTGTCCCACCTAATATCATGTTTGGGGATGATTTGCCAGCAACACGGAGTCGTGTTGTATCTTCACACCAACCTGCGAGAAAACGGAATCGAATCGGTACTTGTTACATATCCGGGATCGATTTAAAATCCTAGTCTAGCTATCGATATACAATTACCTGGGTACCTAATTACATGGATTAAGTGAATGAAAAATATAATAAAACAAAATACCATGGTCTATCTAAAGGTACCAGTATGCGATATGCATAACTCTTCATTATTCAGAAAAACTCTCTGCACACAAGAAACCAAATTGCGTGGTGAAGTATTTACAATTAAATCTGGACAGCTGTACATGTGATGCTGTATTAAGGCCGTTCCATTACTCATGCAATCGGTTTATATATCTTGTTCAGCTCCTGGTTATTAATAGCGAGTTCTAACAGCACCATAACATTTACCCTTGAACCATGTTTCGAACCGAATATCGGCAGGAAGGAAAGTCATCTCGATGGAGAATTCTACTCAGGTTAGTTAAGAGGATGAGAATACAAAGCCGATAATTGAGGCTTACCTGCTCTCAAGAATGTATTGTTTCCGATCTGACATTCGTCAAATTCTCTCTCTGGGACCTCGGAGAGATCAGCTGTCAGAAGACAAAGATCGTAAACCTCTGCTTGAAATATTAGTAAATTGACAAACCCTACGTTCTATCAAATTGGGTAATACCTTTGTCCCTCAAGTTATTCGCCGGTTCATCAGAGTCGCAAGCAACGAGCTGTGTAGTGTGAATGAGTTTCTCGCCCCGGTTGAATGACGTGACGCACGATAGGCGGAAACGTTTATTACTGTCCGTATTATCTCCCTATAAAACGCCCGTTAGTAGTGCTCTAATAGATGTGTAAACGGTAATCCATACTCTATTGATAATCCAACTTATTTGATTCTTCGCCATCTTCAAGCCGCTGAAAGTTGAGATCATGGCATCAAGCTCAGAGTGAATCATTGGGTCGAAGTGCTTCAGTAATTCGGTTCCGTAATGCCTTCGACATCTTCTCTTATCGACGACAAGATCGCCCTGCAATCCCCACAGAACCGCGCCTCTAGCAACAGCTGACCAGGCAGAAGCTGGGCGGATTACATCGATCTGACCGAACGGACCCCAAGCAAATTTAGATAATGTTTTATATAAATAATCGGACTCCCCGAAGCCTCCTACAAGCAAAATATGCTTGACCTTTCCGCCCTGTTTGTAGACTTCGGTTATTTGGCCATTGACGAGAGCGATGATCTCGTCAACGATCGGTCGGAAGGTTTCCTTAATTTCTTCGCTAAGAGCGCCACTATATTAGTATGGGTAAGCCATCCCAGTGTTTCAGGGTTGCCTTACTCTGAGAGTTCGAATTCTCCGTCCTCGATTTTCGCCTTTGGATTATCTTGAACATTTAGAGTAAGGTATCGCGGCTTCGTGTTTGGAGGGTCGCCGGAACCATAAGCTCGTTTCACAGTTTCGAATTCTTTCATAAGTTTACTGCCTGGTCCCCGTTTCGAGAGTGGGATAGCTCCTGACCCTGCATCTGCGAGCCGCTTTCGTAGTAATTCTTGGAAGTGAGAATCGCTGTGTACATTTGTGAGTAAATGGAAGTGCAACAAATACGTGGAATGGCCAAACCTACATGAAAGTACTGCCACAGTTTCCACCGCTTCCGACAACCTTCTCCGCGATTTTGAGTTCGGGTTCCGTTTGAACAACTTCGTAAGTGATCAAATCCACAGTACCGCCCTGCATCAATAAATTAGCATAGCATGAGTGCGTTCAGTATCGAGAAAACTTACACCAGCATCGACCATTACAAAGGAGTCGCCAACCTTCCCAAGACATATTAGTATTCCTATAAAACCCCAAGATTATATCAAAGAGCCATACCTGCAATTGGCTAGCGTTCCTTGTCGAGTCAAAAGTGGATTTAATTGTATAAATCGCAGCGGCTTCTGGCTCGCTGACGAGCTTGATCCTATCATCCTTTCGAGAAGCAAATCCGGCTCGTTTCGCTGCCTCCTTCGTCAAGTTCCTCGCTTTGTCACTCCAGATCGCAGGGACTGTTAGGACAAATTCTATCGGTGTCACATCGACATACTCCTTCCCATAGTGTTGGGATAATCGAACGAGTGTGTGAGCATATACCCCCGATAAATAGTCTGAAACAACATCTATAGCCGTTTTACCAGGAGGCAAGGCCATATAACCAGATGGGGGCTTTATGGTTGGCTTGTTCGCGAAGGTAGGGTCGGCATTCATGTTGGCACCATCATTTGCCGTCGAGGGCGAATTAAGCAAAAGCTTAACCCAGACATGACGAACAAGGTTTTTGTCAATAGGTATATCAGAGCCCCATCTGAAGCCTAAAAATCAAACCAAAATATATTAATATGTTGTAATGAGTATAAATGTTTCACTGCCGTCAGAACAACTTGGCGGATATTAATGCTATAAGGAAAAAAACGTACCATTTGGGAAATCGTCTCCTGATCCATATGCGATTTGAGAAGGGGTCTTGTCTTCATTTGTATTGCCTTGCCCCGGCCATGAATTAACAACTTGGATGGATTCGACGGTTTTGGAGCCGGTGTGACCGTGGGCAACGCCTATAGCATGTGATTAGAAAACTTAGGAATTCTAAGCAATATTAATTATTCCTGGGACCGATAGCGGGTAATTACCGGTGAACGTTGTCCCTGCGGTTTCATAGGATTGTATTAGCAGCAATTCTCCGATTAAGTATACGGTATGACCTCTGACCAGTGAGGGATTGAACATACCATAGTCAACTCCGACAATTAATCTCGGTTCGTCGGCCGACGACGTTGGGGTCGCCATTGTTTAAACTTCCACGGCCTAGCAACTGCGATTCTTGGCTATCCCGAGCGAAAATGGACCGCGTTTTATGTTTCGACGTCGAGAACAGAACCCGTCGATTCAATACCTGCAGCCGTATCCCCCGGCAGCTCCTCGTGTGTCGTACGTTACCCGGGCCGGCACGTCCGTTTGTATGAGACTTCAATTTGCGATATTGCGGCGATATGTTGTTTTGGCCTAGAGCCCCTTGACGTATAAGCTTAAACGATGAGATAAACACCACAGCCTTTGGAGGACGGGATAACAGACTAGACGGAACAGGTGTACAAGTCGGGGATATTATGAAGTTCAAGTCGAAAGGGTCGCAAGACAACCACCAAGGGGTGTGATGACTTTAATAAACACGAATGTTCGCTCTGCACTGTGTAGAGTCTTCAAGCTTCAAAGGAGAAGATGGCCCCGCTGCTGCTGCTAGAAGGCTAAGCCGGCAAGTACGTGCACAATACAGCCAAGGATCCCTCACGAAAGCCTTGAGCCTCGTCGCCAATCAGGTGTGAGTTTCAGCCGCACCCCACCTGGAGAGCATCCATAGCGAGCACCAAACTAGCATGAGATAAAGTACAGTACCTGGTAAATCAATACTTAGTAGGTAACAGATCCAATTCAAAGAAGAAAGGAAGTATTTTCGAGGATATGAATGTATAACATAGAGCACGGTCGGACAAAATCTCAAAGTTAACGTTCGAACGTTCAGGGGCACAGCTGCACAGGATTCGATTCGACTCGAGGCTAACTATACTATACTATATACGTATACTACCTAAGTAGCTATTTAATTAGCTTAAGTACTTACCTTTTGGATACTGTACTGCGCACGCGCACTGCTACCAGTCATATAGTCTGGCTCCGGTACATTTGGCTCAAAATCTGTCTGGTAACTTAAGCCTGTTAACTACTTACATATGTGCTACTAAGGACCCAAGTAAGTAAGCATTTTTGGCCCGGATTTCTATCATACGATCGTGGTGATAACATATATATGCTGCTGCTGGTGGTGGTCCATGGTGGTGGTGAGGCTGTACGGGGACAAGGGTCGTTAATTGGATAGACGCAAACGCTAGCACCGCGATACACCCGGTGGGGTTCTACGCGGGGCTGGACATTTTCATTAATTTCGAACCTACTAATATTATCGACCCGTCGAAAGTGGTCCAGTCTCTTAAGAAAGCTAACATCTCTTCCTAGCAGTCGTCTACATGACAAATATTACAGCCCGTCCCCGCGCTTCAAACGAGATCCGCAAGGCTTAGGGCGTCAATCCTCGGGCTTGGGCCTCAGCTCAGCTGAACACCAACATTCACATATCGCAAACGATTCAGACATTGCCCAGACATAGTACCGATATCTTCAGGATCAAAAATTAACAGACAACCACTATCTAGGGCCAGTCGAGAATCGATTGGCAAATCTATCCCATAACCGGGCCTGGATTCTTTTACCAAATTTATCCACTATTTCTACGGGTAGGGTTTATTATATATTAATTCCTGAGAGAAGGTATGGCATGTCATGAGATCACATTAAACCCTTTATACATCTTAGTATCGATCATTTCATTTATATTGTAACGGCACCTGGGTCTTGTTAAATGAGATATTGAGACCCTTCGTCCCATATACCATTTCTGTCCAAGCTCATCTAATGAGCTTTCATATTTCCAATTCTTCACTTCTAAAAATGTACAGAAATAAAAGAGATAAAATGTACTGGAGGAATCTTAAGGGTCCTTTACGTCATCAGGAAGATGTCTGTCTCGAATTTTAACTAGAATCTACAGCTAATGATACGCTAACCTTTCTCTCGAGCCTCTACTAGTTCGAACCCTCACAGGACGACACATACAAACCCCTATCAGTCCAAACTAAAGGATCTTGCCATTCGTATAACAAGCCCAGGATGTCAGACCCAAGATCAAATGACCGCGGCTACCAGAGCAAAGTCTTCAGGGATAATGGTTCAAATTTCGCAGGGTCCGCCCTTCGAGAAGTTGATATCCAAGTCTTCAAGTCGGAACAAGCGCAGGAGAGAGTCCTTGCCGGCCGGGATAGAACTATCGACATCCTCCAGAGTGAATTGGAATCCGCTAGAGACAAGTTGAAAAGGTTACAAAATTCAAGGTTCAAATCCGTGGAAAGGGAGCTGGCCATGTCGGACTCGAGCCTCGGAGAAAGATACGATACTCTAGTCGGTGACATAAAATTTATAGTCATAAACCTTACAAGGTCCGTCGACAGTAACCCCACGGATATTTTGAATGCTTTGCAACAAAATGCTGTATACCAGGAGGGTCTTCGACGTTTACTGGAGCCAAATGTCACTGTTCAGGAGTTTGTCAGCTTGTTAGAGAAATCGGACTCTCCAACTAAACTCTTAGCATTCATCATCCGAGCTATAATCCTGAATACTCTTCGACTGAAGCTCTTTAATTCGAATGTGTTTCTGTGTATAGGAGGGGAAAACTGGAAACAACTCCGAGGGGTATACCGTCATCTCCTGACCGCAGGTAAGCGACTTGTTCAAACAAGTATAAGGTGACATTGGATTTTATATGGTTTTTTCTAATGTAAAAGTAGGCCTTGACATTCACGGTGAAGAGCCCGAAGTTCTGGTTGAGCCTGGGGATGATAGATTCCGACGAGATGCATCCTTATGGAGATCCCAAACCCTCATTACTCTTGATCGAAACAAAGATCGTTTGAAGCTTGGAGATGGTCAAAGTACTTTACTCGACCACCTGGTTTCGGATATCGAAGAACTTCTTACGCCCCTAGTTAAGTCTTCAACACAAAAAGAAGACCTAAAAATTAATCTCAAGTCGTTGGTAAAGCTCGCCGCCGAATTGTCTATCCAGCTTGGAAAGCAACGAGCAATGTTTGAATTAGAACCAAAACGGTACATTGGGCACAAGGTCCAAAAGGGCATGGATCAGTTCGGGCCATGGGCACCTGAAAACGAGGGTGAAGTTCAGGCCAATCCAAGAGATATTCTAGTTGTCATTGCTCCAGCATTGTTCAAATTTGGAAATGATGATGGAGAAGAATTCGAGCAGTACAAGATTGTAAGGCAAGCGCATGTGCTAGCGCTTCCCGCAAAAGGTTCGGAAGAACCTAAACCCCTCGTGGATACAGTATCTACAGTATCTACCACTAGCTCTGCTACAAACACTGAAGCCCCGCCTCCCGAAACCACAAAATCTTCACTCCCCGGCGCAGAACCAGCTGCCGACAATCTATCTCTAACCCCAAGCATTGTCCACCCGTCCAACGAAGCTGATGTTTCACCACCTACATCCCTTTTAGGGGATGACTCTGATCATGGGGCTCCCACGCCTCCTGCAACAGACGACCAGTCGGCGATGGAGCCACCAACAAGTACTTGTCCGGGAAGGAAGACGCCGGAGCCTAAAGTACGGACTGAGGACCTATCAGCAGTCGATACGCGCAAGATGAGGGATTCAAGTCAGAAAACCGATACAACTGTTAGACAGAGGTCACCTCTAAAAGCAAAGGCTGCAAAAAATCCGTAGTGCAGAGAATTTAGATCGTTCGTTGCTATGGTCATACAGTGCAATTCTTCTAGAACCAGGGTATGGGATTGAAACTACAGTATTACTTCTGTCGATTTGATATATTTTCTTGAATAAGTTATTTTTGGATTCGGAATTCGGTGATTATTCTCTTCCAACCTCTGACTCTCATTCCAAAAATGTTCAAACGTCACACTTGAGAGCCCTACGATATTGGGTTGTTTGGAGTTGAAATTCGCTTCAATGGTTTATTTTTCATATAGCTTCTAGCCGCTAGGGGTCTAGAATTGATATCTCGTTCCATGCATTTACACCAAATATTACCGCCTAATATCCAATATGCAATGGAACCTGCCGTGGTCGAAAAATAGCGCAGCCCAGTATATATACTTATATACTACGGTCCAGCGCGCATAAGAACCCCATCTCTCTCAACCAATTTCACAGCTCGCTTCGCTATCTTTTCTATTTCTAAAAGCACGAACATGCGAACATCCTTTTCTTCGTTTAGCAACCTCTTGTAATCTTCGGAAAAGAAACGAATCATTTGAAGTGCATGCGCGATCCGATACAATCCCGAAATATATTTGTATCCGGCTGTCCATGGGGTGGTCTGTTCCCCCATGACACTATCATCTAGTCGATCAAATGCAATGATGAAGGAGTCCCTCAGGATTTGGTTGTCCGCATCATATTTCTTCCACTCATTCGCCACAATTCCCAGGTCACCAGTCTTTTTAAACAAAGCAGTGGCCATTCTCAAAAGTTGATTGTCTGTTGTAGTTGGCTGAGCAATAAGCTCCTGCAAGGGAATGGTTCGAGCAACCTCCCAATCGATTATCCCTGTGATGTAGGAGTCGCTATCGCAAATTATATTGTCTTCCTATAAAATTCCACAACGGTTAGCAATTTCAAACCTTCTCGCGTTCAAATCGGGCCCGCTTTTGCTCTTACCGTGAGATCTTTATGATAAAGGTAGTAGGTCGACTCAAACCGAGAATCAACAATCTTCGGAATTATTTCTTTCAAAAAACCCAAAACCCTTGCGTGAAGGTTCACTTCGTTACTATTAGGTCCAAGATATTCGAGATTCTGATCAAGGGCCGCAGTACAACGATCCAGGGCGTTGATGATACTAGAAGTTAAATTCGGTTGATCATGAGGCCCGACGGCTATTGCAGACTTTAATATAGCTACCTGCGATGGTAGGTTCCCCGAGCCATGAAAGAAGCTTGCCTTCTTTTTCAACTGATATCTTCCTTGCCCAGAAGGGTGTTTAAGTAAGTCCAAGGCGAAGCGGGCTAGCTGTTGGTGAACCGCCATCTCTAGTTGTGCCTGATCCAAGCCTAACCATAGAGTCGCTCCGATGCACTTATTCAATGTTTCCCCCTCTACCTTATGCATCACATACCAAGGACAGCCGAATTTGTTTTCTTTCGTAGTCCGGGTGTCCCATAGTCGAATTTGAGGAACTGGGATACCCGTGTTCTCGGAAACCCATAAATTTGTAGCTATTTCTCTAACCATGAATTCTGGTGACGCAATGTGCATCCTATATAGAATAGTTGTATTCCTTTGTTAGTTTGTTATTAATTGCATTGAATATATCCTTCATTTTTTCTAGGGGTTTATTCTTACTGATCCCATTCATGATGTGGTTGTGCAGTCTTGAGTAACCATTTGGTACCATCGTCAAATAGAAGAGTAACTATATAGTTTCGAGAACCAACCACGAATGGTTCACTCTCGTCAACGGCACATTGATAATAACCTCCTCGAAGCTTTTCGGATAGGCGCAAAATGTAGCCTACGTTTCTCGAGGCAAAGTCGATACGTGAAACCCTCCTACGCTCTTTCTCTTCGGCAGGAGTGAGAAACGATACTTTACTTGAGGGAATCTGAAACTCTTCCCGTTCGTTGAACCATCTTTCGCTAGGAGGGTCGCTAGAATATTCCCAATAGTCTCTCTTCCGACCTCCACCAGTGGTTCGGAGTGCCCGATGCTCTTGACAACTCTGCAAAAGCTTTTTTCTTGGATAGTGTTCCTGCCACCGTGGGAACTTCTTCTCGTAGGTTTCGCGTTCGCTATAATCGATATCGCACCCGCTCTCTTCAATCTTTCGTTTCCGGAACCTCACCATTTCGATTGTGATGAGTGGTTCGATAGTTCTTGATAAATCAAAACATCGGTAAAAGCTGTGTAATGGCTCTGAAAGGAGTATGCGATACTATCGCTGCAGAATAAGCATAAGAATTAAATGGTTTCATCTCTGGAAGTTTGACTCAATCGATTGATGGTTTGTAATCGTTCCAAGTTACTAGAGCGCTGTATATCAAGCATTGGCGTAGGTTTGACCTTCGAGGAAAGTATAGACTGACATATCATAGGAAAGTTTTTAAGTTTTAGAGGCATTGGAGTATCTATTACGGGTAGCGAACATATCTCGGATATCTGATTGATGAGATGTACTTGAGCACTTGTTTACTATACTTTTAGAGTACTCAAATTAGCATACCATATTGTGTGCACGTGTCCACTAGCCAAAGGTAAGTAGGTAGAATGTTGTTAGAGATATGGGTCGGCCTCCGTTGGACTGGGTGGCCTAGTCGAATATTAATCCCATTGTTTTCAGTCGATGCTGGCTACATATATTACCTGGGTAATAGCCTCGAATTCGTATTACCTAGGTACGTCCTCAGTACTACCTAATACGCATGCATGATTGCCAGTAATTATATTTGTGTTAAGTCAGACAGCATCCAGTTTCTCATCGTTTTATCTTTCACTCGCTCTATAAGCTGCCTCAGTAGGAAGATAGGTAGGCTATAGGCGCCGGTACTTGCTTACTTCTTGGGTACATTCCTGAAACCTCCTCCTCATACGCATCTAAGTACCTACTTCTCATATATCCACACATCCCGTCATTGTCTGAAGCTAGCATGGATGCATCTCAAAGTTCTTCGGTGCCAGTCAAGGCGGCAGCGGCGTCGTTAGCTCCACGATCACCTGTTAACCGCCCAAAACCTATCAACAAGAAAAAGAAATCTTCTTTATCTCCTCTCGAAAGACAAAGGTTCTATCTACCGGGGAAATCCGTGCCATCAGATGAATTGCCTAAGAGCCGGAGCCGAAACAATCTTCTAACATGGCAGGAATTCGTCATGGACGGCTTCGGGCCGACGATGTCATTGGCCTCACTAGTTAGCTGGCAGGACATGCTTTGCTATTCTCCACCGCCCCAAGGTCTCGATGGTCCTGGCACTCCACCAGAAATTCGAGACGCCCTTGTTGCAAAGAAACAGAAAAATACTCAGGGCCGATTTATTAAGGGTATTCAATTGATCACCCCAAACAAAAACGGGAAATCTCCAAGAAGACAAATAGAAGGTGACCCTAGTCGGCAATCTTCTCCACCCCGTAGAAATACTAGCAAACCGTGGATGGTATCTTTTGGGAAAGCTTCCACATTTGGTGCGGAACAGAACCAGAGTCCCGGAAACTCCAAACGAAGTATGTTATTCGTGTTATCTACTCGACTATATTTGAAACCGGCTCAGACTAAGATTCATACGTTGCCGATCTAGGATTCAGTATTCAGTCAAAACCTTTGAGTGATTGGGCCTCGAGAGCGAAAAAGTTCTTGCATCTGAAAAGACCGTCTTTGAAAAAGGGCAAAGGTTCCGTGATGTCTTCCCCAACACGAGATCGTGAATATCGTTCTTCGTCGTCAGGTTCGGTCTCGCCCAACCCTAATCGTCGCTTACTCGCAAGAGAGAATGCACCTACGAAAATAACCGTCAAGAGACCGAGCCTTCGATCCGACCCGATCTCTCCGGTTTCTAGCGCGAGCGTTAGTACGGCATCCATTGCGCAGCCTGTTTCTGGTTGGACCTTCCTTGCACCTCCTGGGCAGTCTTCCAGTCTTGAGAGCAGTGTGCCGACGCCAGCAGTATCTCTACAGCCCCCCGTACAGTTTATTATGGGTGGAGCGATTCCTCCGGGACAGTCAATCCCACCCATAAACCCGCTGCTTCGCCATCATAGCGTAACTGCAAACCGGAGTGAAGTTGAAGATCCAGGTGCTGGGAATAATTTGTTGGAACCGCGGATGAGCGTGGCTGACTCTACTAAGTCACATGAAACTCTTTGGCGACGAAGCGTAAGCTCACCAAGTATCTCTAGCTCTTATACTTCGCTCTCAATGCCTAGTGGCGGCTCAAGACAATCTTCTATCTGGGATTACAGGGGATCAATAGTCTCAATTCCCCGAGGCTCTGTTGTGTCTGTCAGTGATGCTAAACGGACTCTCCGCGCAAATTTGACGGGTAACCTTACACACGATTCGAGAAGCCGGGAAGGAACGGTCCGAAAACGGGTTAGTGATACGCCGACTCACACTCATGTGCATAGCATGTTTTGCCCAAGTGGTCACCTTGCACCATTCCATATGGAGTCTTCGACCCCTGATATCCCTAAACTGGAGACTGAATTAACACCCGAGCCGGAGCCGGGGCAGCAATCACCTCTGTCCCGTAGAGCTACTATTGGCGGAAGGAGACCTTCCATTGTTAAAAAGGATCATCTAGAAATATATAGTCATCCTTACTTCGAAGTTGCGCCAAATGAACGACATAGGAGTCTGAGCAGTGTGACGTTTGGGAGCCGACCTGAACACGTACAAAGGCATTCGACCATGGATAGCGTGGGGAGTTTTAGAACTGCTCTCGATGGTACTGAAGACTCTACTGCTGATGTTTCTTTTTCTTCTTTTTGAGAGCCAATTGAGTCTTTTTTTTGGTGGCTTTTTTATACCAAAATTCCGTAGCTTTTTGTTCTATATTGCTTGCTAAGACTGTTGGGCGACGCAGCAGGTTGCTGAAAATTGTCTACGCATTGTCCTTTCTAGAGAGAATTGTCCCTAGAAACTCTACCTGCTTGTTCATTTTGTATAGCTGGAAGACAGAAAAGGATAGCTTTTTCAAAACTTTGGCTACCAGTATAGGTATTTGCTTGCAATAGTATTTGCTTAGGTCCTTACTTTGGACATCATGATCCTGCCAACACCATCTGTGTGTTGAGAGGTGTTGGGATTAGGAGCCGCATCCGCTAGTCCATTTTCGGATCCCGGCCGACCTATTATGTTTCGAAACCCAAATTTTCTACAGGAAAACCTTAGTGATACCATCTGTGTAAACCCTGACCTGCAGCGCTCCCTCCATCATCACCATCATCCCACGAGATGGAGAAATCCTCATCAAAGACGAAAAGGCGCCGCGACAGCTCCAATCTAACCCCCAAACGGTCACAACATTCACAGTCACCCTCAGAGAAAGTTGACGACTTAGCTCCGAAGCCTAAAAAATCGAAGAAAGATGTATCGGCGACCAAAAAGTCTGCATCAGACCCTATCCGATTACATATAGCGCCTTTAACAACGGAATCAGCAAAGGCAATTGTAGCGGTGCAGCATCTATCTACTGCTTCCTTCCATACGATCGATACATTCCCGGAAAAGAGTTATGGGTTTGTTACCCTTCCACGAGTAGAAGCAGAAGCGCTGAGGAAGAAGTACAATGGAACAGTGTTTCGGGGAATCAAGATGAGCATTGAGGAGGCTAGACCGGTCAAAGAAACCTCTTTGAGTCCGAACGGAGGCGGGGCTGGGAAAACGAGGGAAATCAGCCCGCTAACGAAGGGCAAAAGAGAGGACGGCGTGCTCCCTGGGTTCGAGTTACCGGAAGGGAGGCAAGTTAAGCGTGGGTGGGCGAAAGATGTCTCTCTGAAAGCTGGGAAAGGCAATAATAAACCTTTGGCAGGCACCTCTGAGTGTCTTTTCAAGACGGTTTTGCCTCCGGTCATAGCATCTGAAATAAAAAAAACGGATCTGGAGGACGATAAATCGAGCAAGAAAAGGTCTAAGGCTAGGGCGGTAAAAAATCAGGTGGTCGTGAAAGAATTCAAGAATTCTACGAAGTTCCCATCTTTCCTTAAGATGAGTCGCTTACCGACGGATTCTGCTGAGAGAAGTGCAGAATTTGTGGAAGGCGTCGGATGGGTCAATGATGCTGGTGAGGTTATCGAAGTGGCGCCTGCGAAACGAACGAAGTTGAACATTCAAAAAGAGCCTACGAAGGAGGAGGAGGAGGAGCCTTCATCGAGTGAAGGTGGTGAAAGTCAACCGGAATCTCACTACTCGGTCGAGGAAGTCGAGACTCTTTTGACAAATTCGAAATCTTTAGCCACTCCGAATTCTGCCTCTGGTACCAGTGAAAGCGAGGACGATTTGGAAAGCGACAGTGGGAGCGAAAGCACAGATCACTCCACAGGGGCGCCATTACGAAAAACCGGGTCGAGTTCCGGAAGTGTGGATGAGGTCTCGCCAGAGGCTTCAGGGTCCAGTTCATCCGAATCTACCTCGAACCAAAGCTCAAGCTCTGAATCCGAGTCCGAGTCCGAGTCCGAGTCCAAAGCAAAGCCAACGGAGGTGCAGGAACTGAAACCTACACTCGCGGTGGAACAAACTGCTAAACAACCATCCTCCAATTTCGCAAACCTTACAACTATTTTTAAGCCTAAATTGTCTTTAGATATCGAAACAACTAGCCAATTTAAATTCTTTGGGGGTGACCTTGATGAGAGTGATGGGCAAGGGGAGGAAGCTGAAGGCGAGGCAGAAGATGACCAATCCTCAGTAACTCGCTTTGACGATAGGATTCCCTATACTCCAATTACTCCTCAAGCGGAACGATATCGATCGGGGGCGCCGACACCAGATACAGCTGTCGCCCCCCGTTTTAAGGATTTTTTGCCTTCGCTTAGAGGCTTTGAGATCTCTATCCAGCGGGACTACTTTCGAACCATCACGGCTGAGAAGAAAGATACCTTGCGGAAGCCTGCCACTGGTGTAAGGCTGTTGTTTCCGCACACATATGACGATTCTCTGTTGGCAATATCCATCTGGGACTCAGTCAAATTACCCAACATTTTAACTACTGGAGAGCTACCCGAAAAGCAAGCTCCTTCTTCAGAGGCAAGTAGTGCTAAAAATATCGCAGATGGCGAGATCGAAATGACAAAGTCCGAAGAACGGACGAAAAAACCCCTGATCGCTCAGCAACCCGTAGTAGCGTTGAAAAAAACAGATAACTTCACGCCAGATGAGATCGACCAACCCAAGACTGGCTCTGGAAGCAAGGTTGTTGGTTGGGCTGGGAAGAAGAAAACCTTTGGCGACAGCGATGATTTCGATATGGTTGACGCCCCTGCTCTCGCGGCACCAAAAGCTAGGATGGGAGCTGGAAGTGGAGTCGTTGGTTGGGCTGGTAAGAAAAAAACATTTGACGATGATGATAACGATTTTGATGCTACTGCTCCTGTTGTTGATCATCGAACCAAGACCAAGACTGGTTCTGGAAGTGGTCTTACTGCCTGGGCCGGGAAGAAGAAGACATTTGATGATGACAGCGAAGATTTGGGCTTTTCTACCCCAGTAGAGGCACCGACCAAGGCAAAGACCGGAAGTGGAAGCGGGGTTGCCTCCTGGGCTGGGAAGAGGAAAACTTTTGATGATGAGAGGGGGGATAGTCAAGAGATTGAGGAGGATATGAGGCCTGTCGCGCCTAAAACCTCAACCCCAGACCGGCATTCAAACCCACGGTCACGAGAAGAAGAAGACGACCGCGAAGGCGAGAGGGCACAGTTGCCTATAGTTCAGGTATGGGAGAAAGTCTTCCATGAAAATAGGGGGGATTGGAATAGGCAGTGGAAGAGAAAGAAGCGTGAAGTTGCAAAGGCGAAGAGAAAGAAGGAGAAGGCGAAGCGTGGGTGGACTGGAGTGTCTGTTTAGGCTGGCATTTCCTTCGACCTTCATCCTCTATGTATTTTATTATTATCATGTATATTATATAACTGCTTAGTTAACTAGGTATTTAAGCGATAGAGCCTGTACGATAATATGGAAAGTATCAAGATATCAGCTGAGATGATCATTAATACTTCTGGACTCGAATTCGGCTCCGATGTATCGTTTCGCAAACCCAGAGTTCCATTTTCCCCATCTTTAGCTTCCTCCTCAGATCTGACACATGGGCACCAGGTGCCCAACCCAAAATTCTTGCTAGTTACTCAAAATACCACACAAACACCACACCAGCAATGAACAGCGTCTTTGCCCACGGCGTCGGCGTCGATATTCTCCATCTGCCTCGTCTTCTGTCTCTCCTATCTCGAAGACCCGTCTCAAAGCTTACAGATCGGATTTTGACTGCAACCGAACTCGCCGAGTTCCAGAGGTTATCGTCTATAAAGCCTCCAAACCATACACATGCATTGTCAAACCCAGCGATACGCTTTCTTGCTGCACGTTGGACTGCTAAAGAAGCAGCTTATAAAGCCTCAGCAAACCTTATTCCAACAACAAAGGAACAGTGGATGGGGTGGAAGAATTTTGAAATTCTGAAGGGATCCCGTGGTGAGCCTTTATTGACGATTAGAGATGGGGGTGGTGAAAAGATTGGAAACGGACAGGTGTCGATATCTCACGACGGGGATTATGTAATTGCTATTGTGATGGTTCAACATTAGCGCCGGCGTAATACTTCGTTCTTGCAGACATCCTCTTCCATTATTAACCTTTTTATTATTATTATTATTTAATCTTTATATTTAATTTGCCATGTGGCGTCCGGGAATTAGAAATCCACGTTTACGATTTGGTCGCCGAAAAATTATGGGAAAAAGACTGGTAATAATGGAGAGAGGTGGAAACTATGCACCACGCTCTCTAAGTTAGAAATATACATAAAAGAAGCATAATAGACATCGGCATTAAGAACTAGCTAAGAAAGGAAAGTAATAATCCGGAAGGCTTCACTGCCATGCGCTGCAATGGCCGTGGTAGTTATTAAAGAACTACCGTTTGTTCGTAAGGAAAAGGTATAAGGGAAAAAAAAAGAAGAAAAAAACATTATAATATGATAGAGGCAAGGGAAAAAAGCCTGCTCTTCACTTGAGGGATTCCAGGTTTATTTTCATTCCCATTTGCAAATTTGCCCCTTTCATCCTTGGGATCATTGAAAAAAGTTACAATTCATGCCGTTCAGCTTAACTCCCCTTAGACGCCGATATTGAAAAACCCTTGAAGAAAAACGCTGACAAAGGAAACTACAGAAGCAGAGGGAAAGGTTAAAGCTAGGAATGCAAATATATATAATATAAAAAAAGTCAAGAAAGAGAACGGAGGTAGAGGGTTAGTGCACTACGCGATGTCTTTTCTGGTAGGCATTAAACCCAAGTCCTAAGGTGTCTATATCATTCCAGCAGGAGCATTATTGGGGAAAGGATGAGAAGTCGCATTGAGTGGGCGGCCATCCGTTCCAAAATAAGGCATCGGAGATGGCATGGCTGGCCTATGTCTAGCGCTACCCGCAGCACGATCGCGAAGGCTGCTGCCATCACTAGCTGCTTTGCGTAGAACACGGGTCCTGTCACTATCCGGGTCACTCGTACGTTGGCCCTGGATAGGCGTTGCGGTCCCACGGGGGACCCTAGATGCTGATTCATCTGAGCCAGATCGTTGCCTCATCTGAGGTGAATCGCTTAGACCTGGAGGTAGGACTCTGTGGTAGACCTTGCTCCCGGCGTCAATGAGGTTGGAAACCGGCATTTGCGATGTTGTGTGGAGAAGAGTCGGTTCACTAATATCCGCCTTTCTAATCCTCGGCCTTTTTCCGTCTCTGATGCTCGCTGCCGGAGCTCCAGTTTTTTGGAAAGCAGGATTGGCGCCATCAGATCCAGTTAGTTCTGCAAGTGTTTGGGCGATCCCAGGCGAAGCTGTAAGTGGGGGCTTCGACATGCTTGACGGCACCGTTTGAGGCAACTTGGGTGGAGATGGCAGGCTCGGTTGGCTCGCGTTCTCCTGCTCAAACATTGCGATGCTTGTAATTTTGTGGGATTTACTGTTGCTGCGAAAACGCCCGACAAAGCTAGAACCTTGCGGAGAGTCCTCTGTAGAGAATCTAGATTGGGGAACTACCTCAGTTGAAGGGATGGTCAAATTCCCTGGTCGACGCTCGCGAGCCACTGGTTCGGTGGCCTTGCTTTCAGTTCTCGCCTGAGGCTCCCTTTGCTGCATAGGATCTACCTGTTTTGCTTTGCTTGTCTGTGGCTTCTTGTCAATGTTGAGCGGCAAAGGGGCCGTTCCAGTCGTAACGGTCGTCATAACACCATTCATATCATTAACGCCCGGCATTCGAGGAGGAGGCCCTCTTTGTCGTCCACGTAGGTCCTCTTCGGACGGCCTCTGCCGCATCGACCCCTTGGATTGTGGAGGTGACTTATGCATAAACTCGTTAGGTGGCGGTTGGGCGTTGGAGCGCGTCCTTGGACGGCCACCAGGCTGAGATTGTGGGCCTCTCCCATCCTGGCGATCATGAGGAGGGCGGAATTCAGACCGACCCATGGGCTCATATCCACGGCTAGGGGGTGGGCTGCGGTGTTGCATGTGGTGTGGCATTCCGGGCCCATGTCGTCCATTGCGACCCTGCTCAACGAAGTCTCGATGCATATTGGATGTTGGTGGCATGCCAGCCTCAATCGGAATATGACCCGGGCCCTTTCTCGAACCATTTTGGGCCGGAGCGGTCATTGGCAAAAAGGAGCGGGGTCCGTTTGAATGAGGTTGGCTATGGGGCCCAGGCCCGTGGTGTGGAGGATAAGGGCGTCCAGGGCCGGGAGAGCCTTGACCGTATGGATTATGAGGCCTTTGCCCAGGTATCGGGCCAGGACCGCGGGAACGCGCATCAGGGTGCGGTTGGTGTAAATCAGGACGGCTTTGCATAGGACGCAACCTTTCCTCAGACCGATCCAAAGCGAATTCCTCTTCATCTTCCCTGCGTCCAAAAGACTCCTTCGATTGGTTCAGCAAAGGAGATATACCAAGCATTTTCAACGCCTTGGACTCTTCTTTTCCAGGGCCTGAGGCCGGTGAGCTCTTGCCTTTAAGCATATTCCCTAGCATGCCTGGCTTAAGAATAGAGTTCTTTGGGAGGTCCTCCGTGCTATCGGCAAAGCCAGGGGCGGGTGAATTTCTACCGCTGTGTTCTTGCAAACGCTGCTGCAACATCTTCTTTTTTTCTTCGAGCTGAGTTCGCCATTCATCCGTTTCATCATCACCAGTGGATAGTGTGTTATCAGAGCGGTTTCTCTCCATAGGAATGCTTTTCAATGGAGTTGCTGGCTTTTCCACTTGAAGTTTATTTTCCTCCGCTTCCCTCTTTTTGAGATCCGCTAGGGAGGCCTTGGGCTTAGGCTCATGAACTTCGACATGGGGAGCATCTGGTTGGAAGGGCGCCTCTTCGTCGTAATCCGGATATTGGTCCTGGTTCCAGGTAGCCAGAGCCTGTGCCAGGGATGGGGGCTCTGGATGTGGTTCTGAAATTTTCCCATGCATCGATGGTGCATAAATCGAAGATATTCCGCTATCGGATCGTAGGTGCTGCCGAATCATGCTACTCAACCCGGCGTTCGGAGGGAGCGTTGGTGAATCGCTGTCGTGTAAAGGGGTTGTATCTTGAGATACTTGGGTTGGAGAAATGATGTGAGGGTTGGGCATCTGTTTTTCCGAAGGGAATGCTGGAACAATATGCCTTTGGAGCTTATAAGGAGGCGAAGAAACTGGCGCAAGGGGCTGTTCAAAAGGCATATATGGGTCTTCTTCATCATCATCATAAACAGAAGACGCACCATCATTGATCTCTCGTTCGCTATCTGAGGCTTCGTAGAAAGTAGTTTGCGGCACTTGCTGGGGCCGCTGGGATAGTTCAGACACCGAGGATCGTCTTGAGACAGACTTGGTTCCATCAAGCCTGAATTCCGTGTCACGAGATATATTAGGTCCAGCTGAATATTTTTCGGTGAGAGGTGAAGGGGACGGGGTTGGGCCTGTGGCTGTGGCTGTGATAGGAAGTTGGCTACCGTGATATTCATCACTCTCTGGTCGTGGAGTTGGTAATCCATGGTTATTCACAGCCGTTTCTAATCTAGGAGATATTGTCTGTGGGGAGCCACTGCTCTGTTCGAATCCAAAGGAGAAGGGGACATCATTCACGTGGCTCTTCGAGGTTATCAGAGCTGGTGACGATTCTGATGTCCTCAAATTAGGGATTTGATGTTTCGGATTATTTTGGGAAACGTCGAGTTTGCCTTGTGGTTCCGGGTCTTCGTGGTGAGGGGGTGAGAATGGTCTTGCAAATGAGCGCACTGGCGGAGACATGGCTCTTTTTCTCTCATCTTCTTCAGAGTAAGGATGAGGGCTTGTCGAACCGGCCCTCTTCTGGGCCATGATGGCTAGTTTGTGGTTTTCGAGGTGGTTTTCCAGCATATTTTGTTCCCTTTCGCTATTGTCCCTGTCTAGGGCTTGCTCGTAAATCAACTTCCTGGGTTTGCTCGATGTCGTGGAAGCCATGGTGTTAACGAAAGTATTTGGCGTAAAATTACGAGAGTTTGATGAAGTTGATGTTGCTGTAGTAGAGGACCTTGTAAGCGAACCCGGCCCCGAATTTGTGGAGGATTGTGTGTTCCGATCGAGGTTGTAGCTTGAAGGGGGCGGGCTTTGGCTACGGGGGAAATCTCGATCGACAGTTGAACCTTTGCGAAATCCACTCTGTGACGGTAAGTCATCAGTATATAAAGCCCGTCCCCCAATCCTACCACGTCCAATTGGGGAAAGAGGAGAATCTTCGACATCATCTGAACCTGCCGCGACTGTATTGACCCGAAACACTTTCTGCCTGCCACCAAACAAAACATTACCTTCCCCCTGTCTCGGTCTATCCATAATGCCACCCGAGAAGTCTTCCTTTTGAGCAGCTCTCCCAGGTAAATCAAATGAGCCCTCGGCCCTTGACCCACTTCTAATTGATGCAACTTCGGTTATATCTGTTAAGCCTGCTATAGTTGGTTTGGCGAATTCACCATCCTTGTCATCCTTGAAGAGAGTTCCAGAAGCGAGTACTCCAGAGCCCATTCCGCTGGCACACACGTCTTCTTGGTCTTCACCTTCTCTGAGAACACTGAACCGTTTTTCCAAATTAGGCATCATCAAGGATATTCGAAAGTCGTCAGTAGGTGGGAGGGCCTGTGTGAGGTCAACTTGTGGCCGGGAAGCCGGTGGAGGCTGACTCTTATTACGCTTAAAAGAGCGAAGTTTATTTTGAGCTTTCGGCTGATCATCGTCTCGGTGTTTTTTCGTGAGTAGTCGATGCATCTTGATTTTTTTGTTTTTTGGTCAAAGAGAATATGTAATTTTGTAGTTAGGGTTGATGTATCCAGACGAAGGATTTCTATTCGACCCAGTCAGTTCGGACATGTGGAAAGAAGATTACGCAGGAACCCCGCCATACCAATTACTTTTATGAATTTAGACGAAGTAAGGAGGCATATAGTGATTTTTAAAGGCCCTGACCGCTCAGCGGGATATAATCGAGAAGAGACGAGATGACTTTAAAGTATTTAAATATGTATGCGGGAGAATATAAGGGAGTAGACAACGGTCTTAATCGATGGCCGTCGAGGCTATGATTGTTCAAACGGTAACTGTCGATAGTGATGGTGATTGTGATGGTGATGGTGGAGCAGATAAAGGAGCAGGAGCAGGAGCAGTTCTGTCAGATTGTAAGGGGAGTGTTTCGAGTTGTGTGCGTTGGAAATTCGGAGCGTGTCGTTGACTCGAACCTGAGCCTCGGTGCAACAATGTCGACCGCCACCTGCGATGTCTCCTTTTTTCCCACAATACAGTCGATAAGTACCCAGATATGATCCCACTATCGTCGCCTACACCTGGTAATGGTAATATTGCAACCTTAGACGGACTGGAACCTGGTTCGAATCCTCCTATCCAGATGCCTGTTTCTGCTATTTCGACAAGCTAAGCACGATTAAGGCGACCTTGAAAACGAATGTCGGTGGGCTTTTTTTTCTCTTTTGAATGAGCCGCAAATAAACAACAGGCCTAATGAGTGGCTACGCTAAGAGCGTGAGAGGGACAATAGAGGTCGAAGAAGTGTCGGACTTCCTTCTATCTTCTCTAAAGAGATGTTAAGATGCTTGGAATGAAAGGCAAAAGCGGGAGGGACGGATATTAAGGCTGGTTTGTTCTCAGACACTCTTTCTCATGAGCTTTGATATTGGCCTGGTTTGAAATTAAATCCACAAGCCGCAGGAACGGCTCAGGCACAGCAAAATGGATGTGGGAAAAAGAAGGACCCATGCGCGCTGCAGGAAAAGAAACAACTTCCTCCACCTGAGTGGAGCATTGATCGAATCCACCCGCTGGCTGTTAGCCATTCAGGGCCGTTCTTTTTGGACAGTGACAGTCTGATCTCCTGCCCCCGAACCCACCAGCCTAGCCCATGTTCAAGGAAGTCCATCCGTTGGAAGGAAACACACAGGGATTCCTGTTCATTTCTTTTGCTTTGACTGGCTCTTCAGGCGACGATGAAAACGGAAATGGAAGAAATTCCAACATTTGAAGACCCTCCCGCAGTTTCTCTGTATGGTCATGACATTTCGCAATTGTTTAAAAGAAAATATCTTACTCCGTACCAAATCTCGACAATTTGCACCGTCGTCATCGAACAAACACATTCTTTCCATGGCAGCGCGACTTGACAGCAAGTTCAAAAAATCTCTCAATGAAAGCGCTTTCTAGGAGTCGTCGAATCTCGGTTGAAATAATGGCCTCGAGTAGCTCTGCCCGATATGATTTTTTTGGTAAAGCATGCCACTAGCCGCTGATACAATCCATGAACATCTTGGAAAACCTTTCGAGTCCTGAGTTTATCCCACCAACATTGTCAGTCTAGACCAAGCTTGACTCCGTTGAACATGAAGAAGAAGAAACGGCTCGGTCACTAACATCTCGTGCTCATGCTGCGAGCCAGCGCTCCTCTTTCCTTGATCTATAAAGTTGAAATTGTGGCGCACGACCACAAAATCAGCATCAATGATTGGGCACTATGGCACTTATCGTCACTGAGTTAGTGAGCAAATCGGCGGAAAATGCGATGAAAAAGCCCTCGACCTGAATACAGATACGGGAACTCCCCTAAATCCGGGACTTGCACAATACAGTCACCGGCGCTGGCCAGCAATTAAAAGGGGCCTCTGGTTGGCTTCAGGTCGGGAAATGATCGCTTAAGTTGGCCTCATGTTCTCATTCCTCACCGGGCCAGCGCCAGTAGAAAACCTTTCTGATCCCTGGTCTGCAATCCCTGCCAGGCACACTTTCTTCCCTGCTGTTTTTCTTTTTTGCGTTTTTGACTTCCCGTTCTTTGCTTCTATTTTTTGGTTTGTCCCAGCATGCCCTATCACGACGTTTCTCACGAGGTCGCTAAAAGAGACGCTTCATTCAGCATCAAATCTGCATGAAAATTGATGTTTTTGCCATCTTACCTGCTGTGCGACCCGAAGCTAATCATCGTGATACCCCGTTTGATATTCATAATTTCGACGGTGCAGCCAAGTCTCAAGAACCAGGACGATTAGCGTTGGCTGACTTTTGTCCATCAAGATGAAACTAAGGGGTTTGGGCCGGACCTACGGGATACTGCATCAAAGCCAAAAACAAAAGAAAAGACCATGGACCAGTCACAAAGGTGACGACGACAGCGTCGCTTGGAAGAGAAAATGCAAGAACCACTTTTGCGTGCTCATTCGTCGGAGCGCAACAATCTTTTTTGTGTCTCCTTCCAAATCGATCAGCATCTATAAAAGAATACCAGCTCAATAATCATGACATCTCTGAATACTGTCTTTGAAGATATGTAACCCGATTGTCCCAACATGCAACATCCTTTCGAGGTTCGGGTACCGCAGCAATGGTAAGACAGCGCTCTGACATTGACATAACGTGTGAGGCAACATGTTTCCTATTGTGGCCCGATTTATGTATTGTTCAATTATCGCCAACATTACAATAAGACACCGGAATGAAAATTTACTAACAACATATCCCAGCTTCTGTAATTTTAACAATAGGGTTGAAGGAACCGGAAACTCAACCTATAAATGCCGCAAACTATTGAGATCGGTCCCGAAGCCGTAGATTCACATCGGCGCTGCTTCTGCAGGTCACCCTATATGACATGTTGAAAGCAGATCAATTAATCCGATCCAACTCCCTGGGAGTTTCTTACCAACTCAGCCTAGTTAACCAACGATGAGTTAAACTCCCATGTGTCGCAGGTATATACAATCACACTGCATTGAAGTATAGTCATCGAAGTTCTCTTCCGAATTCCTCGGCGCGAGATCAGTTAGGTCCGACGGCGTTTAATAAACATTTCGCCGAAATACGACTAGTATCCCAACATATAATCAACATTGGTCTCGAGCTCCGAGGATACAGCGGCGCTCACCGGTACTAGCGAACAGAACTGAACCCAAACAGAATTAGTAGTTTTGCCAGAAATAAAAAGCACCTAAGTGACAATATAAATTCAATCCACTCGTCTAAGTAAGACTTCATATATGCCAGGCGGAAGGGGTTTCGCCGATGCGATGATGCTAAAACCCTCCACTGTGTGTACGCCGATTCCGTATTGTTATACTGGTACTCAAGGTCGGCAGCACTGAAGATGTATGAGACCGATCTAAATCAAATGAGGCTTTCCGATGCATGAAATATCCGAAATTCGCCACAGTCATAGATAATTCCAGTTTCCCATCCCCATAAGCCTCCATGAGTAGGCCCGTTGTTGTGACGTATCCACGGTTAGTTTGCCCAGGTTCAAGCTTCCTTCGTTCATGCAGGAACAAGAAAAAGCGAAATGAGGTTCAGGACTGCACCCACCTCTAAACCAAAAACCGGTATTGCAAGGAAAGTACTACCGTAAGCTTATTGGTCAGGCTTCTTCCGTTTTGACACCTTCAGGACAAATGTTTTCATTAGGGTAGCTCCATGTCGATCAATCGAAGGACTTCGTACATAATTTATAAGCCTGCAATCTATATAATACCAACTTTACTATGTATGAACATACAAAGCCTATAGCGAACAAACTATCCACGGCGGGCTTATCCATGTTCGGTGGCCCTAGCTCAATCTCCGGTCAAGCATCGACAAGCATTACGGACCCGAGAGGTGAGGGGGCGGGTAACGGGCGTGGCTGGTTCTCTCCATTAGCAAACTTGCATGTGCATGCATACGCGCGAGCCTTGATAACACTTAAATTTCGATGAGAAATAATCTTGCAATGCTCTGACAGACATTACACGCATTAAGTATGACCGGAGGTACGGTACAGCTCGTATTTCAAGTCTCTCACCAGTCAGGCTTATATGCATTGTACATGTCTCTTGTGATGTTATCAACCACCACAACATAGAAGAGTTACAGGGCCATCCCCAGTCATGGAAGGAGAAGGAGAGTAATTTCTATAAATGATATCGCTGATAAGCAGCAAACCCAAACTTCCACGAAAATGCTATAACCAGAAAGTAAGCAAACACAATTCACAATTCCCATGCTCTTCTCTGACGCCTGACTTCCTGTTCGAATAGAATACATAAATTGGAAATAAAACACAGGTGCGAAAGAACTTAAGACACACAGGCCTTTTGTGGGTAAGGTGGAAGTCGGAGGAAAATAATAATAGTAACAATGACAGCAACAAGGTGGTACGAGGAAAAAAAAAAGCAGAGTGAATATAACGGAGGCGCTAGTCTCGACAGAAAATAACCAACGCTACAATCGGTGGGTCAGCCAGTCAGTCAGAAATTTCACAATGCGGAAACGTCGTGCTGGAAGACTCTACCAATAGCAACCCAGGCAACGATGACTGCCGTTGCAATCATTATTTTATTTCTGCTGAACCAGCTTTGACTTGCTCTTTCCGCAACTGCTATTCGCTCAGCTACCTGCTTTTCCTGTATATCTGTGCCTTCCGATTTCATGGGCATAGGTGTGCTAGCAGCCATGACCCGACCATTCTGGGGATTGATTTTATGGTCTCTCATCCACTGCCAGTTATCTCTATCGACCTCTGGCCAGTCTGTCCTGAAACGGGCGCCTCCATCACCAAACCCTATCTTGCCACCGCCACCCGTACTTGTACCGCCACCAGTCGAATTCCACCATCGCGACATCGCGGCCAGTTGTTTTCGCTGCGCGGGGGTCGCAGATATCGATCCGGTCGTCATTTCTTCCGACGTCATGAAAGATAGAAGGCCAGTGAGAATAGTAGAGACCTCCCAGGCCGGATTAAAGGATTTAGGGTGAAAGTCCGATATCGAGAGACACAGCCTTGTCGATGTCTGAAAGCGTCCGGAAGGTGTCATCATCCGGATCGCCGGTGGTTTGAAAGGATAATCAGGAGGGAACACGAGTGTACCCCAGTACTGTCCACCAGTATATGGAGTGTCTGGGGGACCGTCGATGAGATACACCCATCTACAATATTATTAGCTACTTGAAAGATAAGTTAAGAAAGGAGGATGTCGTATTTATCTACTAACTCTAGGATATTACTCTCAAGTGGGTGCGCCGTAATGTACGGTGGAGGCTCCTCCTGGATGTGCTTGTACTCCTTGGTGAGCTATGAGTAGATGTTAGCAAGTTCTATATTGATTGGTAATGACATCCCAGGGGCATCTCATACACGCTTATATGCAGTTTTCGAAGCCATCCGGCCGGTATAAGGGCTATGCAATGGGCGTGTTTAGATTGGTATTCTGTATGTGTGGGGAGCAGTAGATGTCGTGGTAGAAGGTTAGAGAAAGCCAGCAAGGCGGCAACAAAATACCTAATAACCTAAGGCAAACAGCGATGGGTTGACTTGGCCTCACTTGAGTTGAGTTGAGGGTCTGGCAGATTGCCATGCCAGCCAGGATCGCTGAACATGTGCCTGAACTAGATAGAATGATCACGTGATAAAAGCGAAATGATAGTAATCCAACATGGCCAACACAGAAACATGCATTCACTCGTAGCACTGGGTCTATAGTAGTCTCGATGAGTCTATTCGTGCAAATCGATCGTTCAGCCTTCAACCCTTTCTCTATAGTATCGATCTCCGGCGTTAGAGTCCTTAATGGAAGGTTGCGGATACCCCTGAGTACTTCACTCCATCGATCTCTAGCCCAAAGAGCAGCTTTTCACCCTCTACCTCCATCACAAAATCAAATTCAATCATATAGTAACTTGTTCCATCAGTTTTGTTCCTAACTTTCCACTTCTCTTTCGGGATAGAATTCAAGTCCGTTTCAAGGTCGCAAAGTGGGCGCACTCCTAAGTCACCGAATCGCAAGTCAGTTCCATGTAATTACGTAACTGACCGCCGGCCTTTTCGGCGTGAATCAAATTCCCTAAATTCTATGGATATAGATCTCACCGTAATCAGAAGGTTTGGCAGGCGTATCATCCCCATTGTAAGCGTATAGAGTATCCGTAATTTTTAGATCACCAGGGTCAACGAACTCTTCCGTCTCCAAATGCTGGCAGTATGTGACCCTAAAGACGCTTTTAATTCCATTGATCCGAACTCCCTACATAATCGGAATCGGAATCGGTATTAGCTTCCAGTTTTGAATATTTGTTGGTGTCCGAATGCTTGAAGACAAGCGTGTGATAGAATGGCGTCGATTCCTACTTTCTTGATAAACCACTCCATCTGATCTCTGACCCGCAAGATTCCATCATATTCGTCGTGGTAATTGCTGAGACTGTATTTAGTACAGAAGTAAAAACTCAAATGTATTGGGTACCCCCAAACCTCGTTACTTACTCCACATGATATTTGGGGTGTATTCCTTCGTTGAACCTTACGTCCACGCAAACACCGTAGCTAGTTCTGGCAATACGATCCTTTATAGTATGACTTTCGATACCATGCATTACTGCCCCTCGCGCTATAGAAGTCCACCTTCAATCAAATAACACAAGTTTTAGTCCAAACGTTAACCCCTTCGTGACATCTAGGAATAAGACCGGTCTCATCTGGAGATAATTTGGCAAGAATAGAAGACTTACGCATCGGGAGGCTGTGCAACCTCAATAGTGTATTTTTCCTTATCAACCCACTCTTGGACCCTGCGACGAAGGTATGGAGATCCCCCGAAACCGCCTACAAGCAGAATCACTACTATTACTCAGCATACACCAAATCCCCATTACTAAGAATTAGCAAACCAACGGGCGTACTCTTCACTCGCTGTGATGCAACAGTAGCTGACTTGATCTGGGCACTGATTAGTGCAACAATTGAATCGATTGTTGGATCAAATATATTTCTCATGTCATCCCTATATGTAAATAAGTTTTGGACCCTGCGAATGAACAGTAAGGGTGTAGCCCGGTTAACATACCTTGTGAGGGTCAGGTAGCCATCCCCGTCAACCCCAATAGCACCTTTGTATTTCCGAGGGAGGCCGATAGCAGTGACATAAAATTTTTCTTCGTGCTCGTCGTCCGAAAATGACTGCTTGGCTAACTCGAAATCCCCCATCATCCTCGCTTTCGATTTTGGAGGCATAGATTCGTAACTAAGGTGATTGATTAATGAATATGCCCCCAAATTTCTCATCTCGATAAAGGCTTCTGCAGCTGAATCTTACTTTTTAGATCCAAATCTTTTTATCATGTAGGTTTCAAATGCCTTGTTTATGAAAATTGAACCACAACCCCTAGATTCATGGCCTATGATTAGTAGTCTTTCCCGTTGAATTCTCCGATTGCAATAATATCAGTTCATAGTTGGTAATACCCTCCTTGACCGCCTGTTATCTCCCTAAATTCAATATGGGGGCGAAAATTCATAACCTTGTAGGATATCAGATCCTATGTATAGCGTTTTCGTTAGAACATGCGTTCTTAATTTTAGTTATCTATAGACTGGGCCTATAATCCGGCAACTTGGGTGAGTAGACCGCCTGGAAGAGACTTACAACAGTGCCCCCACCACAGTCGACAACCGTAAAACAATCATATCGCTAAAAATAATAATCGAAGTAAGTTCAAAATTAGATTGTAATTGCTTCGGAGACACTGGAAGCGCGTTGCAAGAAGAGTTCGCTCACACGAAGTGGCCCATGACCCAGACTCCGGAAGGCAGCTATTGAAGCAGCTTGAGGCTCACTTATAAGGTCCAGTTCCTCTTTACTACCGTAGCCGGCCTTTCCTGCCGCCTCAAGATGGGTTTCTTTGGCTTTCTCGGACCATATCTAAAAATAACACCCAATCCATCCTTAGCAGGTCCGTAGATTTCAAATCGAATAAATCAAAATATTTGAAGGGTCATACCGCAGGTACTGTGAGTATATACTTGAGTTTAGATCTTTTCAAGAAGGTTGGGCCATATACAGCTGTCAAGGTTTCTGTAATATGAGCTCTCAAAGCAGAGAGATAGTCTGCGACGAGTTCGGTAACTGCTTTATTGTGCGGGATCTTCTTAGAAGCCTCTTGAGCCTCAGGCACAAGATTTGTATAGTCAGGGTCAAGGAGCAATTTTGTCCAGCGTATGACTCTAGGCGAAAGGTCCGGAGCTTGAGCTTGGAAACCCCATTTCAAGGTTTCCCAGCTTCCATCCTCGGTGTATACGAACTCTGTCGGGACTTTATCGGACGTCCTAGAGCCTGGATATACATAGAAGTTACGAAACAGAACATCACACAAGCAGAACCGGATATTTTTCGTCTATCGACTAACCTGCAGGCCATTGTTGTATCACATTGATTTTGGCCTCTTCATTCGTGTTTTGCGCTTTTTCTGTTACGAGTGTCTAAAAAATCATATAGTGAGTCGAAGGCCCCTGGTGCATACTTCAGTACCTAAGTGGTTGATTACCTAGGTACCAAGTAGTTACGTCGTATATTATACGTATAACATTATCAGGATATCGAGAACATACCCAAGCAACTCCGGTCCATGTAGTCCCCCAATCTATTCCGATGACTATCTCAGGCTGCCTCAGACGCGCCTTTTTAGTCGGTGGCGCATCCAGGACGATGGACCGCTCTCTATTGGGACTTAGGGCCGGCGGAACCTCTGTTCTCTTGCGCTTCTGCTGGGAGCGTGTCATTTCAAAATATAATTTCCTTCTTTCGGTCGATTTCTTTAATTCTTGTTCTTTTTTTTTTTTCTTCTTTCCTTCTTTTTGATTAGAGATTCAGTTAATTTGGTCAATTGAGAAGCAGAGTTGAATTCAGGCTGTGGTTGATATCAATTCGATAGTCTGGTTTTAATATAGATCTGGATCTATGTGTTATCTTCGCGCAGATATAATATACTTAAGTAGTTGCCAATGATAAAGCATCGGACTATCAAGGTTGCGACCTCGACGAAGCCCCAATACTAGTATACTATCAGTTGGTCCTAGCACACACGTAACTCAGATCTAGGAGTATATCTAGCATTAGATAAAGCTATAAGCTCATATATAAGGTGGGGTGGTAAGCTTCTAAGAATCGAAAAGAAAACTTAGCCTAGACGTATATGCATATGTAATGACCGAGTATTTTAAGCGCCACAAGCAATTTATTTAGACGGGTAAGTACCTACTTACTTACACAAATACCTAAGTAAGTATACTAGTACTTAGTGATTATAAGTAACTACCTAACTTACTTAGCTAACCTAGGTTATATAACCTGATACCCTCGAGCTAATCGAAGCTAGCAGAACAATTGAATACAGAATTTAAATCCTAGCCGGTTCCCAACATGCAAAGTTTGTGCCCTGAATTAGCCACACAGGCACCGGGCCAATGCGACGCCTGCGTGTTGTTCTTTGTGCAGCACCAGGAATGTCGTTCGAGACAAGCTTAATTAAGGACGCTAACAGCGTTCCTTCCTGAAAGAATTTCACGCGGAGGGCTACATAATCTAGGGTGATAAGTGGTTGCAATTGCCCGTGTCATTGCAGGCGTGTTCTAATATTATAGTAATGCTTGATCAATTGAGGGATTTATGGTAATCAATGCAACTACTTCTTACTTCTGAAGCATCGACTGTGTATATATATATACCTAAGTACTTGCTTACTTAAGTAGCTACTATAGCCATCTACGTAGCTATATAGGTATAGCTGCTTAAGCCTGAGGGAAGCTCTTACTCAGCTAGATCCAGCAAGCCTAATTCATACTAAGGGTAGGCAAGTACATACCTACATACACGGTAGCCACAGGCCAAGCTAAGTAAGGACTTGGTTAAGTTGATACATGCATATGCATGGCTAGCCGGATTATAAATATTTAAATATCAAATCGATACACCCTACCAAGTTCGACTAGACTGTTCATGGATCTAGGTCTTATACTGGGCCGTACCACAGTGATCCTGCAAGATCGTTAATGCTAACTGCATAATTTATCTCGAATAACTACTCTGAATGGACACTACAACCCCAGAAACCTTGCCGGCTGAGATGTCTTTGCCACTGCCCTCCGCAAAGCGACGTAGAACAGGATCAGGGAGTACTAGTTCCTACGAACCAGATCCTGAGGAAGCTGAGGATGTGTCAAGTAATATATCTGGCGGAGGCAGGGTATTTGTCAAAACATTGTAAGTGTGAATTATACTACTACTAGTTCCTGGAGCTGGCCAGCGCTGGTATGCCGGTATATGCTCGTGCTCAATACCTACAACTTCATTAACCGGAGGCTTGAGGTATCCGGCCGGTGTCACACAAATTAAATTACTAACCGGGTAGCTACTATAGGCCCGCTGCGACGCATGCGAACGTCATTCGAAATGACGGGAGAAATAGAAAGATCATCAAAGCCTATAACTACAGGGCTCGCCGGTCATATAGGTCTGCTAGTGCAGCGCCAAAGTCTCCACGGATGCAATTATCTGGACCCTCGCGGTCTCAGAGCCATGAGGTGAAAGTTCCTTCGAAAGCCAAAGACCGAACACGTCTGTCGAAGGGATCTATCTCCCCGCCAAACGATATCCTAGATGCAGGGGAACTATCAATCACCCCTTCTGCTACCTTTACCTCAAGAAGGTTGAGGAAAAGGGACCCCGTCCGGTATGGGTTTGCGAACCAGTCTCGACCAACTTCCAATGCTCAAAATGGTGAGATAGCTGCAGAATCTCACAGCTTTAACTCTATGCATCACGTAGAGCACCAACATCGAGATGCCGAGGGAGCGCACCGGCAACTGGAACATCAAAACGTTCCAAAAATTTCATCCTGGAGTGGGGAAGCACAAAATCGCATCACTGAATTGGAGAAGGAAAACGTCATCCTAGAAGAAGAGAACACTACGCTTCGAGCACAAGTAGATGAACTTTGTTCCAGGATTGGGAGTGTGGGACCCCAGAGCTTGGAAACAACCATAGTTAAAGATGACGTTTTTTTCGAAAGCGGCTTTATAAACCTCAGCAAAATGATTCGAGATTACATCCGCGAATTTCTCCAATCAAAATTCACATCTCCGTTCTCGCCGTCAAAGGTCCCTACCAAGATCAGAGATATTCTAAATTCCGAAGGCATAGAATGGCAGAAGTACTTGAGGGGCGGGAAGAATAAAAAAGTTCTCCGAGCTATTGCTCAGAAATATATATCCTTCTATTTAGTGGAGAACATAATTATGGACCCGGTCTTCCGCCATAATCGTCAATTACGGGATGCACTCTCCACGATCCAGATGGCGTTTACCGGTGACCGTGTCATTCGCAGCCGTTGGCGCAATAGAACAATGCAGGAGCTTCGTTTAGCACTGCCTACGCCTTTGCCCGATGCCATCATGGTCGAGCAGAAGTCTAGGGAACTGTTTAAGGATACTAGAGTACTCTGGGTCAAAAACAAGGAAACAATAGAAACGGAGCGTCTGAGAAGAATCACCGAGTATGCTGCGAAACTTGCGACAGAGCTCCACAAGTTGCCATGTGAAATCCAATACGGGTTCTCACGGGATAACTGGGATAAATTGCCGCGGGATATTGATACACATCCAGAGAAAGAGTTTTACCAAATAAACGTTCACTCGCGTCACTCTAACTTCCAGTTTATGACGGTATTTCCTGGTATACGAAAATTATCTGGAAACTTTGGGCCAGGCCAGGGCGAAGATTCTAGCATCGTTTATTTGCCGCTGCAATTATCGGCGTATCATTGACAATGGCGTAATTCCCAAACAGGTTCTCATGTTGACAATACTCGAGCTACTTTCTAGGGCCATACTAGCATAAGAAAACTTTTATTTGTGATATTGCTTCAGCCTTAAGGTAGTGTTCAGAAATGGTTTCTGCGCATGCCCTTAAAGCTCTTGTAATGAATAGAGAGTATCCTAATATTTTACAGTAAGAAAGTTTATTACGAGGGCTAGAACGCGATGGGAATGTCACAAAACTAAGAAAGGCTAGGCCAATAGTGTAGATAGAGTCCATGCATAGTTGAAGAATTAGGCCGCTTGCTTGCCTTGTTTCTTCCCTTTCTTTTCTTTCTTCTCCTTTTTCTTCTTGCCTGCTGTACCAGCAGAGGAATTTGATGGGGCATTGGGCTGATCCGACCGGCTCTTAACCTTTGCTGCACGCCTTTGCTTCTTCAAAGCCTTTAAAAACGATTTGGGATTCGACCCCGAAGGGCCTGCATTGGGCCCGTTACCTGTGGAAGTTAAGTTATTGCTCCAGGACGGAACTGGCAGCGGTAATTCACCCCCATCAGGCGCTGTTAATCCGCCTAGTCTTCTTAGCTCCTCGGGTGTTCCCAACTTGCGGCTGAGGAAGACTTGTTCCATAATTTTCCTTTGCTTGATTATAGGGGTGTAGTCAAACCTGCCCACCACGGGCGCGAGGATACTCTCGTACTTCCGAAGATCAAATGGCATGTCGTGCAATTCATTCATTCGGCTGCTTAGCCGGTGGTAGGTTTCGTGAAACTGCTTTTGAATATCAAGAATTCTATAAGATGCCTTCGAGATATTGTTCGTGGGGTCATTGGGGTCTTCGATAGCTAAAAGGTAAGGTTTACCCGGGTTGAAAAAATCACGCCTTTTGGACTTTTTGAAGTACCCTGGCTCTCGAACCTTAATACCGGTAGTCTCAGTGTTAAATTTAGATCCATAAAGATCCAAAAACTCCATGAGAGCACGTCCCAATGCAACATTTTCTCCTTCATGCCAGTTCCCGGAAGAAGCTTCAGGCATCAGCTGCAGCATACTGACAATCATGCAAATAAGGGAAAATGAACCAAGACCGCCATTGAAAGGTTCATTGATCCCTCGGATAGCTAAAAACTGTTTCAACAGCAGTGCTAACTTCGGCATTTCCGGGAAAACTTGTCTCCATTGATTAAAGGTACGAATTGCGATCAAGCCACTCGGGTTTTCGAACGAGATATCGACACTCAGACCTGTTAGTCGGTCTTTGTATTTGATGATGGGAACCTTTGCAGAAAGAATCGGAACGAGTGTCCCTGATTGTGGAAGGTCTGAATTTCTTAGTATCCTAGCGAGCTTTCTGATTTCGTTCACGGAGTCATATTTAGGCCTTGATGTTTCCAGATATTGTCGGGAAAGCAGAACGATATCCATATCGGAAGTCGGAAGATATATCTCAGCTGCAAAGGATCCGAATGCCTGGATATCAGCATCATCAAAACGTGATTGGATGAGCTCCCTGAGTCGGCGCACAAGATCATGGCGTACAATATGCTCATATTGTTGGGGTTTGATGTAATCATGGAAGTCAACGATTTCTTTATGTAGCCTATATTGTAGCCATTTCTGTAAGTTGACGACTTGGAAGCAGTGCAAGGAAGGGATTAGATCTTACCAGACCGAGGTATAGAGACTATTTGAATGATCCGTGACACTATCTGGTTTGAGCCATGGGTATTGCTTCAGAACAATAGGCGGTGGTTCCATTTCCGAGAAAGTTCGCTTCCTAGGAGTGTTAGAACTAAGCCCAAGCCCGGGTGGCGGCCCCCCAAGCCCTGGGGGTGGTGGTAAAGGTGCAGATGGAGCGTTTGTGCCAGGAGCAACTCCCCGATCAACTAAGCGTGCTGCGGCCCTAGGATCGTAATTCCTGGTATTCCCAGCCCTTGGCCCTGTGGGTATATTGCTATCCAATGTAGTAGTTCTAAATTCATCATCAAGGCCTGATAGAGAAATAAAATCACCAGCTTCTGCCGCATTGTCCTTACGGTTGCCAAGGAGATCCTTCTTTGCTTGCCGAATCATGGAGATAACATCTAATTTTTTCCCAGCCTTGCCATCACTAGTGTGACCAGGCAGAACTTTGCCAACTTCAGCTCCATTACCTTCTATTGTTTTCTCAGATTCCATTGGCGCGGCATCTTGATTATCTTCTGGCACTGCTGAAGGAAGAATAATGGCTTTGTCGGCAATCGACGAGTCGCTCTCGCTGTCAAGATCCATTTCGGTCTCCCCCTCATCCATTCTCTGACGTTTTGCAGCAACCATAGCTGGGTACTGTTCTGGTGTTGCTGCTCTTCCCACGTGTAAAATTGGGCGTTCGTGAGCGGGAGTAGGACCCCAAGCAGGTCGTTCACGGTCATGGTCATAATGACGGCGCGGAGCATCACTATGGAACCCTCGTCTGTCACCGTGTCGGCGATCGTTATCCCATGGTCTTCTTTCACGGAAACCAGATTCTGTTTGGGGGAAGTGCATCCCCCGGCTATCTGAATGAAAGTTAAAGGTTTCTTCGTCACGACGGTTTCTACCCGTCCCCCTGTCCCCTCTTCCAAACTGATAAGTCTCCTGACTACGTGGGCCAGAAGGTGGTCGGAAGCGGGGGCCAGAAGGGGGATGGGAGACTGGACTGGTCGGGTCTCTCGTATGGTCATCGGGGTTACGATCATGAGTCCCATCGAAGCCTAGTCCGTTAGCACGACTAGGAAGAACGGCGCCGCCCTCAGCCTCAGAGGCCATCAATGAGGAACGCCTTGAACTAGGGCCATCTGTGAATTCCTTTACAATTCTTTCTGGTTCGAGGGATGATCGGTCACCACCTTTGATCGAGGTTGCTGATAGTTTTGGAGTGTAACCGTCATCTGAGCCAGTTCCATCCAGGTCGTACATTTTCCCGGCCACGAACCCATCCAAATGGCCCGCTTGAGGCGAGCCACTGTCAAGCTCACCACTCTCGCTCCCGTTTTCCAACCCTTCATCGGAAGCAGATCCCATTATTTGCTCCTCGCCTTCACCATCACCTTTCTTAGAAGCAATCCGACGTTCTCGTCTGCCCATTCGCCTCCGTTCCCTGTGCTTGAGTTTCCTCGCCATTTCACGCGCTATACGAGCCGCAGTTTTGGCCTTTTTAGGTTTTAGAGGGAGGGAGGTCGTTGGCGCCAATGTTGTGACTGGAGGAGGAGGGGAGTGAGAAACCGATCTGATATTTGACGACTTCTCGTGAGGAGGAGGGGGAGATTTCCAGGATGACGTGTTTCGGGTTTGTAGTGAATTCGTAGGAAGAATCTGGGGTGTTAATGGGGATACCTGAGTATGATATGGAGGTGCGGTTAGTGAAATTGGTGTGATTGGTGAAATGGGAACAGGATATGTCGGTGTCGGTGTCGATGTCAGATGAGGAAATGATGATGCGGGCTGAAGTTCCTGATTGTAAACGGAAGGATATTGGCTCACAATATACGGCAAATACCCGGAATTATGGTCGTTTGGGTACAGGTAAGAATGATGAAGAGGAGGGTGGGGATGAGGAGGCAGCGCGCCGTAGGGATGATGGAATGGAGGTGATTGGTTGTTTTCCATCAGACGCCGTGCAGAGAGCGTGTACGACAACGATGGTTGAGAAAGACCAGGGCCCGCTAGCAACCTGGCTGTGGGAACGATACCAGCGATCTGGACCACTCCGGCTCGTCTTGACAGTGCGTAAAGCTGCCGCGAAGTAGCCACATTTGAGATCAGACGGTGGCGACGTCCGAGGAAGGGAAGGTAACGAGTAGAAGGAATGGTGAAGGTTGTGAGGGAGGCCTTGCAATTGAATTGGATTGAAGAAAGCTAGTCAATCCGGGGCATTAGCTTAGGGCAATGCGATGCAATGTTGGGTAAACTGGCTGGCTGATCTGGCTAGTCGTTGAAGTATTGATACCTGCCTCTTAGAAAGGTATACACTCGAGGCTAGAATCCGTAGTTGGATTAGAAGAAACAATGAAGCATCTGTGATCTCGGGTTTACAAAGCCAAGTTGATTCTCTGCTACAAATTTTTGGGTCGTCTTTGATAACTTTGCGCCGGCCGAAAACGGCAGTCGCGGCAGAAACAAACGTCTATGCAACACATCCTAATTCAACATGCAACAAAATGGAAAAATCATGCCATGCAAGATCAAGATCTGATATCGATAGCTGCAAGAGCGCCTAAGCTAAACTTGACTTCAACATCTTAATACGTACATAAGTGAGTACCTAGACAAGTAAGCATACTTATTCAATTAGGCATGGGCATACGTGATTCAAATTTAGTCAGCTAGATGCACTGGAGGAAGGGCATCTTTATTCTCTCCAGCCAGGGGCTGACATTCAGTCTTCCAGTCTTGCGGCGTAATCTTGTCAACCACCTCCTTAAAGGCCTCCTACAAATATTCGAATTTCAACCTTGTCAACCAATATAAAATTTGAGGGGTGGAGTTTTTTGACTTACTAAAGTGCAAAACTGCGTGTTGCCTTCGAGATGCCTTCCCGCCGCCTTGCAATAACGTATTTGTACCGGAGTGTCATTGTATCTCATTCTAACATACCACCCTTTCAACAAATTCGGATCAACGCTGGTCGATTTGAGGCCAAACCTCTGGAGCCAGGAAGCCAATATGGAAGGTTGGGTTTGCTGTTTGTCGGCCGAGGAAAATAGTTCAATGGCGACTGACGAGGTGTACGGCGGCCATCTCCAGTCAAAGGCACCGAGTGCGGCCAGGATACCCCCCACAGTAGTATCTAAGCACCAATTATAATGTTAGCTGGCCCTCGTTATCTAGTATACACAAGTCTATGTGTACATGTATATGCATGTGTGTATCTCACCGTGACAGCCCATCAGAGCCAACTTGACAGGGATTTCCTTTCCCACATTCTGAGAGCTCAGAGACTTCTCCAGCATACGATCTCGGACATCTCCCAACAAACTCCCAACGCCGAGTCGCCGGACTTCGAGGGATTTCTCATATCCAAGAAACCTGTCATTAAAAGGTATTTAGTACATCATAAGAGCTTAATAGTGATCAGGTATTACAAGTAGCCTACCATTCCTCGACAACAGCTGTCTCTGCCTACATTGTCGTTAGCGGATTTGTTAGATCCTGAGTTCAAAGCGGCTCACCCTTTTCCAAAGTTCTTCGTCATAGAATTCCGAGGGAAGTTTAGTCAATGGACCATGTGCATGCGTGCTAGCTATAGTGTCCATCTAATTAAATAAGCTTGGCTCCCCTGTGATAAACGGCCAAAGTGAAGGGACGCTTACAATGCCGGATAATCTAGGAGTTCCGTCAACTTTGACAACTCCGTCAGCGACATATTTGCCAATCCTTTCGGAGACGTATTTCAACTCTTCGGTATCATTCCACTTTTGGGCAGCTGCGGTAAGATAATTATTAATATTATACTGTTAGTGAGGAACGACTAACTCTGTCGTAGAACACTGAGAAATGCTTACCCGCAAGCCCGAATGCGTTTTGAAGCTGCCGATACCGTCTGCACACTGTCTCATTGGGCATCAAATTTTCATCTGCCACGTTGCGGATCCAGATCTGGGGCGTGCCTGCGGCCGCGGATACAGTCGATGGAGGGAACATGCCAGTATAGACTTGGTGAAGCGACTCCCCAGCCCGTGGGACGGGTGTAGCCCTAAACTCGAAAGTATCAGTTCTATATAGATCTACAACATTTTGGAAGCTAGTTGATATACCTAAGATAGATATCGCCAAGGTCATGAAGTTCTTTTGGAAGAAATCCCAATTGGTCGATATAGAGACGACGCAAGCGTTGACCTAGCGCCAAGGTGGTTTCTCTGCCTTTTCTCTGTTTCAGCATAGGCTTCGTACAAATCCAGGTACGTCTCTAGGAGCTCTACCCCTATCCGTCAATTCCCCAGCTAGACTAGATGTCATTTAGAATATAGGACTAATGTCGCGAAGGGGGTTTGCCCGGCATACCAAAAGTTCTCTGCCTTTCCCTGCGGTCCAAGAATAGATCTAGGATGCCCTATCTGGCCATAAGTCTCTAGCTTCCTTTCATAGGGCAGATGCGACCAGACGCCGTTTTCGTCTCGAAATGCAGCTCGAAAATGTCGGACGGCATTGCAATATGGCCAATCTGTTGTCATATTATACAATTGTCAGTACAGCGCTACAGCTTTTCAGGACAACAATCTGGAAGATTTACAAATTGGTAACCCGGTTGCCTGAAATCGTGAATTGACCTAGTGAATGTAAGCGCATTGTATGTACTAGGATCTGCATGATATAATGTCCGGTAGCTGCCATACGGGTGTCCGCTCTCCATGCCGAAATATTACTTGAACCTGTTCCAGCACCAGATTTGAAGGGTAAAGCTGCTTTAGTTGCTCTGGGGTATATGGCGGCTTAGGCTACGCGAACATCAGCATCAGTCGTTGACGTATACGTACACGGTCGGTTCTGTCGTGAAAAGGACCTGCAGGTACGTAACTAGGATTTGGCCGCGGCCTAGGTCTAGATCGATATCCCACAAACGCCTTCCAATTCCCAACATCAATGTCAAACCAAACAGCGATAGGCATACCTGTAATGTTGTCATTGTGTCAAAGGTCCTAGTCGGCGCCTACATAAATTGTACAGCCGGAAGTATCAGGGTTTAGGCTAGGGGAAAGTTTTTTTGGGGGACTTGTCCGTGGGAGTTAGTAACTATATAGGTCCACTCTCATATAAGGTACTTGAGTATAGAGTAAGTCAGTATATATATAGCATGGTACTGTATGGCCAGCAGTCCACCCGGGACCTTGCAGGCCGAGCTTATTGCATTGCTAGCATCATCATTGATTCTTAGAGCTCCATCTAGCTAAGCTAAGCTAGTTGTAATAGGTATACCAAGCTTGGCCCGAGTTATTGGACCTCGGCCGGTTCGTGTCCATCCTAGCTAGCTTGAGTAGTACGTAGTTGAGCGCTATTGCATTGTACTGCGCAGTGGGGGCCGTTCTTGGCGTGCGGCTTCCACCCAAGAAAAATTTATATGGGTTGTTGCTGCATATGCAGAGCAATGCAACAGACTTATAGATTTACGGACCTCGTATCGCATTAATATTGACACCACTACACTGTTCAACATTCTACATCGCAAAAGTCACCACCTCGCCGTTGAAGCTCAGTGCTTCCATGCAACGACTGGTATACGTTTGTGCCAGCTGTCGGCGGTCAACAGCCGCTCGGATCCTCGCCCCCTCGAGAACGGCCTGCAGGTCTGTTCATACAGCCGATATCAATGATGCTATCCTAAAGGAACCAAAGCCACTTTCTCTCAACAGAAACTTAGGTTCGCCGAAACCTAAGCTGAATCGAAGAAAAAACGTCCCTCTAAGATATCCGGACTCGAATGCACCTTACCGCAGAGGAAAATCGTTCTATAACGAAAACACTGGAGATGCTGCCTGTGATGATGTCGACCAATTGTCGATGAGATTAGCCAGGGATTCAATCCTTGTTCGGGATGTCTACCGTAGTTTCGAGGGGCTTCTGAGCAAATACGACGTCCCCCGTTCGGTTGCAATCAGAGTGATGCTGTTGAAACACCATTTCCCTCGACAATTAATTGGGGCCCTGATAGAACACCATCGAAAACTCGAAGGCCTCCCCTCACTCGCTGAAGCTCTTCGAATGCTGGTTTCGAACGGAATAAATGATGACAAACTTTGGGCTGAAGTAATGTTTGAATACATTCGGACTGGGTTCTATGATGATGCGGTGGACTTGTGGAACTATCGCTTGGAATGTCAAAAGGACAGTCCCTTGACCTTTGGAAGCGGGGCGCCAAAAGAGAAGACCATTAGGTCCACCCAGAACACACCGTTGGGTGACTGGCCGAATATCTCACAGTCGCCACCAGTTCCAACCCATTGCTATCCCGCTGTAGCAGCGTTGACGGCATTCATATACGCCCGGCGCTTAATGATGACACCCACAAATTTCACGGACCTAATGCACTTTCTTGCACCTAACGGGGAGGATGTCTCTGCCCTGCTGCCGTCAAACCCTGAAGCCGGAAACATTCTTACAGAATACGCAATTGACCCCAAGATAGTTGAATCGACTTTGGCGACTCTCCAAGAATTTCGGCCATATTCTGGCCAAAACCTTGCCCGCTTCGCATCCATATTTGACAGGCTTTTTATCGCAGCTGCGAATAAAGATCTCCAAGAAGTCACCAATATATATGAGGAAGCAAAACAAGTAATCCCAGAGCCTAAAACTAGGAACTACTACATCAACTTCATCAATGCCTTCATGCAGTGTGGCAGTCGGGAAAATGGCGATCTTCTTTGGAGAGAAATGCTAAACTCAGGCGCTATCCCAACCGCAAAAGTCTGGTGTTCCTGGTTAGATGGCTGCGCAAAAGCTAGAGATATCAAGCTATTTCAACAAAGCTGGGATAGGATGTTGTCGGAAGGGATAGTTCCCGATACGGTGTGCTGGACGATCAGGATGCAGATGCTCTTTTTCCTCAAGCAGCCTGAATCAGCAAAACTATGCTTACAATACATGGTTGACAGCCAAGTCCCGATTACAACAGTAACAATCAATGTTGCGGTTGAAGGTTTAATAAGCGCGGGGCTTCACAAAGATGCTTTTGGCCTGATCCAGTGGGGTACAAACAACGGAGTTGAACTCGACACAGCTACCTACAACCTAGTCCTAGATTCTCGTTCAAAGCTGGGCCAATTGGAGGGAGTTCTTGAAACTTTGAACAGTATGCATAAAAATCGCGTCCCCGCGGATATCATTACCTACGGTGTGATTCTGCGCGGCATGTATAACCACAGCCCCACTCCACCAGACCTTAGGTTTCTCCAGACCATTCTGGATGAGATGCAGACAGCGGGTATCAAACCTAACATACAGTTCTACAATACTGTCATCCATGCCATGTTGCACCGATTCGGGGACTTAAAGGGAGCGCAATACGTTCTATCTTTAATGCCTAACGAGACATGGAGGACGTCCGCGATTACTTCTGCCATTTTCATCAACCACTACGCCCGAAAGAAGAATATAGAGGCCATAGAGGAAGTGTGGAGAACAATGAAGCGCAACAATGTCGCCCCCGATGAGGTTGTCTACAGCGCAACTGTCATGGCCTACGCTAATGTCGGAATGAAAACTCAGATGTTGGGGTACCTCGACGAAATGGAAAGAATGAGAAAACGTGTCAGCCTCACAACGTACATTTGGGTATTGAAAAGTCTCATGAATATGCAGGATTATCAGACCGCAGGCGATATCTTAGCTGGGATGAAGGTGAAAGGTATAGATATCCTCGGCAACAAGGAGCTAAGATTCATTGTCAGAAAGTTGAAAGAGATAGTAATCACCGCGCAGAGAGATGCCTACGGTAAAGGTACATATCGACATTAGGAGTCGACCCTTTGCATGTATATAAAGATGGTGTCCCGGAATTTTGTACATAGATTGAAACTTTTAAATTTAGTCAACTACGCTATCTCTTTGATACCCTTCGCGTAGATAAATATACTAATTACAACTATACAATATACAGCTACAATAATCTGCATCTATATAAGTACTTATATAGCTACTACAAACCAGTGCATAATACCTAGAGAGGGGGTGTGGGAAGAATTCAAGTTTAAATTTAATCCTAACTAAGGTTGGGATAATTAATGCGTTGTTTGTAATATGCATATGCGCGGCTCGTGGAAATGTCTATAAAATTTTAAATTTCTCCACCGCTCGAATTCGCGAATCGAAATTCGAGATCCCTTCGATGTACAGTACTTTCCCCATACCTCTAATATAATTTTCAAATTTTAATCCAGGGGAGGATGCCATAGTGGAGCCTTCGTGCGATACGATCTGTAACATACTTACGTGTACATACTACTTATATCCAGCTTCGATTCTAAATTTACAACCATTCCAGTCGATCTTTTTTTCTGCAGCTGCAGGTCATCGATAATATTCTGCGAGGAACACAACAGCTGTTCCTCCCAGTCAAATTGGCTCCATGCGCCCACCGCACACGAGCCGTGTACACTACTTTGCTCCGACAAAGACTTTCGTTCAACGGTAGTATTAGACCTACCACCTCCACACTTGCACCAAACAGAGACTTCAATCCATCATCACAACCAATCCTACACGGTCGCCTGTTTTCGACATCTAAAGCATTCGGGATGAAATCGTATGTCGAGCTCGTCACAGTCCCTTCGAGGGACAACAATAGCACGTTGCTGATGCTTCACTTCGACGAGAAGCGATATGTCTTTGGTCAAGTTGCCGAAGGCACCCAACGGATGCTGGGTCAGAACTTGGTCAAAATGAACCGGATTAGCGATATATTTCTTTCTGGAAAGACGGAATGGTCAAGCACAGGCGGGCTTACTGGGTTGCTGTTGACAATGGGAGATGCCAAAGCTATTCGAGATCTGGAAAGACAGCAGCAGCTGGAGCGGAAGCAAGCAAAATACGCCATGGCGAACCCCGATGGATCTATGAGCAATCCATACCCTCCACCCCCCGAACCGAAGGGCCTTACGATACACGGTGGGAAGAATATACTAAGCACTATGGCTACTACAAGAAACTTTGTTTTCAGGGAAAACAGTGGGATCAATTTTCACGAATACGATTTCTTAGAAGGAAGCGTTGTATTCAAGGATGATTTCGTGACCGTAAGGCCACTCAGAGCATTTCCGAGACAAGGAAGTTCAAAAATGACGGTGGAAGAGAATCGACTACGAGAGATTGAGGATATCGATCTAGGCAGCCGTGAACAGTTGAAGAATATCGTCGACGCTATGTGGAATGGCCAACCGGGGTCACTACAAGTTGGAAAGGACGACGAGGACTATGTCATCTCATTGGTGACAAGACTCAAGGAGGACGAACAACGGCAGCGCAACGAAAAGGCTGGATCTAGTGCGCTCCCGAACAAGAACCACGATAGAGACATCGAGAGCGAGTCACCGCCCAAAAGGTTGAAATTGAACTCCGACCAGACAAAGGGTGATGAAGAACCCTCCTGGGACGGTATTTTGGAAGCTTCAGAGACGGGAAGGCCTATACCGGAGTTTTCGGCTTCCCGGCCTTTGCGACGTCCATGGCCGGCTACATACACTAGGTCATTACCTGGAACCATCCCGAATACCTCTGCCATATCCTATATGATCAGTATAGCCCAGGTCCGAGGTAGGTTCCGACCGGATATTGCGAAAAAGCTAGGCGTAAAGCCAGGACCCGACTTCAGAATCCTTACCGATGGCGGATCAGTCACATTAGAGGATGGAACCATAATCCATAGCACTCAGTGTCTTGACCCCCCTCGCCCAGTCAACGGCATCGCCTTTTTAGACATTCCGGATGAGAATTTCCTAGAATCAACAATCGAAGAAATTAATGCCTGGAAAGAAGAAAGAAAAAATAATAAGGAAAACTGTGCGGTTTCCCTATGGGTATGGGTAGTCGGCCCTAATATCGAAACGAACAAGAGGCTCTTAGATTACATCGACACCCTCGATGGCCAGGTAAGTAAACTTATAGAAGCACTGTCCACCCCGTTAATACCGCTTAATCTAACTGCTATAGCACATGATAAACTCGCCGACCTCTCCATTCCAAGATATGTCCTTGAAAGACTCAGCGGCACAGGCAACAAGATTGAACCTTCTAGACAATGAAAATTTCCCACTGCCTTGCCCTGGTTATTCTCACCCATCCGGTGTTCCTGAACCGGAACCGACAGATAAGGACCGAATACTTAGGGCCAGAGACTCCCTGCTAATTGATGTACATCCGACTCAGGGCGTCCAGCTCGCCAAGCTACGTCCTAGGTTCGACTACAGTTTAGTCCAAAGGGAGGCAAAGACTAAATTCGGCGATGGAAGATATTGGAGGGCTGCCAAAGCTGCTCACGAGAAAATTGCAAAAGAGGCAACCCAGAGGGACCCCACACCTTCTGCAGCGGATGAAGTCGAACTAGTTACCCTCGGGACTGGAAGTTCCATGCCGAGTAAATACCGAAACGTATCGGCTACGGCGGTCACCGTTCCAGGATTTGGTAACATCCTTCTCGACTGCGGTGAGAGCACCCTCAACCAGCTCCGCAGGTCATACGGACAAGAAAAAACTGCTGAGTTCTTGAAGAACATGAAGATCCTCTATATCAGCCATTTGCATGCGGACCACCACCTTGGAACCATAGCTGTTTTGAAAGCTTGGTTTCTTAGAATGGTAGACACCAGTGAGGACATATCCAAACTCTATCTAATTGCGCCCTCTAAGTTCCTCAACTTCCTGGAGGAATACACCCAGATTGAAAACTATGGGTTGCGACACATCAATTTCATATCGTGTGATTCCCTCCTCATCGCCTCACAGCAACATCCTGACAATAAGAAACGGGAAGACTCTCAGCGTATCGAAGAAATTTTATCCGCACTCCCGCTCGAGAAAATTGAAACATCCCGTGCTGTTCACTGTCGGGGATCCTTCACTGTGGCATTTACATTCAAGCAACCAACCGGGTTCAAATTGGCATACTCTGGAGATACGAGACCCACGAACGGATTCGTAGAGATTGGAAAAGACTGCACGGTTCTTCTTCATGAGGCAACCTTTGACGACGAGCTACGGGACGAGGCCCTTGCGAAGAGGCATTGCACGACTTCTGAAGCCATACAAGCGGGGAAGGATATGGGTGCAAAGAATCTCTTGCTCACTCATTTCAGTCAGCGCTATCCAAAATTACCCAACATTCGCCGACAGTCTTCTAACGGTGATGACCCGCTTTGTGATCCATTCATGGAAACCTCTGAGGAGAGAGGATCGACTTACATCCCCCGAGCTAAAGACATTAAAGTCTCAGAAAAACGACACGACGGACCTATTGTTTCTAAGCCGGACGACGAAAATGCAATGCACATCGGGTTTGCGTTCGACATGATGCGTGTGAAAGTAAAGGATTTCTGGAAACTAGAAAGTTTCATCCCAGCACTAGAAGAACTCTTCAAACAAGAAGAAAAGCTAGACGACGAGCTATCGGAACCAAATGAGAACTTATCGAAGGGTCAATCGCAGGATAAGAATAGGAAAGGGAAAAAGAAAGAGGGCCCCACACCGCCTCAACCCACAAGTAAACGACAACAAGATAAGTTGGCCAAGAAATTACAGAGGCGAGGTCCACCACAAAGTAGTAATTAGGATAGATGTCACACCCTAGGGTGATCTACAAATTCGCAAAGCGTACTACTAAAAACGCCCATGGCGATAGTGATGGTGCGAGTTGATCTTGGATCACTGTCTCAAACTGTACCATAGATTGAAATTAATGTAGACGCACTACTTGTACATATATTACCAATACAACAAATCTAAGTGCCCATATGCACAAATCCTTGAATATTGTATATGTCAAAATGCCAACCGAGTTGTCTGTTGTATATTCGGTCCAAGAGACACCCATGTAGCTTTGAAGCTAGACCCATGCATGTTCTTTGTTTCACACGCGTCTTCCACCATTAAACAATGACATAGCTCAGGGAAGGAGATATGCATTGCATTGTACAAGGCCGCCATGGAGGAAGAAGTATCACCAGCGTTCAAGTGTATGTCGGTGGAAAAAAAGGGGTTTCTATAAATTATAAACACAACATCAAACTAACTATTATTGGTGGATTCAACCAGCTTCGTTTACCCAAGGGTCGTATCCCTCACCAGACGGCACTCTCATTGCATCAATTCAAGGGTCTTGTCTCGTCCTACAAGATGCATCTACAGGGGAGGTAAAACGGACGACGCAGCTTTCAAATGAGGTTTCGACAATCAACTTTTTGAAATGGTCATCGCCGCCCCTTTCACTCCCAGTAGTTGAAGGGGATGAAAACAAATCCAATGTGCTACCTTCAACTTCACCTTCACCTTCAAGAATCCTAGTCGCCGACGACCAGGTCATTGAAGTTTTTGATGCGCATGACGAAGATTGGAAAGCGACTTTGAACCCAGGTTTTGGAGGAATCAAATATGTCGACTTCGCTGCTGACGCGGATGAAGTTTTGGTCTTATCAGAATTCGGGGTCTGTGCATGAAAAAAGTACCAGGCCGCCAACAATTAAAGTGAACGATTGCTCACATAAATGGTTTGCAGTTAAAAGTTACGATATGGTCATTGAAAGCCAACTTTCATGTCGACTTGCAGCATCCAAAATTTGGAGCTAAGGGTAGGGAGTAATGCCCATTAGAATTGAATTTACAGCTGCTGACCGATGTATCATGATAAAAGGATTCGGATACCGTCCTGGGACCAACCACTTCGCTCTATTAACCCGGCCCGTAGCCCACGATATGCTAAATCTATACTCCCCGGAGTCATATACCCCGATAAAATCAATCGAGCTACCCACAATTGATGCCCAGGCTCTGAAATGGTCTCCAAACGGTCGTTGGATTGCTATACTAGAGTCAGCAAGCGCGGGCTACAGGGTCCTGCTCTATACTGCTAATGGACATATGTTCCGGACACATGAGCAACCTTGTGTGGGATTGGGGTTGAGGACTATGGAATGGAGTAGTGATGGGGATTTCCTCGTGCTTGGTGGTTACGATGGGAGTGTAATTTTCTTGAATAATTTTTTGTTCAACAAAGTATGTCAAATCTCGATTGTGACGTTGACCGTCTATGGGAAAGAGAAGAAAAAGAAGAAAAGAAGAAAAAATACTAACAGATTAGGTTGTCGAAATGAGACATACGATAGAGATAAAACTAATGGCAACAGATGTCTGGTCCGAGGAGCTTTCAGTTCTTGGAGAGCGTCACTGTAAGTGTACAAACGCTAGATTTGTGTAACTTGTGGCTAAACCCGGATAGATACATTGATAACCCCTCCGGTGAGCCTTCCAACGGTGGATTCGCTGGCGTCAGATCCAGTGCCAAAGATTGGGGTCTCAGTTATCTCATTCTGCGCAGATGGAACACTCGTGGCGACCAAAGATGAAAGAATGCCGAATTCAATCTGGGTATGGTCTTTGGAGAGTCTTGCGCCATTAGCTATCCTTGTACAGCTGTCACAGGTCAAGGCGATCCAGTGGCATCCGAGTCGAGGGGACCTTTTGGCGGTGGTGTGTGGAGCTGATCCTAACAGTGTCAATACTACAAATATGCCATCGGTATATCTCTGGAGTCGAGACTGGGATTACCCAAGAACGATACGGGTATCAACAGATATTCTAGCGTCAAATTTATGGTTGAGATGGATTGACAAGAGGGTAATCGAAACAGAAGGGGCGTTAGAACGTGAATTTGACAGCACCTATGTGGAAGAGGAGGGTGAAAGGGAGACTGGCTCGGCAAGAGAACCTATCCGTTTCATTGTTGGGGATAAAGAACGGTATAATATCATGACATTGACAGAGGTACAGCCGATGATTGAAGAATGATTTCTCGGGAAATATACCTATTCAACAGATGATGTAATTTTTTAAATGCAATCGATAGAGGCGATATACAGAAACTACTTCTTTTTCTTCTTATCTTTCTTCTCTTTTGGTGGCGGGGTCCCGCTTCTATCGCCAATTGCTCCACCCATTTCACCCATCATTTCTTTAAAGATATTGTCACTAACACCACCGCCGGATAACGCTGGGGAGTGCAATGGCAATATCTCGTTGATCTTCCAGCCTTTAGGCACTGCTGGAGCTGGAGGAGGTTTGTCGGGATGAGGCATTCCATGAAATCGTAATAGCAACGGGGTTTCTGGTAGAGTCGGGTGGTCCTGTAGCCATTTAGCTACCAGGTCGAACATTTGCCTCTTCGTCTTAACTGTGGGGTGCACCGGTTCACCGTCCTCCTTCAACAGCACTCGTACTCTTCCAGGATTCGCCCAGTCCTTCGGGTGTGATTTCGTTGGCTCAAATATTGTTTGAAATCCTTGCGAATTCAGGGAAGCCACAATTTCCCGCGCCAAGGGATTGGGAACGGCATTCTTCTTGCCCACGCGACGACCTTCTGCCTTAGACTTGGCCGCATCGAAGTAGATTGGATAGACGCATTGGTATTTCCGGAATTTTCCCTCCATATCGGACTTGTTGATATATTTTGTTTGGTTGAACCCAGACGTTATTCCCAGTTCGGGTTGGCTCGATGGCGGAGGCTGTTGGGGTGGAGGTCGCCGTAGAGCAGCCGCCGAGGAAGCTGTAGATGGTATGTCCGCGGGACGGATTATGGGAGCTCGAGGATCGTAGTCCTCTGGATCAAAATCCATGTTGTCGATATCGATGTCATCTTCATCAGCGACTTCTTCTATCCGAGGGCGACTGGAGGCCATTGCGAAGTATTCTATTACAGGGGTAGCGGGGGAGGGTTGATGTTGGAGGTGGGATGTTAAGCACACATATCGAACGAAGCTGCTCACTGACCTGTATCAAACCAAGCCTTGGCAGAGTCCACACCCATAACCAGAATCGCCCGCTGGATGGAATAGTAATCATCTTTCCCCGAAACCAAACTCCTCCTCGAGCTCGTGTTCAATTCAGTTAGCTAACCAACTTGGATTTTCCTGTCACTGTACATAAATCAAGTAAGTTAGGTAAGTTTCTACACATCTCAGTTCCCTTCCCAGCCAATGCTGCTGCTGCCATTGCTTCAGGTCCGGTTCTGTCATTGCTTACTCATATCAATGGTGGGTCCTGGCGCCTGCTTCCCAAGCTGACCAAGTCGCGACAAAGATCAAATTCAGCGGTCTTGAGACTCTTATATAATTTCATCCCGTCCGTACATCAGATCAGAAGGGACTAAACTTTCGCTGGTCGTATCGCAGATGCCATAAATATCAGAAACCTATTATACCGTACTCAATTATCTCCAGTCACACCTTCATCACCTTCATCACCTTTATCACGTAAAAAAAAATGTCATTCAACGGCGGTTCTTCAGATCAAAGTTCGCCTCACACATCTGGCTTTGGCCTTACACCAAGCTATTCTGCATTAACACCGGGTCAATTTGGCTTCGAGTCGCTGAACGACAACCTAATGAATGCAGCTTCAAACGAGCCGGAAGGCGTCGTAAACGAGTTTCAGTTCAATACGATTCCTTTCGAGGACGAGAGCAAAGCAGATATATCCAAGTTGGAGTTAAAACAGAGTAGCTCGCAACAAAGTAATAATATCCCAAGAAGTGGGTCGGGATCTGGGTCAAGGCCTGCTGGCGACTTATCTCTCCATGGCAGTATGGATCAATCGGCTAGAATCCCACGGTTAGATAAATTAGTGACATTAACGCGGGGTGGTCTTCGTAGTGAATCGGATCCCTCACATACTGCCCCATGACAAGGTCTTCAACATTCAAGTCGGATGCCAGATGTTTTCGCTGAGGTGAGTGGATTTATACTTCTGAGTCGCTCATGCGAACCGCGCCTAAAATTATGTTATTAAAATAGAAAATCTGGTTCATAGTGGAGCTTCTATATCATCAGATGGCAAGTCCCGTCGTCCCCGATAAAACGACATTTCGCACTCTATGCTAATGGAGGTGCACTAGCTCCATCATACTTTTCTTCCTATTTCGGCAAACAGCTGCAAGAAGCGCGCGGTCAGAATGAACCCATAAGAGCCCTACATATTGACAGAGACCCCGAAATATTTCGAGATATTGTCAGGCACCTCCAAGGATATTATGTTCCGATACGTAGTCCGGAGCATTTCGCGTACCTGTTCGCTGATGCTCAGCTATTCCAACGTACGCATCCCTACTGTCTAGATTTCCGACTGACCGCTAACTCCAGATTAGTTCCCAAGCTTATATCTCGCTTGTTCGAGTCCGAGATATTTATGGCAATTGGATCTAGATCTTTCCAGATCCCAAGGGACCTTTTCTCTGCCCCCGGAGACTCACCAAATTATTTCACTCTAGGGTTCGCCGTCTTCTTCTCATCCCCAGATGAAGTATTTCCTGGTTTGAAGCGAGAAGGACTGCTCCGTCCACCTTCGATAACACCGCCCGAAGTCCCCAATAGATCTGGAGATGTCTTTTCGGAACTCCTACATCTACTTAGAGGGTATCCCGTGGAGATCAGAAATGATACACACAGGGCCGCGTTACTGCGAGATTGCAGATACTATCACCTCCGTGGGCTAGAGCAGAAGCTGATTGCCCATACCATTTCTTACAATTCTACTCGCGAGAGGGAAGAAATTACCATAAGAATTGAGGATATTAAACCATCAGGGCTAAACTTTGCATTGGACAGCTCTGATAAAATGCTGGGGTTTGTGACATACGCACGTCCGTTCAACGATGACACTGGTCGAGAACTAGTTCTCGAAATTGGTAATGAGCATGTCATTGTGAGCTCAATGACTATGTCTGCCACGTTTAGGGAGGATACCAAGAAGAGGGTTGCAGCGATTGCTAAATTGATATTTGGCAAGATCTCGTCCGCTTCAACGGCAGCTACGAGGCGAGCTATACCGGCTCTTCTAGGCCAGCCGTACACACCGGCAGCTGATCTTGCTATGCGTGTTATAGTGGATGAAGATACCGACGTTTTGCTTGATGGGAGAGCGTGGGGCTGCCCGTTACCTGAGAATACGCATCTTGAATTTGAGAACCCTATGCAAGGTCCACTTGCAAGACCTCTGAAAAGACGAAGAATGAGTCTTGAAGCTGCGGGAACCGCAGACACCTGGACGGTTAAAAAGGGTCTCTGGAAACTGCAGATACTAGAATTCCCCGACAACAAAGTGGAACTGATGTTAAAAGCCATTAAGCTCGATGCTATATCTGGCGAAACGGGGAGAAATATGACGAGGAGTTTCTTGCCGTCATCCGGCTAGGTTGCGACAATATCCAAGGCATCATCGATGCAACTATCATGCAAGACCGCTAGGGGTCAATGCACGGTAGGGCCTCTAAATTAATCCTCGGAGTCCGAGCAGCGATTTACGACAAATCCCCACCTTTCCAGCTCTAAAAAAAAAAAAAAAAAGGGAAGGGTTTGCGGGTATTAACCGAAGGCGGCTGTCCGCTACGTAATTTTGAGGAATAGCGGGATGTTAATGAATGGGGTACATGTTCGTAGTCGGATTTGTATCATGGATATCCATCACATTTGAGTAACAAGCAATTGTCATTTTTCGCAAATCTAGCTCGAAGTTATCAATGGTTAACCAATTTTGATGAAATGAAAATTTTTTTGATTTATATTCTGCGACTGTTACGCAGCTTCTTTTTCTCATCTCGAATTGAATCTGAATCTTGAGCCGGCCGAATAAACCTCTGGTCTGTAATGTCCCGCGGCCAGAGCAATATCAAAATCACAAGCGTACTCGTGAACTAGCGCTGTAGCTACCGAAATCACAAAAAAAATTTTTTTTTTCAACAAAGGTAATGCCCCATACGGTACCTGCATCGCCATTGCAATTGAGGGAATTAAAACACCGAGAAAAGGCTCTGCATAAAATTTCCCCACTCACTCGTCAGCTGCTGCTCCTCAGACACGGCACTAACATGGGGATGCTTCCACAATGGTTCTCTTTGGTATCCCCAGCGGGTTTAGCAGGGTCTTTGATTATCAAGATAATCTGTTGAAGGCCACGCTAGCCAGGATGCCAATGCAATGAAACTCCGCAGAACTCCCAATATATTGTACTCAGGACCGATCGAGGTATGAATGCTGGTATACTTCACACTGTTTTCGACTGTACGCCGCATCAAAGAGCTCAATTTATTACGTTTTGAAAACCTGGAGCTCCAACTTGGCTTGATATAACATAAAGGGCATCTCCGATCGCGCAACTAGCCAGCACGTATGTATCCAAGCTATGCCGAAGCTATGCGTACTAAGCTACACAGTACGTACTTGATATTCTCGAACCGACGAGGGTTGTCGTCTACATGTACATGCTACACATCTAGTCCGTACAGCATAGGAATTCCACGTTAAGAAAGTGGAAGCACACTTGAAATCTTGGTGGCCAAGAGAGAGAAAAAAATGGATACAGAGAGCATGCACTCAACCTGGCCGACAATTCAAACTTTTTCAGATTGTGGCGTTTCAAAAAAACAAAATAAAATAAAAGGGACGGGGTTCGGGGAAATCTGTGAATGTCTGTGAATGAGTGTGAAAGTGATACTATACAGAGTTATAGTGTGCAGGGAAATTAATATTTGCGTGGTTCGCTTGACCGCTCAATCAATTGATACATCTCGAGTCTATGTAAGTTCTGTTATTGTACTTAGATCCTTACAACCTCTCAAACATATACCTTATGCATACGATCGAGTGTGCGCATACATGTACTCCAAGATATCAATTAATGGATATTCTATAGCTCGGGTCGACGGGACCTTCGATGTCAACTGAATAGCAGTATGTCTATTATACGTATTCCGTTCAGAACATCACGAATTGGTTAACAGGGAAGCTAACCCCCGCTACGCTGGCTCCACCCTCATCGGTGCTGCATTGCATGGAACGACCAGGGGAACAAGTACAAGACGAGGCCAGGCCAATAAGACCAACCAACCAGCCTGTTGGTCTTGCTTTTTCCGCAGAAGGATTGCTGACCTGCTAGCTGCGAAAGCTCCGAAACTTGCAGCTTGAAAGGCATCCATCTGCATTAATTGTATCCCTTACCTCACATGAATACGAATAATATTATGGTTCACGGTATCCTTGGCTTTACTTTGTACAGCTTCAATATAAAACTTGCATCTGTTCCCTCTCGCTCTTTCCCCTCTTGAACTTCTCCTATCGCCCCAGCTCAATTGAAAGTCTCACCCCGGGGCCCCCCAAAAAACACTACTCGCAGCCGAAAACCACCCTACGCCGATGCAATGTTAAACGGAACTATCATGTCTTTCTCTTTTTCTTTTTCAGACTTTGCGCGTCTATGATATGATGCATCTTCTATAACGGGCGCTTTCCGTATAGTCCTTCGCTTTCAACCCTTTGCTTTGCATTGTGATTCCATGAACCTCCTCACCTACATATCTTTGATACATCGATACCCTCTCCCTCTTTCTTCTTCCCCCAATACAAAGCAGGCTGTTGTATAAATTGTTCCAGCCCTGGTCCATCCTCAATTGCATGGAGTTGCATCTACTGCGAACTAACATCGCAAAGGGTCCTAAAAGCTTGTGCGAATTCCAAGCTATACCGTATAACATATACACATATACATACCGCCCTTTGGTGGTTTAAGCTGAAGACATCTTACCCAGCTCTGGCCGATACATTGTTATTTCGACCCCCTGGCCAATTCTGCTCTTATATATATATATATATATATATATATATCTAAGGAAAAAGAAAGCTGCACCTATCATGCCTGCATTAACCTTCAACCCACAGGGCATGGGTGTCCTCTCAGACGATGTCATTCTTCTAATATACCCAGAACTGGACTCCTGGGAAACTGTCGCCTCATTATCGAGTGTCAACCACCGATTTCGCGACCTCTTTCTGTACCAACAAGAAAGCATTAAAAGGCGGGTTTATGCCCGTGAATACGCCATCACTCGCCCGAAAGGCCACCAAGACGCTTTTCGTCTTGCCAGATATATGACCACAAATGTGCTCCATTCGAATAAGACCCGAATAGGACCTTCAGATCTCACTTGGAAGGAAATCGAGCAACTCCAGGCCAATCAAGCTGCTATCCAGTACCTGCAGGATAGGTTTCTGGAGATTCGAAGGGAGCAGAAGAGTAAGGCCAGAAACGAAGATCTCACTTGCACTGAGGTTGACAAGTTTTGTCAGGCGGCTGTAAGTAATCCTTGTCTAAAACCAATGAAGATAATAATAATGGTGATTAGCTTAAATTGACAATTCTATAGACACGGTTTTGGATCTTCTGTGCAATGTTCGCTGATAATCCTAGATCACGAGCGGACCAGAAATCCCTCGTTGAATCCTGGTGCTTCAATACTGCAAGCGAGCTTCAATATATCCGAGAGTTGATTCTTTTTCTTTGGAGACTGCTTCGGGATTCGATTCCGGAGAGCGAAGAACATGTCGCTCAGGCCTGGGCTGAAAAGGTTGGGATAAGGTGCTTCTCGACTCCCGGCGGCGGACCATCCGATAGTAAGCTGAACATCCTGCTTCGTATATTTTCTCATTTCTCAAATATATCTAACGCACTTCATCCGATTAGCTAAATGGATTGACTTTCTCATGTCCCGCGGCTGTGGGGTTCTCTTTGATTTGGTAAAGCAAGAAAGTGTGCTCAAAAGAGTTCTCTACATTGCCAAATCCCCATTTGGATATCGCACAGACGCGGCAGACTACGTCTTCCTATGCGGCTCTGCTGTTAACCAAGTCATGGCTGAGCGGGCTAATACCCTCCCCACCCGGCCATATGGCATTCTCGATAAATGCTATTAGTATTAGTATTAGTGTTTGTTAAAGTCATCGTTTTGTTATCTGGGAATATAGGGCGGCGTAGGTGCGAACAAAAAAAAGAGGATATGTTATTCTGAACGGCTATTGACCGAATATCGCGTGGGGTGAAGCGTGGGAGTTTTGCTTGATTTTGTTCTTGATTTTGTTCCCTCTTTCCTTTATTTACTTCTCCACATTTTCGGGATAAAGATTTTTCCTTTTTCTTCCCTCGAGGGCCGAGACTTCTGGGTCTTGAAGAGGGAAGGAAAAGAAGCAAGCGATTGCGTCATAAGAGCAAAGGGATTTTTTTTGTTTAGTCGTCTATTCCAAAGGCGTCATGATACTACATGAGAAAAGAAATTCTCTACTTCTGCTACGACTAATACAGTAATAATATGTTTTGATATGACATGCCAGTTCCGGGTCCTAGATGGGATTCCTGTTTTCCTTCCCTTCACACAAAATTGTGGTCATTCTCTTGAAACTTTGACATCTGAATTATAAAATTCTTGGGATAGGGCCTTTAGCTTCAGGGAAAAGTTTCGTGTGATACAGTGAGAATGGGTTTTAACAATAGGAAGGTAAGCCAAACTCGAATTCTGGACATTGCGGTTTGTGGATGCGACATTATAGGTGGGTAACGTCGCATTTGCTAGGACTAACTAGACGGAATAAGAAGGAGACTATTTTTGTCTAAACTCGGGATTTGTTTTTTGGGATTCACGAATTCGGGGCTTGCGGATTTCTGATACTAATTCTAGATAGCCAGACTTTGCCTGGGCTTAAAAAACAAGGCCTATAATCCCAAGGTTGAACTTGGAATAGCCCTATGAGGATGCCAAATGGGAATGTCTTTCTAGATCTCCGCAGGGCTGAAAAATAGCACCCTGGACATTTGCACAAGTTATAGTATCGACAGCCCTAAACTAAACAACTTCGAGGATTTTGTTTAACATAACATCCGGGTTTGGACGGCTGGTCCAAATATCTTCCGTACGGGGATACCGCACGTATGATATGAAGCAGAAGCATGTAAGCATGCATATGGGCTCATGAAGGCTATGGTATCAATCAACCTAGCTTGCCCCCGCCCTTAGGGTATTTGGCGGCATTAAACAACTCCGGTAGGTATAGTTTTGCCAGGCGCTGGAACTTCGGCCATGGCTTGATGAATTCCGTCGGATGCTCACGGAAAGCCATTCTTGTCGTCTGCCAGGAGCACATGCATACGGAACCAAAAGACACGAAATGAAGCATACGACCCCTTTGTTTTCTTGAAATTTGGAGGAAATAATTGGCTACAGAATCCACGAGATTTACATATGTGGTTACTCATTTATAAAAAAAAAACAAATTACCTTATATTCAATGGTATGTGAGGTTTTCAGCTAGCTACTCGCGAGATACTGTCTGTAGTTATAAGGAAAAGTAAAGAAAAAAGTAAAGAAAAAGAAAAACGCAGATAATGGAAAGGAGATGCTACTCAGATAGTTTTTTCCACCCATAGATCAAAAAGGGAATCAGATTTTTAGAGAAGAGTGATGCAGACCGATCAGTTTGCTGCTTTCGCAAGGCTCTTATTATAAAATGATAAGAAAAGGGGATAGAAAAATGTGAGGTTAGAGAAGAAGTATCGAAGTGTGGAGAAAAAAAAAAGATACATAGTAATTTTCAAAGCATGAACGCCTCATAACTCCATACATCGTCAAGATATATATACCCAGAAAGTGATATCAAAATGATAGTACAAATGAAATAGAAAATTTGTGGTAGTATGAAAGAAAAGAAGCTGCAAAGTAGTAGAAAAGAAGGAAAAAAGAAAGAAAAAAGAAAACGCTTAGAAGACTGAATTATAGACCGCAGAGTGCCCCAACTTTATGATATGTTGTCTCGATCGAGCGAAGAGTTTTGGTGAGCTCGGGATCACGGCAAGTTTCAGTGGCGGGTTGTTCAACAGTAGAATCCTCAGCCTCAGTATTCTGGGGCAATTCTGGGAAGAACTGGCTTTCAAGAATAGTGAATAGGGTTTCAAGGCCAAGAGCTGGTAGAATTTCCTCGGCCTTGGGTTCGGCCTTGGGTTCTTCTTTCTCGGAGAGCGGGGTATGGATATCAAAGTGGCTGTACAAATAGTCCGGGACAGCCTCGAGCTCATCTTCAAACACATCGAAGATGTATTGACCGTTGCTATCGTAGGAGTTTGAGAAGTCTGGCTGAGTCTCTTCCTTTTCGGCCTTGAGGGTTGGCTTGTAAGATCCAGGGCGGAAGCCATCGGCGGGGGCATACAAATCGTCCATAATATCTTTGCCAACAAGCTCATTTGCATCAGCGATGATTTCTGGGACTTCCGCAGTGTAAACAGTGGGTTGACCACCCCAGGACCCAGGAGCAGCATAAGCAAGAGGCCACTCTTCAACACCGGACTGTCTATTGGGGTTGACATCCTTGCGGGGGTTGTAAGTGTTCAAGAATTGCTGATGAGGTGGGATGTACGTTGGAACTTGGAAATCGTGCATAACAGGAGGGGGTGCTTGTTGGATTTGGATATGTGGAACAGAAGCACGGTGGACGGTGATGTTCTCTTGCAGGGAGTTCTGTTGAGGGCCGCTTCCGGCTGCGAAGGCAGTCATGTTGGCAGCTGAGAGTGGATTCATTTGATCCAAGAAAGATGCGAATTGGGGGGATGCCAGAAGCATTCGGGTAAGTTCCTTGAGGGACTTGTTCTCCGCTTCCACGGCGTTAAGCTTCTTCTTGAGGTCGACATTCTCGGTGGATTTGTTGGATACCTCGGTTTCGAGCTGGCTGATGTATTCTATTCAATGTGTTAATGATATATATTTAAGGTATTTGCCTTGAGAAGAATACTATGCTTACCCTTTCTTCGGCTTCGGAAAGCACGGGCGGAAACTTTGTTTCGAAGTTGTCGGCGTTCTTTGCTACTCAACTTCTTTCCTTCTTCGCTGGCAAGAAGCCTCTCATCCTCGTCCATATCATCCTCGTCCTTCTTTAAGCGAGCAATCTGGGGCATCATCGAGTCTTCCTCGATGCTGGCTTGGGATGAGAGGGCTTTTCTCTTTACATCCTCGAGTATCTGACGAATGCGCTCTTCTGTTGCTGCGTCCGGTGCTGTCGATCCCTTCTTCTTCCCATGACTCGAAGATGCGATGGAAGATGTGGATGTGGATCGCTCGGTCTTGATGCCAGCAAGGGCATCGATATCGACCTCCTGACCTCCGAAATTAACGTCGCTGGGGTCTACAAAGTCGTTATCAAAGGAAGACTCCGGGAAGAACGAAGGCATAGAGAACATGTCGGTGCTCTCGAGATCCATCCCACCGAAACCCATACCACCAAGATCATTTGGTGATACAGACACAGGGGCCTGGTTGGGAGATCTATTAGGGGATGAGGATTCCGAGAAGTTTATTGAGTAAGGCAGTAAACCCGTCTGTTGGGTATGTAATTCATATTGATGCGAAGGGCCAGAGAAGGATTGATTTAAAGCAAGGTGGGGGGCTTCTGGGAAGACCGTCGAACTGCCAGTCGATGAAGGGCGGTTGTTATTAGAGTCAGATAGACCACCACTGAGATCCAAGAAGGAATCGATGTCGTAGTTTTCTCCCGTCATCTTAAGGAGTATATTTTGAGTGACCTCAGGGTCGAATATGATTTTCGATTAGGACTGCTATCAAACGAGTATGAGATGAGATCCTTGAGGGGACTCTTTGTCGTGGGAAAGGATAGATGGTTGCGTTGTTGCCACAGTGTAGTCGAGATGGAAAGCTGTGGTTTACTGAAAATGGTCGGATACTGGTTCAAATTATCTATGGTGAGACCGATGCAGATATTTGGCGTTAGATTTGTCGTCAGAGAAAGGTCGAGTCTGTAGGTGACTTTTTGTTTTGTAGATTGTAAGAGATACAGAGAAAGAAGAGAAAGTGCCGAAATGACAGTATATGGGGTAGCAAAAGAGGACACCCAAAGAAGGGGGGCAGGAATAAGGAAATATGGGAGGACCCGAAAGTCGTCGTAAGCTCTCGCACACAAGTTGCAGGGTTGCCAGGCAGCCGCAGCAAATTGGACCAGAAAAGTGGAAAGTCTTAGGATGGCTTGGGAGAACACAATAGGAATCGGGCTGGGTCTGCAGCCAAGTTCAAAATTGCAAGGCAAAAGGGAACAAGCCTCTTCCTGAGCAAGGTAACGTTATTATTGAGGATATCTGGGATTCCGTCCGGCCATCAATCGTCTGCAATCTGTGTGGGCTCCCTCCGCGGTTATCGACAGATGAAGTCAGGTATTTTCAGGTATTTGAGGAATTATTGCGTAAAGCCTCGATATCACAAATACCGAAAAGACCTCCCCGGCGGTAATGGTGAATTGGCTGTAGTAGCGATGTGAATCGAATGATAAATGAAGCGCCTGGTGACAGCTGTTCTTTCCGTAAATCACCACTTGTGTACAGTACAAGAAGGATACAAAAAATTAGAAAGTATCCAATTGTCCGTATTTCCCTAATATTATGACGGGGAGTTTGATTTGGGTTCAATTTGAAGATCGGTTTCCGGTATGAGCACTGCCACAAACCCGAGTCGTGAACCTAAAGTGTGTATGTGATGGGATGTATCGGGAACCCCTCCGTTTGCGTTCAAAGTCAAGAGCTAGCACCGATGGTATATAATCTGAGGTGCCCCCCCAAACAAATCCCCGTTGTTCAAATGGTATGATTTGGATTTCTTCCTGTTGCACTACGCCGTGCTCTTGTGCTTTGTGTCCAGTTCATGTCGAATCGAAGCACCAGATTTTGGGTGCTCTGGCATGAGTGCATGGGTATTCACTGGTCCTGAAACGATAGACACACAATATGTCGGAGACATGGCTAGCCATGGTATTGCATCAGGATTGGGAAGGGACGCGTAAGCTCTTTTCCTTGCAGGGGATGGTGGGATCATGGGCATTCGGGGCAGAGCAAACCCCGACGGCAATTCTATGCCCCCCACTTGCCCCTTTCGATCGGATCCAACAGGCTCCGGCCACCAATCAGAAAGGAGACTGTGGCGTTATCTCATTTGAGCTTTGAAGCCACAACAGGGTGACCAGGGACTGCGATATTTTTAGAATCACAAAAAACTTTACATCCGAGTCGGATATTAAAATTCGCCGCCACCAGTCAGTCTTCCGGTAGGTGTCCACGGACGTTCCATTCCAGAAGCCCTTGGCGCTTACAGCCAAGGCCCAGGTTGCAGATGGATGACGAGTTGTAGTGACGAAGCCAAAAGGGCGTCAGCATCCAATCTTCTGACACTTGGGCGGTTGGTCGCCGCAGATTAAGCTGCCCTTTTGGGTCCTCCCGACTCTACCAAGCGACTGATCAGATGCTTGTTTTTGTGTCTTTTGTTAAGCTTATTATGGCGCATCGATAAGTTGATGGAGTTCGTAGGAAAGGTACGCAATTGTCCATTGAGGGATTTGGGGACTGGCCTTACATACACAAAAGCATCCCGGGAGAAGGTGAATATCTGACGAATCTCTTGGCCCTGGTGCATGAGAGGGCGTCTGTATAGGTAGGGCGCGTGGACAACAGAGGAGTCCTAAGACGTTAGAAAAATAGTATTGGCTTTTATCCAATAATTGGAGCTCTTGGATGAGAGAGATTCGTCCCCGTTGACGTAAACCTAAAGGTGGGGAAGTTTTCGAGTAGTTGGGTACTTGCATACCTTGATTTGTATTGGGCGCTTGTCGGTATTCTTTTGATGTTCCGGAGAAGTCGTAGGTGTGCCAGTGCCACCATGTATGTCACAAAAGGTCTCAACCCAACTCAATGTGTTACTGTGTTTTGCTGTGTTGCTGCGTTGCTGCGTTGCTGCGTTGCTGTGTTGCTGTGTTGCTGTGTTGCTGTGTTGCTGTGTTGCTGTGTTGTTGTGTTGTTGTGTGGCGTTAGATGTTGGATTAACAAGCCACATGTGCTCTTCAGCCACGCGACAACAGGAACTGAATGGTCCCATCCAAATCCACACGAGCTGGGAACAAGAACTCGAACTGGAACTACAACTAACACGACACCAGCTTTCCATGTTCACTCAGCTTCACTCCACAAATACATGTATGTACATGTACGGACATTACGAAACGAAAATAGCAATCCCCAAACACAAACTACAGGAACGAATAGGGTTTCTTGCCACTCGGTTTCCCATCATCTAGTACGTTGGAAATGCCACCAAAACGCCCTTCAAAAGCCAATGAGGAAGCTCCATCTCGCAGGAACGATGAACCAAAAAAAAGTCAAGAAGAAGAACGCAAAGTCAAAATACCCCCAGAGTTGATAGCGAAACTAGTCAAGAACTTTCTAGAGGATGAGGGTACAAAGGTGTCGGGTGCTGCAACCAAGACTGTCGGGGAATACATGCATCTCTTCCTCACAGAAGCCGTCTACCGTGCTGTCAGTAACAGAAGAGACGGTGATCCATGGGCTAAGACGACAAATTCCGGACTGATGCTTGAGGTATGTACACGCATGAGTTCCCACAAGATCTGCTGCGTAGCCGCCAGGACAATGCAGGCCCTTGGTCGCGAATACGACACCATGTAATATCTTTAAATTTAATTCTAACTGACAAATCCTATCCAACCGTTCGAAATCGCTAGGTTGAAGACCTCGAAAAAATCGCACCCCAGCTATTATTAGACTTTTAATGCCCTCGGAAAACTCTTTATCAGGTTCCTTCGAGTTCCATTCTACGGGTTTAATTAGGAATTAAATGCGGAGCTTATGCAACCAATTTCTGGGGGTTGCATGAGCCAGCCCGTTCGAAGCGAATATTTTGCAATCGGTAAGCTACCGAGATACAAGCCACCTGTGTAACGCTATCAATACTTAAGCCCAATGCACTGTATTGCATGTTCGTCCTATGGATCTGATCGCTTCATAGGTCGCTGAGACTCTCGGTATCATGGCCCTCGCCCCAGACTGCTTCACATTGTTAGTGGCATTTCCAAATACCAATGGCCTGTTTTGATCGTGCATCTGTCAAGATAACCAATTCCGAAACCTGAAATATCTAAACAATTACCTCCCGGCAAGGAAGGCCATTTCATGCTTGCCACTCAATGCGACTTAACCAATCTAGCTTAGTCATGTCAAATGTCAAATGTCAGTAGGAAATTACAACAAGTCATGACCAAGAACAATCATCAGGCAATTCGGGGCGAAGTAACAATCGATGCAAACATTGTTTCTCCTAGCGCTGATACTCGCCAACACGTCATAACGCATGTTATCGTGATAACGGACAAGTTAATACGAAGAAACGGCAATGTTCCTGACCCGCTGAAGTGCATAGAATCGGTTTCTTGACTGCTATTGTCTCAAAAAAGGGCCCTAGTGACAAAAGTTCGCTTTGATATCGCTTCTGTGACTGGCGACAATGTTGCGCCGTCGTACCCATGTAGTAGAGCTAGTCGATTAGACGGTTGAAGCTGCCCAGGAACCTCGAAGGGTCAAGATGAAACGGATAAATCCAGGCGGCCTGAATCCCATCGGTGGAGCCCGATCATCTTGTTTCAACAGCAGAAAACAAATCATCTAAGCGGACTCGCCGAGTTTTATCCAGGAAACCGTTATATCCATCGACAGCCAAATATACCCGCAAAGGACCTGCAAAGAGGCGCAGTGGGGACCAAAGGGGAATAGACTGGGAAACGTCAAACGCAAGGAGCATTGACAGGGCCCAAAGCATCCCTTTCGAAGCGAAAGTCGTCGCAGAAACGTTTTGCTGTCTCGAAACACCACCACAAGTCAACACATTTTGCGCTTCAGACTGGCCACACCGACTGCGGAGTGTATCACTTTTCAGGTACGCACAGCTCCGTCCTTTGCATTGGCGCCTGAATGCTCTATCTGATCAGAGACTTCAATTTGAGGGCCGATAGGTAGCTGAGGTACCTATATAATATATCTCTTCCGCATCGTCTGTTATCTTTTTTCCCTTCCTTCCTCAGCAGCAGCTCCACAGCCAAACAGTAATATTCATTTCTTTACAGCGCTAGTCGCTTTGTTACACATTCACTTCTTCCTTTTCCATCCTTTCTAATTGTCTATCTTTTAAAACCGCAAGACGGGAATTTGAACGTTTGAGTACATATCATACACCCACAGGATTGATTCCTTGAACAAGAAAGTCGAAAGATCTTACATCGCCATCCTTACTTTATCCCTTTACAGCCCTCGCTCTCTTCCAATAGAAAATAAAAAACAAAAACAAAGAAAAAGAGCCATCAGTCAAAATGTTTTTCTCTAAGGCCGTCATTGCTTTTGCTGCCCTCGCCTCTTTCGTTTCAGCACAGTCCGACCAAGTCAAGGTTCATGTTGTCCAGGCTTTGAACAAGGATGGAAAGCCAGTCTTCGAACCCGCGGAGATCCAGGCCGCTGTTGGCGACCTCATTCAATTCCAGTTCCATCCATTGAATCACTCTGTCGTTCGAGCTTCTTTCGCCGATCCATGCATCCCAATCGAGGACTCCCCAGCTGGTAATGGTACCGTTGGCTTTTTCTCTGGCTTCATGCCAGTTGCAGAGTCTGCTGAAGTTGTAAGTTTTCCCGCATCGCATTTCGTTCCTAGATTGAGTGAATTCAATTAACAATGCATTTTTAGATGCCGACCTTTACCATTCGAGTTGAGAACGACAAGCCGATCTGGTTCTACTGCTCCCAGGGTAAACATTGTCAGGCTGGTATGGTCGGTGCTATCAACCCAACAGCCGAAAGGACTCTTGCAGACTTCACATCTCGTGCCGCTCAAGCAGAGGCCAATTTGTCCCCTGGCCAGAACTCCGCTGGAAACGGTGGATCCTCCAGCAGCGTTCTCCCAACGCCGACTAACCCGCCATCCACCCCAACTACGCTCGAGACATCTGCTGCAAGGACTACTACCGGGGCTGCTCCCAGTATGACCGACCTTGTCCCACCTAACTCTGCTGCAAGACTCGGATCGAGCATGTCTTTGGTTCTTGCTGCCATTGCTGCTTCCTTCTTCCTTTTGTAAACAACAAGATACCAGATGTAGCTTCAATTTCATTCCAGCATGTTTCCTTTTCTAGTTCTTATGGCACGGCACGGCACGGCGTTTACGGATTTCTTGCATTTTCATTTTGACTCTTCAAAAGTGGCCTCTATGGATCATACTGGCATTTATTCTTTCTCTTCCAATTTTATCTTTCTTTTTATGTATTTGATCTGGGTTGTACTGGATGGCTTCTTCTTCTATCATTTACAAATTTCTCTTTCTTCTCAACTTTACACCGTCTCCAATCCCTTTTCTCTATCCATCTATCCCTCTATCTCCCACCCTGCCTATAAACGTTCAAATTCCCTTCGTCTCAACGGTCGCTCATAAGGAAGCCTGACTGAAGATCCCCTTTTATTTATCATTTCCACATCTTCTTCTTCCTTCCTCAGCCTCATTGAATGAGCAACCGGGCAAGTTTTGACAGGTAACTTCATGGAAAAACCTTCATTTTTAATAGTCCGTCGTATCGCCTTGGAGCTGATCCGGACGACCACATGATCATATACTACTCCCATGTACTTATCCTAAATATAATGAATATTACTGCTGCTCAAAAAAAATATACATCCCTCTAATATATTAGTATATTAATTTTAAGAATGTTGTGTAGGAGAATATAGTGCTGCATAGCCTCGGGTATGCGTACTCAGTCTCGTAACCAGACTTGCGGTAGTAGTCTTGTTGTATGTTTTGTGTTGGATGAACTCGAGAAACGCGGTTTCCGGCTGGGCACATTGCATCTTGACATCACCTTCAACCTCAAGATCTCGCCATCACCTCAACCAATACATGCTCCCAAAGCTCTCTCCAAATTGAATTCTCGGTTGCCCTCCTGCCATCAAATTCCGCTGCAAACACCATTTACCACCACAAGGGAGATCCCCGATCCAACGATATGAGCTCCAAAAGGGCTGCGGCCGCAATGGTCGCAAATGATGAAGATGATGAATACCATTCATCTGAAGACGAAGACTTCAACCCAGACCTGCAACCTACACGAAATGACGAAGGCGATGACAATAGCGCCGAATCATCCTATTCAGAATCCGAAGAAGAAGATACAAAGAAACGCACCCGTAAACCTTCGAAGCGCAAAGCAAATGACCTGCCGCTCTTGGATCGCGAATTGGTTGAAGATAACTCCGGTGACGAAGCTATCATGCGCGGCGCGAAGGCGAAACGAAAGAAGGATGGGAGTGGATATGATGACGAAGAAGAGGAGGAAGGTCCATTCATAAAAACCCGTTCACAGAAAGCAAGAGAAGTTAAAAAGAAAGTCAAGAGGAGCACCACCACCGCCGCCGATCCAACCGTTGATATCGACGCCCTTTGGAAGTCTCTAAACTCGCCGTCCCCACCGAAGACTCTAAAACCTACCACCCCGTTGCCGGGAGTCAAGTCTACAATCAAAACCGTCACGACATCAAAAATCGAACACACTCTACCTGACTCTACATCCCCGGGGAAACCAGATGGTACGCCGCTACTACGCACACAACTATCCACACGAGTAACAAGTATAATAACATCATCCACAGAGTCCGGAATTCAAGTATCGACGGCTGAAGCCGCTACTGCTGTCCCTTTGCCTGCACCGTTAGAAGGGTTACCAGTTGGAGGGGTTGAGTCAAGATCCGAAACAACTGCGGTAATCCCAGCCGAGGATAATGGAATGATTGCTATAAAGCGAACATACGAGTTCGCTGGGGAGACTATCACGTATGTGACCATCTACTCCATATCTATCCTGAATTGAGAACTAACGAGGATTCGGATAAATAGTGAGGAAAAGCAGGTGGCCGCGAACTCATTCGAGGCCCGGGCATATCTCTCATCTCTCCAAGCTGGCGCACCCCAAACATCCAGCCCTAACCCACCAAAACCCCTACGCCGTCCTATGCGAAAAATTTCAAAATTCGATCCCGCCTTTGTCGGTGCTGGCGGGGCCAAAAAGGCATCCAAGCTCAACACACTCGAGAAGTCGAGGTTAGACTGGGCCGGGTTTGTAGACAAAGAAGGCATCGGCGACGAGCTTGACAAAAAGAGAAGAGAAGGTGGTGATAGCTATCTCGAGAGGCAGGACTTCTTGGGAAGAGTCGGCTCCAGGACTAGTGAGAAACGATAATCCTTCAGAGGAGGCGATATCTCAATAGGAAAATGATAGCCTAAGACGAGAAGCGAACCTATGTATGATATGACTGATGTTCTTTCCCCGCCGTTCAAATATGATACCCATTTTGCATTTTATACAATTAATATTATTATCTGGCTACGCCGACTCTCCGTGAGCGCCGAAATGTAGATGTAAGAGTTAGATGCTAAAAACTGGTGAAAGGTCTTAATGAACAATGTCGTTGTATGATGGCTCAATGGTTTAGGGGGTGGAGGAGGGCCGCGGTCTGGGGCTCACGATTCGGACCACTCTACCCAGCCTTCTTCCTTCCAATCCCCGCTCTTGCCGCCGACCTTTTCAACCACCCTTGTGCCATCAAGTACCATACCTTTATCTACAGCTTTACACATATCATACACCGTCAAGGCGGCCCCGGTAGCCGCCGTCAGAGCTTCCATCTCAACTCCCGTTTTCCCATCACAGGTTACGACAGTTAGGATTTCAATGGCACCATTTCCGTCATCTACGACCCTCAGATTGACTTGCACCTTCGATATACTGATAGGGTGGCACAAAGGAATGATCTCGGATGTCTTTTTTGCAGCCATGATCCCCGCAATACGAGATATTGATAAGACATCTCCCTTCTTGTTGGAATTACTGCGTATCAATCTGACGGCATCTGGGTTGGAGAATTTGATGGTAGATACTGCTTTTGCGGTTCGTGTGGTGATAGCTTTTTCATGAATTGGAACCATATGGGCGGCTCCAGAAGGAAGGACGTGTGTGAGCTTTTGGCCTGGTGCTGGATCCTGAGAGTCTGTACCCATAGTGGGCTGGCGGTGGATCCTCGAGGTGCTATATGCCCGTACGATCTGACAGATGTGGGGGGCGGGGGGCGAGAGGAGGTATGTTGGAATGTCGGAGATAGTCTTCGAAAGGGGTCGTCGAGAGCCATTCCCTGCAGCCCTAATCAACCATTGCCCAGAGCTCAAAGAACCACAGCCCCAAAGCATATTGACCCCATCTACCCACCAATTAGAATCATCGGCCTATTCGGCAAGCTCTCGAGTTCACCGAGCCCCGCATGCTTCTCTTTTTTCCCTTTCACTGCCACCCCAATGACCTCCAGCAGTCTCTTTTCTCCTTCCGGTCCCATACCACCTTCTTTTCTCATCATGTCCCTGAGGCTCACCTCTGCATTATCGAACAAGCAAACCTTGATATTCCCATCACTTGTGATCCTCAGTCTGTTGCAAGTTCCGCAGAAATTATGCGTCATTGATGTAATAAACCCCAGCTTTCCCTTATAACCCGGTATCTGATATGTTTTACTCGTATCGTTTTTATGGTCCTGTACTTTCTGTAGGTCGGGGTGGGACTGTCGGATTTGATCCAGCATTTCTTGATATGTGATCATTTTGCCAGATTCCCATTTGTTGCCGGTGAATGGCATGTACTCTATGAACCTAACTTCGATAGGTTTGTCTTTGGTCATCGCAAGAAAGGAGGGTATTTCGTCCACATTGACTTTGCTCATTACGACGCAGTTGACTTTGAGGGGTTGGATATTTAGGGAGAGAGCAGCATCGATCGACTTGAGAACGTTACTTAGACCTATATTTTTTGGATTAGTAGTCCATATCGAACTCGGTAATTGTTCTATCCAAAAGATGATGAAATACCTTTCCGTCTTGTCATAAACTGAAATTTGAACTCGTCCAGGGTATCGAGACTCAGATTTAAGGCCGTCAAACCCCCCGCCACCATCTGTGGCAACTTTCGAGCCAAAGATATACCATTGGTGGTCATAGCTAGTTCCTTTAGTCCCATAGCCTTTAGTTTACCAAGCTCTGTGATAAGATCAACGATGTCCTTGCGAACTGTTGGTTCCCCCCCAGTTAGTCTGATTTTAGTAACTCCCTGGGAGACGAATAATTTCGCTAGGTGGAGGATTTCCTCTGTGGTAAGCAAGTGTGAAGGCGGAGATAGATCGATGCCTTCTTCCGGCATACAGTATAGACCTAGACATCATCAGCGCATGTTAATACCGCGCATTTTTTTTAAAGCCGTTCATGGCCGTATGTATCTCGTAGGTATCCCGTACATCGTAAATTGCATCTCTCGGTAATGGATATACGAAGGTAATTATGTTGTCGATTGAAATTATCAGTCAAGAATTCGCTGAACGGTTTCGCTTCTCTGATTGCTGCCATGCGATCGGAGAACTCGGTCGCAGGAAGGCTCGGTCGAGTCGGCGGCGCAAATACATCATCCTGAAAGCTCCTTTCCGTATTCTGTGTATATACAGGCGCAGTCGCGGCGTCCGAGGTGATGTTCCTACGGGAAATTTTGTAGACGGCTGTATATGACGTGGGACGTGGTAATGTAGCTTGGATATGGATACCCTGACCTGTCAGAGCCCGCCTAACAGTGGTAGACAATGTAGTCATGTCGAGATTGATTTATATGCCAGCTCTACAGCGGCAACAGGTTCCAAAATGGCTGCGCATTTAGAGGAAAGGTGAAGAAAATACTTGGGAGGAAACGAGATCCGTGATAACTGAGGCATGGGCGGAAAAAGAAAAAAGGGCTAGTGGGTTTTCCTCGGAGGGAGAAGGAGGGAATCAGATTGCTCACCTACCGCAGATATTAGCTATTCCATGCTTTAGCTTGGGTCTTGCCTCAACTAATTCACCGGTTTTGATAGGCTAGAACTGCCCGACGCTAACCATTGGGCACGGTGTGGGCTTACCATCTGAGATCATCCCGCATATTGTGCAGAATTTGGCAAGGTTTGTCGCCGAATCCTGTGTCGGCCTCGTCCGTTGGAACGGAATGTCCCATCCAGATACTGATGGGCCCAGGACAAAGTGTTCGGAGATATAAGGTATCTTATACATTGTAGTGTAGAGTACATGATTTGTAACAAAAGGTAGTGGGTCTAAAAATACAATGCTTTCATGGCAAACCCTTTTAGAGAGCATCTATAAGCCGCCTAGGGCTAAGATCCCTGCATTTTAACATCAGAGTCTGGCTGGTCTTTCTTCGGAGCTTGGACAGGCTGAGATAGAATGCCACCTTTTGTCAACTCTCTCAAGGCCATTGTGGCATACTGACTAGTCCCCAGTGTCAATTTGACAATAACCGCAATTCTTGACCCTGTTGGGTTATTCACTGCCTCATGGATCAAACCCTCGTCGGTTGACAAAGCCTTCCCCTTACCCCCCGACCGCTGTCGCTGGACATACATCAGATCTGTCTCGACTAGTTGGTCGTTTGGATCTTCATATCGCTTGATCTCCCATTCAACTCTCTCAGGCTTATAGAGGAGACGACGATAGTGCCCTGCCATGCTGAGCTCCTTTTGATTTCGAATCATATTGAAAGGATCCAATCCATCTTGGCCCATGATATCGGCATAGAGATCCCGAAGATCATTCTGAGGATATGTGACGTCCCAACCTGGTGAAGGAAGAACAACATCGTATATCGTGAACTTTCCGGACGCCACCTCCTCCTCTGTCACTGGCCTCGCGCGAACGAATTTTTCTTCATTTGCTTCTTGTGCAAATTCCTCTTCATGCGGATCGGCAACCGGGTTCGAAGCGGCAGCCTCTTCAGCAGAAATAACCACTAGATCACCCGCTCTAATTGTAGTCCCGTACTTCTTCAATCTTTCGCTGACGATGGTATTCCAGACATAGCTCTGGTAAGCGTGGACGAACATTAGCCGCAAATTTCTCGGTATCTTCTGCAGAGCACCGAGGTAGTCGTTGACCGTGTTTGGTTTACTCAACCAACTTAAGATTGCATTTTCGGAAACAAATTTACCAGGCATGAGCTTTCGCGCCTCGGCGGCCTTGCTGACTGATGATGTATCCTCAAACCATAGCCTGCAGGCTGCGGCTCTTTGCCTTTCATCTGGAGGAGCTGTTTCCAATGACTGGTCATCATAAGCCATAGCTTGGTACACAGCTGTCCTCCAGTCCCCTAGAAGCATTGATTTGCCGATTTCGTGCGTACTAATCGAAAAGGTTCCGAACCGCTGCAGGCCATAGTAATTGATATAACCCTTTTCACGAAGGGAGGAAACGCTCTCTTGGATCACTTTAGTCATATCTGATCCTTCTGGAAATACGCAATCCCTTAGAGAGATGGTGAACTCATTCCCCGTTAAGTCGCCAAGATCCAGACCATAGTTTTTGTATTCAAAATCACCAGCTTTGAGCCCTTTCAGCTTTTTATTTATAGCTTCGATCTTATCGGCCTTTAATTTGTGTACTGAAACTCTCTGGACTGTGACTGCCCGACGGTCTTTAGTACCAGCGAATGAGAAGGACTTTGGACTCGTCCTCAAGAATTTTCCAAGGAGATTTAGGCATTCCATAGTATCCTTGTTCTCTTTATAGAGATTAAAATGCAAGAACTCCCCGCCAAGGGAGTCCCAAGACTCCATGGGTAAGCGTTCCTTCTTCCTTCCATCCTGGTTATTTGGCTTTGCACCACTTATTTTGGTCGCCCAGAAATCGATCTCATACTCGTCGGTTGTTGCCGTCTGGATTTTTCCGGAAAACAAGTTACGGATGGTGCGATGTAGCTGAGACCGTGCGTCCTTATCATCAATCGGTTTTGGTGATTTAAGTTTGGTTTCTGGGGTGACAATCTTGTAGTTCGGCCTGATCTCCCGCTCAATAGCTAAGATATCATTGTAAAGCTTGACAAGACTAGACACGACCGCTGGCCCGAGCCAAGATATGAGAAGAGCTGAATCCGCGTCCCCAAGCTGGGAATATTGTCAAGTTAGTATATGCTGTGACTAAATTTCTAGTGTGCAATTGCCATCTCGATTACATACCTCGAATGGCTTTGGTGTCTCAACCACCACAGGTGCCTCGGATGTTGCTGTATCCCCACTGTCTACAAGTGGCGTATCCTCTCCCTGAGGTGTCTTTGCACCACCTGCAGACCTGCTTCCATTGGCCTCTGTAGGGTCGGCTAGTACCTTCTCTGATTGGGCCTTCGGGTTCGCCGTCGGAGCATTGCCTTGCCTCCTCTCGACATTCAGCGACTTCAGTCTTAGGACGTTCCCGTCCTTGTCGATCTCGTTGACTAAGAAATCGGTGTACCTGGTAAGGCGGGAGATGGAGCGGTCGAGTCAGCAGATGTCCATCAAGGGAACCCCTCACTTTCTCCGGAATGTTCGAAATGATGTCTTTTGTTTACCTCTGTTTCAGCAGACCTTGGAAGCCTACGGCATCTGGACAAAGAAATTCTGTGATGCCAACACTCTCCTCGGTACGAACAAACTTTTCGACGCGGCCAATGGGTACTTCGGGTGACGGTTCATCTCCAGCACTCGATGACGGTTTGAGGCGCTTCGCAGGAGGGGCAAGGTCCGGGTCCTCGAGTTGACGGGAAGAAGAGGACATTACTCGTGCGCGTGTGGGAAGAGAGTTTCGCCGGTTCGTTGGTACCAAGTTGTGGGACGATGCAATGGTGAGGTGCGGCTCCAGCTAAAATTCTAGAATGGGGAAGCAATCAATCGGCTGAAGCGACAACCCTGGCCGAATCTCCTACCCGTTTCAAGGGCAGAACCACGCTAAGGAAGGATGGCATCACCTGCAGAAAGAACCAACTTCAACCGACCTCGACCATTCAAGGGCCAAGGACATCGCTCGCTTGTTCAGTCCTGTGATTGGGTAGAATACCAGCAAGCTTCAGCAAACGGACCAACTATGAATCCGAAACGGGACTTTTTTTGCAAATTCAATCACAGTGATTGGAGCTTTGGGACGGAGAGAACAAAGATTGCAAAAGATTGAAACGGTGACCTGGTACGAAATTCCCTGCTGCATGGAAGCATTCCCCACCGCTAGACAGGTCGCTAACTGATACATCAATACATTATATGTTAGCTGCGTGCGGCCAGTCGATTTCAGGCTTTTAGAGTATATCAAGCTTGCCTGTCCAAATATCGAGAAAAGCTTTCGACTTCCTATTCTGACCGTATTCGTTTGGCTTATTTGATAATTTGACAATTCGAGAGGCAGGTTTTGTACATGGCTGACGTGGACAGTGCAGCTACATTCCGCTAGATACCGTCGGTATATGATGCTATGGGTATTATACCGAGGTGTTACATTATATGTATGGATGCCTCCGATTACCTAGCCTCGAATCCAGTACCTAGTACTTAGGTACAGGTACCTATGTTACGTCCGGTCCCTCGCAGCTGTCATTTCATAACGATCCACTATTGCCCAGAGGCGCGAATCAAGGTCGATGACGATAATAATGAAACTGCTCTAGATTTATGGACCGATGGGGGGCAAAGACGGAAGTCTCCAGGGCCGGTCCCTTGGGTGGCTTACCCCAGAAGTATTCGCTTCCATGTCTACACCCTTCGTTGCATATTCAAGAAACCCTTCGAGCAATATCGAGAGCAGGGGGTAGCGAACATGAATGCATGTCCGGCCCAATATGAACGTCTGAACGAGAATTGAACGGGACCTTTTCAGTGACCAGAACGCCCAACCGTGTGGAGAGCACCTGCAGCTGCAGCTACGAAAGTGAACCTGAAAACCAGTAGCAACAGTACTTCCATATTTACATTGGCAGTGGCAGTGGCAGTGAATCAAATCGGATTGAACTTCGCTAACAAGCGAGGTATGTGTGCCTTTCTCTCCGACTAGTTCGTCCGGTTCGCCATTCTGTCTATCCTCCTCCCCTCTTCTTCTTTCCCCCGTGTCTTCCTTGTCTAGGCCGTAATATTTTCTTTATATTTTTTAGACTCTTATATACTTGATTATACAGTGTGTTCTAGTTCCTACTAATTACAGGGTATATAGTGTACTTGCAGCGCCGGCAGGTAGATTATACCACACTCAACACACCATCCACTCCAAAGATCCTACCAAATTTGCAAAAGGTAGCTTCATTAGCCTTGTCAGCCGCATATAAAACGTTATCTTCCCCAATCTATTCACGCTTCCGTATTTCGTATTTGCTATTATATTACTAGGCAGCTATTATTGATTATCCGGAGAAATAATATCCACCTGTCAGTATAACTTTTTATTGAAAGTGTTCTGCTTAAATCCAAACACTCCATACCACCCATTCGCCAGATCGCTAACTAGACACACCACAGTCTAGATTTCATTTCGTCTTAATTATTTTAAACCAAATCTTCATTCGGACATCGCATCACTTTATTCCTCCTTCGTATTTGTGTCTTGCGGGGAAGAATGACGATAATCGACAATATTAGTCCTAAGGCTCTCTACCGAAGAAGCGCCAGTTGGACGATAAAAAATCCTCCAAAGGAGGAGGCGAAAGTCAAGGCATATAATGATTGGAATAATGACCCGGGTGTAAGTTGACCTCATCATCTGCGGGATAAACACCAATAAGAAGTCGAGCTAATGGCATCGACATATGTATCTAGTTTGATTGGCAAGAAGAAACTCGTGAACCAATCGAGTTAACGGTCACTGGAAACATCCCTGATTACGTTCGGTACGACTTCCAAATACTACCCCCCGGAATTTCTGAAATCTAACAGATTGCCATTTCTAGCGGCGTACTCTACCGAACCGGTCCCGGCGGAGACAGAGTCGAAACTGAGAAGGGAACATTCAAGGTTGATCACTGGTTCGACGGTTTCACCCTGAACCATCGTTTTGAGATCACAGCAGACAAAAAAGTTATATATCGATCCCGCAGAGCTTGCGATGAACTCTTAGAGTATATTAAGAAGACTGGTCAGCGTGACAGCTACAGCTTTGGCCAGAGACGTGACCCTTGTGAGGGCTTTTTCAGAAAGGTCATGACCAGTTTTCAGTCGACCCCTCTTTCTGCAATGCAAGCCATCGGTGGCGCTGAGCATCCGAGCTGTCACAATGTCGGCGTGACACTATCTCCAAATATGCCTGGTTCCCTCAAAATTCCAGGGACAGCCGCGAATAGTAGTGCCAACGGACACGGGGGTCTGGTTACGTTGATTGCAAAGACCGATGCCACCGTCCTGCAAGCTCTCGATCCAGAAACTCTAGAGCCCCTTGGTGTCGCAAACCAACAGATCCTCCATCCGGAACTGAACGGCCAGTTTTCCGCCTCCCATGCTCGGACTTGCCCAGACACTGGCGACTTCTTCAATTTCAATCTCAAGGTCGATGGTACCCCAGAATACAAGATTTTCAAGATCACACCAGAAGGAACATGTACCATCATTGCCAAAGTCACTGGGGCAAATCCGTCATACATTCACTCCTTCTTCCTTTCGAAGAAATACGTAATCTTGTGCGTATATTCATCAAAATACTCATGGGGTGGCGCAAAGATTATTTACACCCGCAATGTCGCCGACGCAATCGCTCCATGGGACCCAACTAACAAGGCCAAATTCTTTGTCATCGATCGCACTGGCGAGAAGGGTGTAGTCGCAAACTTTGAAACCCATGCTTTCTTCGCTTTCCATTCCATCAACGCCTACGAAGAAGGGGATGATATCGTTTTAGATGTTCCAACCTACGAGAACCTAGATATCATTCACACCCTATACTACTCCTTTCTACGCTCTACATCACCAGACGCACCCATCAAGATCGCACAATTCAAGACCCAATTTACTCGGTGGAGACTAGCAAACATCCCAGAGAAGCCGGACCCAACGACGAGAACTGCCAGTTTTGATTTCAGAGAAGAACTTGGAATGGAGCTTCCAGTTATCAACCCGAATTACATCACCCGCAAGCATCGCTACGTCTACGCTATTTCAATCCGTGGGAAGTCCTCATGGGTTGACGGAATAGTCAAATACGATACCGAAACCCGCACCCCAGTCCACTGGGAGAAGCACGGCCATTCGCCTAGCGAGCCAATCTTCGTTGCAAATCCAAATGGCAAAGACGAGGATGACGGAGCTCTTCTCACGGTCGTTCTCGACGGACAATGTGAAAAGAGTTACCTCTTGGTACTAAATGCAAAGGACATGACAGAGCTTGCCAGAGCAGAGTTGGGAAGGGTCGTCTCATTCGGTTTTCATGGTACCTACATTGGTAAGGATAACAAAAACATTTATTCGGCATGAAAGATGGGAGGAGATTCTATTCGATACAGCTGAATTGGGTTGAAGGAGATTTCTTTTGAAAAATTATTAACATTAATCGGTTACACACGAACTGTATCCCGTTCCACGATTTCGCTAGCTTAAGCTATTTTAGGACTCTGAATGTTTCTTGCCTGCTTGTGTTCCGGGATAAGAGCAGTTTGCTTTTCTTTGCTTCTATCCTTGTATTTCTACAGTTGCATCAGCCTTTTTTTCTTCTTTTTTCTTTGTTTTAACGAATACGATGGCATTTAATATTTGTAAACCCTTCTAGCTGCCGGTATTCAAAGCAACTAGCCGTGTATATCATGAAACCTGAAGGCAGATATAGATATACCTAGGTACTTAGCTATCTCAGACGGCTGGCACATCCACATGCAAAGATTCGAACATGTACATATATTATGAAGTTTAAAACCATTTGCTTACGCCGATGGTGCATACGCATCTCATCTATATAGCTCTCTACAATCGATGATATCGATATTATCATGCATGATGGCGCATGGGCATGATGGTCTGTAGCTGAGGAATGTTAACTGCGTTGTTTATTGTTTCTGGCCGTATTTCCTATTCGGGGTTAGTCTCACACCCTTCATGATCTCAACCTCCGAACCGAAACGTTCAATCTGCTCATGTTCAACGTGCAAGTCAACCTACATCCCTCCAATAACCTACCCCTCTCACCAAACAAACCACCTCCAACGGCCAGCAGAATATATAATCGCCAAGATGGGTGGTCACGGTAAGCTCCCACTCCTCGTCCCCCACCCTCATTTTTTACTGGCTCATATTCAATCGTCGGGATTGTTCCCACATCATGACGCTCTGTCTAAAAGACGAACGCTAACATGGACCATCTCTAGTCGACTACGATCCGGCGCTCCTAAAATGGAATGGTATGCCTCCTCTATACCCTCGACAAGTATCACCGATATATTTCTCTACCCGGATCCCGTCACCTTTCACCCCAATCTACCTGGAATAGACCGAAGAAAGGATTCGATTATCTAATGCTAGATATATTATAGAAATGCACCGCAACCGCACCAAGTTCTTCCGTCTCAATTCTAGAGCCGCTAAATTAACCTTCTGGATGGTCGTTGCTATCCCTGCTGCTACGCTAGGACTGTCATATTGGAGCGAGGTAGGTCGCAGGTCTTCCGAGGGCGAACATCAAGCACGTAGGAGCGCCTGACTGATGTTAATTTTTGTGTTACACATAGGGGAGATATGAATTAAAGGGAAAGAGACGGGGTGATATTATTAAGGAGTTCTGAAATTGAGATTTGGGAGGCTTTCACTTTGTATCATATTGAAAGAAGTCATACAGACCAATTGAACATATAACAAGTTTTACTCGGTTGACTCATACCTAACGGTCATATTGTACCGCGATATATATACCACGACCTGGTACATTACGAAAGGCTAAAGCTAATATCGATAACAGATTTCTCACTGCTATCTGTGGTACGCGAGCCATTGGCATCAATCGACCTCATAGTATGCATACTTGATATTGTGACAAATTAGTGTACAACCCCCTTAGCTAAAGAACCCAGAAACGCCGAATGCTCCATTAGTTGCTTGCTCCTTTTAACCCATAATCTGCATCGGATCTTCTGGTGGCCATCTAGTCTGTGCGAAGTTCAAACATCGTTTTATACTTTGCAGATACTTTCTAGTCGCCTCATCGCTCATAATGTGCGCCGATTTGCCCTTCTCGTGTAGCTTCTCTCGAGCAGAACGCTCGTGAATACCAACCATGGTAACACCGATTGGCCAGGCTCTACATGTATAAGAATTTGATTAGAATTTCCGGGGTCGAATCAACCAAAAGAGAGTACGTAGAGTGACTTACGCATTTCCAATACTTAACCTCAAATATACGTCATTAGCCCTAACATACCGCCTCGCCTGCGCTTCAACAACCAGCTCCACTATCTTCGCAAATATCTCCTCGTCTATATCCCCTTTCTGCAAGTGTTTAAATAGCGGCTGTAGATTCTCAATCGCCTGTGTCATGGCCGTTGTAGCTTGCCGTCCCTGATACGACTCCCGTAGTGCTTCTTCACGTCCCTCAAGCGCTATCTGCCATTCCGAAACTACCAGTCGAAACCACCCTAATAGCTGGCGGCACACATACGAGGGATCCTTCGCGACATTTTGGGGGTCGATGAGAAGCTCGCCTCCGGAGAGAGGCGGAGGAGTTGCTTTCCTAACGCCCGTGAGCCGGTGTATTCTTTTCATCCTTTGTGCATTTGATTCCCCGAATAACCGAATCGGTTCATTCAGTTCTCGTAGCTTCCGGACAGCCGCACTCTCGTCCATTGGGCCTGTTCCATCCTTCTTCGATTCGTCGTCCTCATCAGTATCGCCCGTAACACCGGTTTTCTCCCGTAATTTTCGTTTCCGTTCTTCCTCTTCTTCTCGTTCCTTCTGTAGTCTAGCCTTTTCCTTCTCATCCCGCAATCTCTGACGTTTCTCAAGTTGTCGTTCACGCTCCGCAGCCGCCTCCTCGTCTGCTTTCCGTTTTTTGAGCGTGCGTTCCGCACGTTCGGATTCGAGGCGGGCTTGATCAGCTAGGTATTGTTCCTGCCGGGCTTTTTCGATATCTGCGCGGCGGACGTATTTGCTGCCACCATTTTTACTGGTACCGTCGCTATTGGTAGCAGCCGTAGAATCTGTAGATGTGGATTTAGGGGCCGTAGCGGATTTCTTTTTCGCCATTTCGGCGGAGAGGATGGAGGCAAAGGCATCCATTATGAAGATACATATAGCAGGACGGGTATGTGGTGGAGAATTGAATGATTGTTGTCTAAGCAATGGAGAGAGAAGCATAGGACCGATCAGTTTGCGTGTCATACACCCTGGTTCAATTATTGCGGATGCCTGCAGGTTAACTACAAGCCACCTTTCTTAATTCCAGCCACAGAACGGAGCCTCAATTAATTATAAACGGCAATCACACGACCTCGATGTATCTTGTGAGTCTAGATCTATCGGCGACGAGGTACCATCTTATTACCATCTATCTTATATGAGAATCAAAGCCTAAAGCCAAGTAAATTTGTATATATATATATATGTCAAGCTGGTAACGATCTCAAAGGAAGACTTCTAGAAGACAAAAAAAAAAAAAAAAAAAGAAAGAAAAAAAAAAGGATATCACAAATCATCCATTACTCCACCAGCCGAATCGATAAAAGCACTGAAACTGGAAACAAGAAAGGAAGAAGCATGTTCAAGCAGAAAAACTATAGGTTTTCTCTCTATGTAAGGACAAACAAACAAATGTGTATGAGGCCGAAGGAAGAAAGGTAACAGGAAAGAAGAGAAAAGAAAACGATGACCAGAAAGCAGTAAAAACAGTCAGGAGATGTAGCTCCATCAAATGAACTTCAAGATAGAAGATTAACACGGGACAAACGTTTCAAACGGTCTTCATGGACACTTTGACAGACATTAAAACCATAATACGTAAGGACGTAAACAGTCGATAAGATATGAAGAGTGAAAACGAAAAGTAGTTGATACAACAGAAAGAATAAACCATGGGTAAAGAAAAGCTACCGACTTTACAAACATGGGTCCTAAAGGACACGATCGCTGCCGTTCTCCGCTAAAATCGTCGAACCGCAGATGCCTCTTCTGCTCATAAATATAGAAGGGCGAGTAGAGTAGAAAACGGAAAGGGAATCGCCGTTAGGGTATCGTACATTCTCCGGGAAATTGGAAGGGGAAAAAATAAAAATAAAGATAAAAAGGAGGAAAGAAGAAAGAGAAATAGAAGATAAACGCCATCCGCTCACTATGCAAGTTGAAAATTTCGACCAATGTAAAATCCGCCGGTGAAGATTTAACAATAGTAAATAATGCGGCGGGACTAGAAGGTGCTCCAAGACCAATTGTCACGGTAGCTGCCGACATAGCTGTTCAATCTACCACGTAGAGTACCGTCATTCGCATATCGAGCTGTCATCATTTGCTTGGCCGGTTGTGGTGTAGAGATGTTTGTGGCCGATGAATTGGAACTACTCGTAGATGAGGAGCGGCTCTTCGCGCAAAGCCTCTTGTACTCGTCGAAGCATCCTATGCAAACTCTCGAGTCGATGCCTTTGGCATTATATCGGCAATTTTGATCCAATTTAAGTGACTGGGAAGTGTGCTGCGCACAAAAAATGTTCCCACAACGGCGACAGTGGTGTCGACGGTCGAATAGAGAAAATGTCTTGTTACAGATCGCAGCATCACAGACAGTAGCTTCGGCGTCCGGCTAGAAGGAAGTTCATTAGTGTATGCGCTAATACCAGGTCAGGATATCTGACTACGTACCTTCCAGTTCGCCTTTGAGGGTGGGCCCGTGACTTCATCCGTGCTGCCAACTGTTGGCTCCATCTCCGCTGACTCTTGGAAGGCCGGCCTAGGCGACCTCATAGGGGTCCCAACAACTGGTGTCGGAGGATCTGACAGCTCGGTTTTGCCACTAGCAACCAGAGTTGCACGCTCGGTAGTACGAAGCGCGGCAGGTCTGTACATGGGGCATTTTGGAGGATGAAGTTGTCGTGGGGCGAGAGGGAGGTAAGGGTTTGGAGTTGTGGGAGAAGTTTGAGGAGGAGTTGTCATCACAGTACTCGCGCTATGAGGTGAGGTTGGCGATGTACTGTTTGGGGAGATGTTCTTCGCCTGCGTTTTGGTGTATGGGAACGGCTGGGCGTAGGCCGTCTGCTGAGTAAACGCAGATGCCATTGTAGTGGCCATGGTTACTGATTGGTTGAACGGGTCTTTCGGAACTGGAACGAGATGCATTGTTAATAGAAGTCCTCAGGCCCCACAAAGAGTGAAGAGGCGAAGTAAAGGAGGTTTTTGGTAGAGGTCGGGAAGTGTGACTGGGAACAAAATAAGAATCTCGCAAGAATCTCGCAATGATATTGTTATATAGGGAAAAAACAAAATGACTGCCCGAAAGCCGGGGAGATCAGAAGCGAAGAAGTCCGAGAAGGTTACGCTCGGGTGAGGACAAAGGGTGAAGGTTAGGTAGAAGAGGGGAGAAATCTTACCTGCTTGGTGGTGGCTAGTTTGGAGAGACTTGTAGTTTTAGGAAGGTCGGCAGAAAGACAGTTTCCCAAAAAGTCTGCGAAATCTTCCCCACGACGATGGGACTAAACCTTCAGAGTAGGCGAAATTACACGTGGAAACGATAGGGTCTTAATCTACCGGTAGGCACTCCGACAAGTTTATCAAGGAGAGCAGGTGAAGGGTGAATTTAGGAGAAATAGCTAGATGGTGGTGATCCTGAAGGACTAATGGGATCAAAGTCAGTACGAGGGAGTTAACTCTAAAAGATCTCGAAGCCTATGAGAAGCTTTCCGAAGACAAGCGGATCTTTAACCAGAAATAAAAATAATAATAATAATAAAGATAAAATAAAAAACAAGTTCGAGCAGGCAAAGCTGGCAGGGTTACTTTTATATTGCCACCATATATATATTACCATGATAATAATAATAATGATAATGAATTATTATTATTATTATTAATTATCATATTGTAACGGAATTATAGAATGGTAGGAAGGAAGGAAAGAGTTCCCAAAGGACAGCCAAGTTGTTGCAGCAGTGCTGCCATCGCGTTGACTTACTGGATCCATCTCGAGGTTGGCGACGAAGTCGGGCGCGGGAAGGAGCCTCGAAATCGGGAACAGTGCAGGAAAGCAACATGTTGGGGAACTCCCTGCCTATAGCTACCATAGCTACCAGTGCAATAAGTGTGTGTTACATAGTGCATGGTGCTGGAGCTTACCGCAATTCGAGGCAAAACATGCAGGAGAGGAAGGAAGGCACTCAGTCAAGCAGCCAAGCAATCAAGCAACCAAGCAGCAAAGCAGCAGGAGCAGGAGCAGACGAGCAGACGAGCAGACAAGTGCTTTTTGGGGGGGGGGGGGGGATAGCAAGAGATGGTCAAAAGCATGGGCTGCTGCACTGCCAGCTAACAAGCCGAGACGCAATTGGATGGTAAAAGGCAGAAGTGGGTAAAAACAGGCACAGGTAAGCATTGCATTCCAATTCCATCTCAGGCAAGGAACCCAGGACTGGCCTTATCTTTGAGGGAAAGGGAGAAGGGACCAGGTTATTCTGGCGAGGGGGGAGGGAAGAGATAAGAGTGGTCCTTGTGACCACCAAGCCCGAATGCGAGTTCGGGGTATAGAAGGGTGCTAGTACTGTTGAGCTAAGTGAAGGGAAAAAAACTTACTTGATGAAGAAAAAGGAGATGGGCGCCTTGTAGGAATAGCTGGCGATGAGATGAACAATATTTTCCAAAAGAGCAAAGTAGGGAAGGGTGATGGTTTGAAGATGGTTTGAAGATGAGGATGGTCGGTTGGTTTGTTTGATGGATGGATGGACGGTGATGTGTGTACTCCTTCTCCCTCTTTTCCTGCCGACCAGCCAGGTGGTTGTTATTATTGTAGTTGGTGTTGGTGTTGGTGTTGGTCGGGTTGGGTTGGGTTGGGTTGGGTTGGATGTGTGATGATGATTGATTGATTGATGGAAGTCGGACCGGGTGTTTGGTAATGATATTATATTCTGCAAAGACGCGAGGGACTTAATCCTGATAAGGTTAAAAGATTTATGACGACGACGGCGATGATGGAGATGATGGAGATGATGGACTATGTATGATGTATGATCGATGACGGTGTGATGGTGTTGGTGGTTGTGACAGTGGTGGTGATGGTGATGGTATTACTATTATTACTTCTTAACTTCGATTTTTTTATTTTATTTTTTGTTTTTTATATTTTATCTTGG